GTTATTAAATATTTTCTTCTTCTAAATAACTTAAATACTTAATTATTTAGAGTTATATTTAGAGTTAAGATTTAAATAATCTCTTCTTCTACTATAAGTCTAAAGTCTAAATATATTACTTTATTAAGATATAGGCTGTATCTTAACAGGTACCCTGTTACTTATATTTTAATTCCCGGAAATCTTACAGCCTTAATTAGAGTGGCTTAACCTGACTGTTATACCTTAACCTTAACCTGACCTTAACCTGGCGGTCAGGTTAAGGTATAAAAATCAGATTAACCGCAGGTATAACGGTTAACCGCGGTTAACTGTTATACCTGAATCAGGCAGAATCAGGCAGAAATCAGGCGGAATTAGGCAGAATCAGGCAGGATTAGGCATAAATCAGGTAAGAATTAGGCAGAAATATTCTGCCTAAACCTACCGCCTCCTTTAATAGGCTTAGTTACTAAGAAATTTAACCCGCAGGTTAACCGTTGGTTAACCTGAGTAGGAATATATATTTCTTATACCTGAGCATTAACCTGCAGTCAGGTATAAAAATTTTGATTAACCTGACCTGACCTGGCCGTTAGCCACTCTAGCCTTAATATATCTAGCTCTTTCTAGAGATTAAAATATAGATATTAAATAAGGATAATAGATTTAAATAAAGAGAATATCTATATAAAAGAGATCTGGAAAAGGCTTTTATAAAATCTACTATTAGAGATATAGTATAGTACCTGATATTTAGATTAGATAGTTACAGGTAGTATAATTACTAAGATAAACTAATTATATAGTATAGTACAGATAACCTTTAATCTAATATATAAAGAATTAAGACCTTTTTAAATAAAAAATAAGAGAATAACAGGCTTATTAACCTTATTTAAAAAGACCTAATAGTAGTCTAGAGGTACTATACTAGTTCTTAACTATTATTTTAGTAGTAAAAGTATAGTATTCTTTATATAATCTATTAGATCTCTGGTATACAGCCTAAACTAAGTTGTAATTATATATCTTTCTTTATATTTTATACTGTAAGAATATTAATATTATAAGAAGCTAAATTATATTAATACTACTAGGATTTCTCTATTATTTCTTATAGATAGAAAAAAAAAAGATACTACTATATCTCTTAATTACTTTTTTTTATTCTAGAAAGCTTATCTTTATATATTTTTAGGTAATGGTTAGAATAGTCAGGTTAATTCTTATTTAATCTGGGTATATCTTAACTGTGCTAGAGCTAAAAAGGGTATAGTAAATAGGTCTTGGCACCAAGAATAGTTAAGACAGTTAATCATCCTGTTTTTGGTTATACCGCGGTGTTACGGGACGGATGGATTATGCTAATCGAAACGTGCCTTTGAACAAGAAGAAATAGCTGGGGAGCTATTTCATCTGTTCGTACGAAATTCTTTTATGTGTGTGCTAAGCTAGCGCTGGTTTAGTACATAGCGTGCAAGGCCTCAGGTGCCAACTGGTGCCTGAAGCCGAGCTCTATATCAGGGCCTTGGTCCCATAACACGCGGTTAGGTATAAAAATTTCTTTAACCTGACCATTAACCTGCGGTCAGGTATAAAAGTTCCTATTAACCTGACCTGACCTGGCCGTTAGCCACTCTACTTAGAATTAAGGATATATTAGTAAAAAATAATATGTATAAATAGATATTATATTAAACCTAAATTAAAATAATATAAAGAGATAAGTATTTAAATAAAAAATAATAAATAAACTAAGAAAAATAATATATTTATAAATATAAGTTTTTTATCTATATTTCCAGATCTTATTATATCCTAATCAGGAAATTATTAAAATATTATCTTCTTTTTTATTATTTAATATATTCTTTATTTATATTTATAATAGTAGTAGATATTCAGCTTAAAGAATAAATAAATTTAGGGTAGATTAAAGTTATTTTTATCTATATTATAATTTAAATAGCCTAATTTAATAGAGAAGTATAATTATTATATAATATCTAGAATAGTTATATCTAATATCTCTAGTTTTTACTAATTTAATAGGCTTTTAATCTATTTATTTATATTATTTATAGCTAACTTTCTCTTTGTTAATAATATATATAATTAAACTGTTATATCTTAGGGAATATAGGATTCCTAAAAATTAGTCTTATAATAAAGGACTAGGTATTTTCTTATCTGACCCCTGGCCTTTTACTCTGTTATAGTAGATGTTGACAAATTTATGTAGACTTTTAATTTATATAAAAAGATTCTAAGAAAAATTCTAGTAAAAATCCTCTAATTAAAATATTATAAAAAATATATAATAAGACTTGATAGTCTTAATATTAGATATTTCTCTAAACAATTTAACTTCTATTAATACTAGTTCCTATTCTAGTAATCCAAGGCTACTTAGCCCTTCACACCCCCCTAATATTTCTCTTTCTATATGTTTTTTCGTATATTTTGCTGGATTTACTCCCTTCATGATATTCACCAATCTATAAGGAAAGGCAGTGCCTTACTAAGACTTTTAATCTATCCTTATTAATTGTTTCTCCTGAGATTGCTTTAGAAAGTTATCTGACTATCGACAATGAGCTCATTGTCGCAAGTGGTACTTACTGTACCACTTCCTTATTCCTGAGAACTAGATCCAAAGTTTATCCCGAGAGAATTCCGCAGCTGGGAAGGCGAGTAGATGATTGGCTATGATCATCAAGCACCATACAAGCCCGTACATTCTACAGCCCATCTATAAGCCATTTTCACCCTCCTTCAACTACCGGCGAGCCAAGGTCTGATCACAAAGATCATGACAAAGTGTAATTCTTGTATGAAGTTGTTGTATCGGATGAGATTGCGGTACAGGGTTGGTACGTAAACAGCACTAACAAACAGAACAGCCACAAAATAACTAAAGCATACAATCTGTGTAGCAAAGAGCAGGAACATTATAACCCAGTCACAAGGAGAGATAACTAGGTGACCATCATGTGAATCACAAAAAAAAGAGGATGACCTGCTATCATTATATAACTGTACTAATCTATAGCACACCGTACAGTCGGGCTTAAGAATTCATTCATGCATCAATTTTCCCAAGATCCTGCATATCCTGAAAAATCGGTTCTATCGCTCTAGGAATTTTCTCTCTAGGACTTATGATGGCATAATTCCTGTGGCTTCTTCTAATTTTAAAGCAAATCGTTACCGCCGAGAATTTGACGCTAGGGCTGCACTTGTCGACCGGACACACTGGCGGCATTTCCACGTTTCATTATGTTCATAACGCGACTGCCTTTGTCTTACATCATAACTATAGCATTGCCTACTAAGCGCCCATGGCTGCGGCCACCTCACTACTGAGGCTCTGCGGCAGTGACAGAAAGTTCAGTGTAATTCTCAAATAACAGATGTTAGTTGTTTAGAGTTGCGTCAACTCTTGCAACGATGCCTCAAGGTCTGAAGCCCCTCGCACTATTGCCTTCACCGCATTCTTCCAGTTGGGCCGATGGTCGGCCAACCTAGTCATCCATTGGGACCACTTCTCGATGACTATGATTGCCCTATCCGAGGAGACATCGAACCATTCCACGTGCTGCTTTTGGCAGGCTCCACAGTAGATTCTAATCCTGTGCCTCCGAAGCTCTGCATGGCATAGGCTTTCAACCAGCTGTGGATAATCAACTTGCCTGCCCACAGCGGACGCAGCGGGATAGAGACTTATAACCTCCCTGTTGCAACTAAATGTCCACTCTGCATGTCTTTCCGAGATTTGTCTGCAGGTATAGCCAATTTTAAGATATCGCTCATTTCCAGCCACAGTATAGGCATAAATAGAGCCTGGCTTGGTGTTTCGCGATGCGAGGGATTTGCTGATTGTTTCTTGATAAGCTTTGGCCGGCATCCAGCAGCCTTCGATACTCGGACTGCTGGTCGCAAGGAGATGGAATGGCGATATATCATATCCTGGGGCTAGTGCACGTGAGCAATTATACTCTGACAGAGAAGTCTCATTTTTGAGTCAGAGAGGGGGAGCAGCATGCCGACCTTGCCAGAATTCGTCTGCTTCATCTGGATCCTCCGAAACGTGGTCGATCCTTGTTTCCTGGACCTGACAGTGCCGAGCGACTGCAATTTCGGCGAGGCATCGCTCCAAAAGCAGCGGAGACTGTTTTTTCCGATGCAGGGAGCAGAAGGCGTTTTGGCCAAGCCTCTTCAGCCAGATTGCTAGCCGTTTGTCGTTCAGGTAGACCACAGGGTCTTTGATTTTGCTCAAGATCTGCTCGATTGTCTGGACAGTTCTGCCACCCAACAATTGCTCACACGGGCAGTCTTTGCTCTCCATGCCCAGGCACATAGTACTGAGGCCGGGCAGTGCTTCTTGGATAAGCATAGCCGCGTCATTGGGGCGGGGGAAATACTCCTTGAGCCAGGTATTCACTCGAGCATTGACTGTCTTTTCGCCGTCGTGTTTATCGCAATGAGTAAGCAGCACGAGCTTCCTTAATGTGTCGGCCAGTGTGTGACACGGCATGGATCGTGGCAGCTGCCTCAACAAAGATATCGCCGCGTCGACCTCCGATGGCTCGGCTTTCCTTTGACGTCGTTGACAAGGTGCAGGTGGCTTCTTGAGAGTTAAGCCTCCACATTTACGCTGTTGGCGGAAGAACAGGAGGAAAGCTTCCACGCTCGCGGGGGTGGGCCATTGGGGTGGCTCGTCCAAATCGGAACCCGTGTCTCGTTCGCTTTGAGGGGAAACTGGGGTGCGTGCCCTTACTTCGGATCCTCTCCTACTCGGTGGCGCCTCGGGTGTAATTGTCTCTGCTTCCTCTGTAACAGAGAGACCTGCGTTGCTGGGCGAGCGTGGTGAAGGAGGAGGGCTAGGATAGATTGTATCGACAGGTGGAGTAGTCGGCTGGACTGCCTTTTCAGACTCTGTATGCTTTCGGTGTGCCATTGAAATAATGAAGAAGTCGAGCAGACACGACAGCTACCGTCGCGCTGGTGCAGAAAGATAATGGGGCTGGGAGGGTAGAATGGGGCAAGCAACGTGCACCTTCGGCGCCGTCCATATTTATGGCTTTGCTCAGACAGGTGCAGCAAGGCGCAATTGGGGGACGAGGCGGTGCTTGGCTCTTGACAGGGATCCTGAGCATGTCAGCCGGACCATTTCCAGCAAGCCACAGCGAGTGAGCTGCCTAATGAAATGGCTTATTGTTCGGGTTATCGTTGCAGCCGCAACAAGGCGCAATTGGGGGACGAGGCGGTGCTCGGCGCTTGACAGGGATCCTGAGCATGTCAGCCGGACCGTGTCCAGCAAGCCACAGCGGTAAACTACATAATGCACTGGCTTATTATTCTTATGTTAACTTTGAGGTTAAAAAAAAATAGTAAAATTTAGAACATAGAACATACAACAGAAGGGATTCGCTGGTGGTCACCCACCCAACTACTAACCTCCCGGCGTGTGGCTTAAGTACGGCTGAGCGGACGGGAAGCCCTGTTTTCCACACCCTGTGGTCGTATGTGCTTGGAATTCATGTAGAATGGTATATGTCCTTTCAATGTCTGCACAGTAGATGCGGCTAGCTACGCTGTAACTGACCACTTAACAAGAAATTTAAAGCGCTGCACTTAATAAGAGCATGTGCTATGGCAAGCTTCCCATCACTGTGGCTTTTTGTTGAACCCTTTGTCCCACGGCCGACTTTCAGTTCTCACCATCTATTCTCCATACTCCAATCCATGCAGGTCCGAAACTCTCATTGCTGGAGCCCTGAAAATATTGAAATTTCCATGGCCAGCTGTTGAGATTTGAAGTTATGACCGTGAATGGAAGGATGAAAGATACGTTATTGAGCGGCGAGTCTCACCCTTACCGCCTTGGGGAGAGGACATCCGGGCATCCATAAGGCGGTGAATTCGACCCTCCCAGTAGATCCGTCCCAGGCGGTAAATCAGTCTCCGACAGTGAACCAGTCCTTGGGTGGTGAAATCCAGTACCATGCTCAATCCTAGGCGGTAGTTAATGAGTACTAGTCCGCAAAATCTAATGAGAAGCTGACTCGGAATCCCGTAGCAGGTACGCCGCCTTCTTCGGAAGCAGATGGTCTTATCTACGCGTGAGGAAGGATGGCTGGCAAGTCCGTCCACGATTTGCGCCTCATGAACTACGTTGAAGAAATATTTGAAAAAGGCTTCTTGACAAATCATTTGTCATTCAAAGTTGTGCCACTAAGCTAATCCTTAACATTTCCTGATCGGATGATCTTCTCGTACTGGACGATGGTGTTTGCATACTGCTTATCGATCGCACCCGCACAGATCTCAATGAGCTTCCCATCCCCAAATTGGGTGATTTCCCGCAATGATTCGGCGAGACCGTGACACTGCACTCGCATCCAGGTCAAGAAATCGTGCATCTCCTCACAGTACTCCGCCTCGCATAATTCGTCTTTCTGTTGTTTATATGTCAGCAGTGCCGTCACCCTTCCTGACACGACCAAATCGGTGACAATTGCAAACTTACTTCCATGGCAATGACGTTTAGCAAGTGCCCAAAAACAGGTTTCATGAGCAGCGCATTCTTGGTCAGTTGGGAGCTGCGGATAGGGTCAAGAACCTCTAGCGTTGCGGCTTCGCCTGTTGCTTGAGTCACCAGATCCTCTATATCATCTGACAGTCTTCCGATGTTCTGGAGGCTGTCGGGGTCAAATTTCGATGTCTGAAGAGTTCTGTCGAGCTTGACACCTGCTATGCCAAGTCTCTGCAGGTATTTGATGAGTGGGAGGAGGCCCACGCTAGGTGGCATACCATTACCCGACTCGGGCTCGCTAGGTAAAGCAAGCACAGGAGGGGACAGGGTAGAGACAAACGTAAAAATGGCAATGAAGAGAAGTTTGACGATCATGTTTGGCGACGCTTCTAGATCTTCAAAGGGGCTCTTTGGCAGCTGAGGGAGTGGGTGATGTTCGTCAGACCCGTATATTGACAATATATAAGTCTTCCGCGGACTACTCAAATCCGGGCGAAGTCTAACGGTTCGGTCGGAGTTTTTCTCGTCCAGCGCGTTGGAACACAGGTTTCACTGATATCAATTATTGTTATGGGACCTTCGGCTCTCGTGGGCCTTGATATAGTACAAGCGACGGATAGCTCCAAAAGCTAAATGAGGATCGATTGATGTTATGTGCGGCTTGCTGCAGTACCCTGGTGGCACGCGAGGTTAGTGCAACAAGAGAAACAGACATGGTAGGCCTCGTCATTCGTACAAGCGGACTTCTGTCGTGGCGAAAGGTCGCACAGTTAGGATTATGGATCTACGTACGGTGGTGCAGCAAGGGACAATACGACAAGCACCGGTGATCAGCGGCGTTGGCCATAACGCTCCTTCAACCTGGAATCAGAATATCTACGAGTGATGAGGATAGTCATTGCACTACTGGCTGGCTGGTGCTACTACTGAAAGCCACCGATGAAGGCTCAGGACGATTACGATCGGGCGCATCGTGTATGCTGAGGCACGAATCAGTGCAGAGCTCAATCGACGGACCGTAGGAGCTGGAGCGGGCACCAGCTAGAATAACCAGAAATTTCAAGATTTGATGGGGGAAGAGTGTCCGTCATTGATTCTGCCCGATATTCCAGTATCCATGCTCGTTTGCTGGAGCAAGAGGGTCAAGACCCTGACGATAACGATCAATGACATCATATCCTACATTCGCGCCAACTCATTCAGCACATAGAAAATTACAAATCAGCTCCTTCAATGGGAGACGACTGGCTGGATTTTTGAGAGCTCAGGTGTTCGACTACAGTTGCCTCCTCCCTGTCCCTAGCATGCGTAACTTTTGCTACAACTTTGCCCTCTCCTGAGGGTTTAATTCTCGACGAACAGGCCCCCCACGACTTCCGTCTCCCAGAAAAACATCGTCGCGAGTCGCATAATCAGTCCTAAATCGCCATTTTGTGGCCAAGTTGTCCGGGAGGCTCTTCTTCAAGGCAAGCGACATATAATCACCTAAAACAGGAAGGAATTTGAACCCACTGGGCGTAGTTGTCAGCGTCACTGGCTGTCTGTCCACAATTGAGAATATACTTACTGCCCACTTCCAGCCCCCCCAAAGAACAGATTTTTGTAGTCTGGATGGTAATCCATGATGAAATCTCCGGTCGGAGTGTCTGTGTACCAACACAATGCCAGCTTCTCAAAGGGACGATCGGCTAGTTCTGGGAGAATCTCGCGCAACCCAGCTCGTAACCTCGCTTCCCCGTCTGCGGGCACAAAGTTGCGACGCTCCCGGGGCGGGATCAAAGGGGGAGCAGAAAGATTCGACCGGTTTGCAAGGACCTCTTCGCTGCCCGGGGTGCGTGTGTAGCCCCAGCCGTGAATGGCAAATTTAAGAATTCCAGTCTCCTCGTGAGGGGGGAAGTTGAACCACCCGGTGGAGAAGTTGGCATACATCGGAAGGTCTTTGTACCGGACCATTTCCTCTGGGGTGAGGCGCAAATACGCCACCACTTGCGCGGTGGTCAGGGTGGAATTATACATCGGGACCAGGCTAGACCCCCAGGCCCCGGCAGTCAGCAGAAAGCAATCGCCTTCGATCGGAGGACCGATCAAAGTTCGCACCGCCTTGATCTTGTTTGATGAATTGGTCTCGAAGCCAACCACAGTTCCTCTGCGGCCCGACAGAAACGAGACACCCAGTTCCAGACAATCGTCTCGGATCTGGCTGATGGCCTTGTTGGCATCTGCCCAGCCAGCCTGGGTGTTGAGATAACCATTAAACGGCGGAGCTGCCAGGGTGCCACTCAAGACGGGGTGCAACTGCTTTGCAGCAGCGACATCCTCCAGTCTCGTGTAGGGCAGCTGTCGGCGGGTCAGGGCTGCGGTGGTGCTGGCAATCCAAGCCTGGCCGTGGGGGCTGGTATTGCCGGTCAGAATGAAGGGAGCAGGATAGAAGAACCCCTGATACTTGGGCTTGGACCACTCTTGATAGGCCTGGTGGGCGATGCTGAGATAGTCATCATCAGCATAGTCGAAGCGGATCATGCGAGAGATATCGGAACTGGAGCCATCCGACACCGGCGGCATGTCGCGGTCCAGCACCAGAATGTTGCCATAGCCCTCCGACGCCAGTTGACGGGCGGCGGCGAGGCCAAACACCCCGGCGCCGATAATGACGATGCGCTGGTCTTTGTGGTTGGGGTCCATATCTGCGAGATGATACCTGAGATGGTTAGTGAAGTGACTGCCTGACTATATCAGAGATTTCCTGTCGGTGGCTCTTTTGCCGACTGGTTCTCTCGCCTCCGTCGGCTGTTCGCCTGCCCCACCAAACTGACAGTTTATTTACCAAGGTGCCGACTTACGTTGCATTTTCTACGCATCGCAGTATACAAGGTATGCAAGTCTCATCCCATAGCTGAAGTCATCTATATACATTTATCTGTAGAACAAGGCCGAGTCCACGTGACTTAACGCCGAGAGAAGCCGAGAGACTCCGCGTTTCCTCTGATGTCGGACTGGCAGATTCTCACCGCCAAGTAGCTTAGTATGTTGTAGGCATCATTATACTCGAATATGCTCGTTTGTCAGGAACAGCCATGACAGAATCTACAGAGAGCAATGCCACACATCAATCCAGTAATACTTGCTAGAGAGTGAGATTAAGTGGTCCGCTGTGCATCCTGTTTTCACCGGATCCCTGTGCCTAGAGAAATGAACATGCCCGTTCGAGCCCTCCCCATCACCATGATCTGCTACGAGCAGCTGCCCACTTGCTCCTCCCAAGGTTGCCAGCTGGGAGCATTGTCTCCCTCCCAGCCCCCAGTGGGCCATGAATCAGCAGTGCTGGTCTTGGAATGACCTTGCGTAGTCAGCGTGGTGCGTTGACCCACGGCAGTGGCCCAGCTGGGGATCTGGTCGGCCGAGGAGACAACCGTGGCCTCGGTAGCAGAAGCAGGAGCAACCGAACTGACAACTGCGGTGTGAGCAGCAGCAGTAGTCTCGACAAAAGCCGCAGCCACACTGGAAGTAGCAGCTGCCTCAGCGGTGGAGGCACTGGCGACACTGCTGCTGACCTGACCGGCGGCGGCGGCGGCGGAGCTGCTGGAGCTGCTGGCGCTGCCACTAGGGGACATGCAGGCAAAGCTCATCTTCTTGGTAAACTTGGATGAGTCGGCGTCGTACACTACCAGGGATAAATCCCAGTCCATGCTCACGTAGGGCCAGCAAATGCGACCGTCGGACATGGTCACCATGTCACCGGCAACGTAGACATCGGAGCTGGAAAAAGCATCGCCCACCTTCTTGCCGCTGGCATCCACTTGCTGGAAGTAGGTTCCGGCAAATTTACCCTGGCAGCCCATGGCGATGTAGCCGCACACAGGGTCGGAAATTTCTTCCCAGGTGATGAGGGCCGAGCTGTTGCCGAAGGTGGCGGCGTGAGCGTTGGAGCAGTCATTGGAGCCGGAGGTGACCCAGGTTATCTGGCTGTCGCCGTCCTCGTCGCCCACGGTCGAAGTCGCTTGCTCACCGACCTTGGTGTACTTATCGGAGAGGAGAGCCAGGGCAACGTTGCGGGGGTTGGTGCGGTTGTTGACGTGAGTGTATCCCTCGCCCATCCAGCTGTTCTCTGTCACATCGACGGCGCCACGAGACACCCAGGTGAAGATGTAGCGGCTGCTGTCGGCAAACCGGGCCAGTCCGCTGTAACTACCGGACATTCCGCCCATTGGCTCACCGGAGGCACCGTTGGTGGTGTTCTCGTTCGAGATCTTGACTCCGTTGTTGGTCATGCCCTGGGTCTTGGTGTTCAGCCAGATGGCACCCTGGTCTTCCGCACAGATACTGGCAAAAGGGGGCTCATCGGCGGCTTCGAAGGCAATTCCGGTGTTGTGACTGCAACCCCAAGCGCTGGAGGCACCACTAATGTCGAGCAAAGTACCATTGTCGGCCACGTACTCAATGCTGTCGCCATAGTGGCCCTCGGCCCAGCCGGAGTAGTCACTGACCACAAAGTAGGCACCGTACATGCCAGCGGCTTCCGAGTAGACCAGGTCACCGTTCATGTCCACTGCCTCAGCCAGACCATCCGAGGCGTGCACGTCCGGACCACCGAGCCAGGTCTTCCAGGTCTGCTTGCCATTTGTGTAACGGTGGAGGACGGGGACGGGGGTGTCGCTGGGGGGCGCGTTGGTCGTGCCAGAGGGCATGACCTCGTTGGTCAACAAAGCAAAGCCGTCATCGTGGGCAACGAGACCACCCGCTACAGTAGGGTTCAGCATCAATGTCACACCAACGGTCAACCAATCAGGGTACCTACCTTCCTTGCCACCACTAACTGTCACCGACGTGCCCGTGGCTTTGAAGGTGGTGGGGTCCAGCTCCGTAACATGAACATCGGTTCCGCTCGAGTCGAGATAAGCCAGATAGGCAGTCTTGCCGTTGGGGGACACCGCGAAAGGAGTGCGACGGTGATGAGCAAAGCTAGTCCAGTAGGCGGCTTCGATCGGGTTGAACGAGTTGTCGAGTGCCAGCACATCGACATGAGTCTCGAGGTTGGATGCGGTCAAGCCGGCAGAGGCGCCCAGCGCCGCAGAAAGCAGAGAAAGAGTGAAAAGCCCACGCATGATGGAGGGCGGTAGTTAGTTGCGCTGCTGCTTGTAGAATAGTTTGACGTCCACTCAGACCGCAGGAGGGAGTCGAGGCATAGTTATAGTCCCAGGGATTTCGGCACATCGTGGATATACCCGGCAACATGGAACGAGGAGCAAGCCCCAATGTGGGCTCAGGGTCTGCCCTGCTGTCCTGTCTCCTCCCATCGGAGATTGTCATGGATGATTCAGGGTTGTGACAGCCGGTCTCCTCGGATCGTTATTGGTTTGTGTGGAGAAAGTGGGCTTAATGGAGTCGAAGGTGAGACCTTAAAAGTGATTAATAGGGGGAATTGAGGTTTCATTTAGATTCTCCAGCCCGGCCTCGGCCCCAGCCCTAAGACCTTTCACCCACCCTCTCCCTTCACTTATAGTTCTGTGGTATGGTAGAGGATCGGTTGACAGTCCGTGCTCGAATCCCAGGCTGTTTCCCTGTGCCTGAATCTTGTTAACCTCAGTGCAGAGTTGGGGTAGAGAAGGGCCGTCTCTCCCAGATGAAACACTCGGCGCCCGCAACTGAGACAGCAATATCCACGACAATTCAGGGCGACTCGGCACTTTCACCCTTTGGGTTGCGGGCTCGGAATTGGTGAGGTCAACTCGAATGCCTGTCATTCTGATATCTCCTAGAAATCTTAAGTTAAGGTTGTTGCGGATCCGTGTGCGATCAGCGATACGCGTATTCGTAACCCCTAAGCTGCCGGCACGTAAGTGTGGTACGTGATCGGTTTAGACTGTCATTCATAGAGCTAAAGTGCGACGATTGTATTGCCCTCCTCCGTGTCTTCGATATATTTCTTTGGTCCCATCCATCTTGGCTTTTCCACCAAATCAGCCGACATTTCCGGGCCTACCACGAGGGACTTACTGGTAAGTACTGCCAGAATGCATCCTACTACACCTCCTCGACGACCGTCAGGTATGTCATGCCAGCTCAAGGTTTCTCTCTCTTTGTCATCTGACGAGTCAACAGTGTGGTGAAGGCTTCTGCCCTGCGTTTACTCTCCCCAGCTGTTGCCGCGCTCGCTTTGGCTGGGTAAACGCGCCCGCCCGTGATGAACATTGCTGCCAGCAGCATTAACAAGATCCATGCAGGCAGCTCGCGTGCTAGCCATGTCATGCAGTATTACTGCTGACCTTTCCACCCTTTTCTGGCCAGGGTTATTCTCATCAAGGCTTTGATGATTACTGCACGTCTGCAAGGTGGCAAAGTGAAACCTTGATGCCTGAGGCCATATTCATCTCGGCAAGGTCCGACTTGGCAATGCCGATCTGTATACTTCAGTACTAAGGATAAGTATGATTAAGTGCAATCACATCGATAGGGGTCTTTTGATCGTCGTCGGTACGGGTTACTTATTCTATCTAATCCAATATTATCGAGTTTACCGTATTGGGTCGTCTCTCTTGATTTGAGCTGATCTCTCAAGGATGATATCACCGATGCCAATCATAAACAATTCAAGATCTGTTATGCTCCACCCGGGGAAAGTTCCTTCAGCCGATGACGCGGCAGGCAACAAAGTTTTACGATATCATGGCGAATTCCAGCTCAGGCACCAGGCAGACCAAGCTTTCTCTGGCTCCATCTGACGACGTCCCGTCACGGAATGCCCGTGGCTTGGCCGTCATAATATCCTATTGCTCTTCCTGCCAAGAATCTCGACACAGCACACATCATGGTTGCCATCAGCCGAGTCTACCTGCTCACTCTGCAGGCAATGTTATTAGTGAGCGCCAAATCTACCACCTCTGAAGTTACCACCAATTTCAGCACGTCCTCATCCTCTACATCTACCGGCTCCGACAACATCGTGATCGTTACTTCGGCCTCCGAAGTCGTGCCAACCGGCAGTTACCTCAGCTACACCACCACCATAACGCTCGCCAAGAATGAATCGATCTCAACTACTTCAACTGCCACTACTTGGTCCAACTTCACCAACGCCAATGACACAGGAACAGCAACCAGCTTGACTACCACAACCGACACAGCGGTTCAGTTGAGTGGCACGAGGGTGGTGACAAGCAGCAGCACTGTCACAGCCACGACGGGCACCAACACGCAGGCCTGCAATGGTTATATGGAATTCTGCGAACGGAAATACTCAAATATCACCATGGTCACAGCTCACAATAGTCCCTTCGTCAAAAAGAACAACCTTGCCGCCAATCAGGCGTACACGGTGCGCACACAACTCAACGATGGTGTGCGTATGGGTATGTTCTGTGATCTTCCTGTGGTGCCTTGACTAAGTACCGGGCAGTATCGTTCGAAGCACATTATTACGAGGAGGAAATTTACCTCTGCCACACATCGTGCGACTTACTGAATATGGGCACCCTGCAGAGTTACCTCACCACGATCACCGACTGGGTGAAGGAGAATCCTTACGATGTGGTGACGGTAATGATTGTCAACTCCGATTACGTAGATCCCGCCAACTTCAGTGGCCCCATCCAAAATTCTGGTTTGATCGACTACGTGTACGAGCCGTGGAAGATCCCAATGAATGTCAGTGACTGGCCGACCTTATCCGAGATGATATTGAGCGAGCAGCGCGTGGTTGTGTTCATGGATTACCAGGCCGATCAGAGCTCGATCCCCTATATTCTAGACGAATTCAGCCAGATGTGGGAAACCCCTTTCTCCCCTCTCAACGCCTCATTTCCCTGTACGGTGCAGCGACCACCAGGAATCACCGCCGCGGAGGCCGAGGAGTGCATGTACATGGCCAATCATAATCTTAATATTGAGGTCCTCTTGGAGGGCATTAAGATCCTCATTCCGGACACTGCTCAATTGAACACCACCAATGCGATCTCCGGGTATGGGAGTCTGGGTCTTATGGCCAACAATTGTCGCTGTAAATTCTGCTCTCCAATCCTCCTCGAGAAACACTATTAACCCTAGTACAGCCAAATGGGATCGTCCCCCAAATTTCCTCCTGGTCGACTACTACAATGACGGCAACTTTCCAGGATCAGTCTTTGAGGTTGCGGCGCAGATGAACAATGTCACGTACAACGGCAAGTGTTGCGGCGCGAAAAGTGAGGCCTCACAAAGAGCCCATTTTGCCAGTCTGGGGGTTTTGTTACTGGTGACTTGGGGCGGGTTGATGCTTGTATGGGACCTACTGTGATACTTCTTCCAGGTGGTCTGCACCCCTCTGAGACCTCGTTCTGTGGTACAAGCCTCTGGAACATTGGGTTGATGTTAATTGATACTAGTCAGCCAGCTGTCAAACACAATGCTAACGAGTGCGCGAAAAATGCCGGGGGCAATGCTGAGACAGATTTATTTGTAAGGAAATCATCCCCTAGATGATTGTAAAGAATAGTTCGACGATAGCGTGGGTATAGTCTCACATGTTCGAACTTATGCACTACTCCTCCAACAGCAGTACTAAGCAAACTTCTTCAATAAGACATACACGGTATAGGATTATGCGGGCTAAGATTACACACGCCCAAGACACTCGATGCACCAGTATGCGCTTTATAATGAGAGACAGCTGAAGGGGAAAAGGGAGAGACTGGAGAGAAGGAAAGAAGAGAACGGCAAAGAGTAATGCCTGCTCAGGGCAGTGGCAATAGTAATCACTTAAACTCCGAAATCAGGGAGCGAATGCGGCCTCGACACCTGGCAAACACTGATTCCCCTGAGCCCTAATCCCAGACATTGAATAGCAACAGTGCATTTCGGGGGTTTGAGCCAAATGCGGCCGTGTTGAATGTGGGCGGGATGGTTAAACAATTGAGTCCTTGGAGTGCTGCAGCCTTTCTCATCACAATTTCCGCAGCTATGTCAGGCCTTGCCTGTCGACCGAATGAGCCCACGAAGAGACGATCTTATCGACTTCCATCTGTATCCATATCAGAGGGCGATGCCATGGTTGGTCGCCTCTGCTGATTCGGGACAGTTATTGTTTCAGAACGAGGAGATTGACACATATTCATAATATCTCGAACCTCACATGATCAAAAACCTGCTTTGAGCCGCTCTAGAACGAACGAGATTGATCCAAGTCGTGCCGGGCTCCAATTCCATTGCCCAATATGTCTTCAGAAAGGAGAGCACTCGGTTGCGGTCCAATCTCCCACTGATCCGGATCACAGCTAGCATTGCGCCTTCAACCATGGCTTGTTCTGCCGGACAGCCTCTGCACTCTGTTCCAGCGATGAAGAGTGGCCAGACCAGATCATGGGCAAAACATGCCCCTTCCGTCAAGCGAGAAAGATGATCCAATACTGCGTCGCGCGACGTGATGATGCAGCGTTCTGCGGAGGGTCCTTTCCCCAGGACTCGATGGCTGTAAATCAGGCTTGCATAGTAATACATGGAGGCAAGGTGATCAAAATCTCGCTGCGCCTCTAGTGACCTGAAGTTGATCCGCTGGCTGAGCAGCAGAGTCCTTGATCTAGCCGCCACGATCGCCTGAGTGATGTCTTCGAGTGCTGGCGTGGTGGCATTGGGACTGCCAGCATATTGTTCACGCTCGGCTCGGGTCACGGTGTGCATGATCTGCACAAACTCGCTGAAAACAGTCAACGAGTCGTAGGTATTGATGTGGTTGGTGAATTCAGCCGGCGGATCAAAGGTTGTCAGGCCCATGACGACTGAATGGTAGTAATATTCGTAGAGCAGGAAGACATCTGCCTGATTATCCAAGCTGGGCCGACAAAGGGCCTGTGACATCCACTGGATGACCGCACCAGCCCCTTGGATGTGAACTTGCCAACGCGCAGATTCTGCTGTAAGCAGCTCCACGTTGTACAAGAGTAGAATGGATGCTAAGATACACCGTGCTTTCTCCAGAGAACAAGGTGATTCCAAAGCCTTTCTTGGCAGCGAGTTCAGTTGCTGTCCGAGGAGAGATACTGTCTTACTTCTATATTCAAGTGAAGCAGCCTGCAGCCGGCGCACGTGGGGTGTTCCTGTCTCGTAGCGAAGAACAAGATCTTCCGATGCCATGGCCAAGACAGAGTTTAAAACCAGCTGGGACGTATGCGTCAGTCGCATGACGATATTTCGCCAGGGGTTGTCGGGTCCATCCACCCATGCAAGCTTGGTCGCAACGTGCTTGTCGAAATGTTGCAATAAGTAAGACAGAAGAGTCACTCCCGGAGTATTTACTTGGATGTACGCTGTCGGTCCGGGCCATTCATCACCCTGCAGCTGGGTAGATAGTGGACGAAAGATGGCATTTTTGACCGGCCCTTTTTCGGCATCCAGGGGCACGGGGATTGACCGGCCGCTTAGTCTACCGCGACTGGCGACTCCTTGAACCCATTTGAAAACCGGCCCGTAACCTGGACAGGCAAAATTGCGCGACTTGCATTTGCGGCAAGTGGGTAAGGTTCGATCACATTGGATTCGTCGCAACTTGCACCTGGAACAGTCTGTCTCTCTCTGTCGGTCAATCCGGCTACTATGGCCAGTGTCGCGAATTGCTGGGGCTTACCTTTATCGGCAGAAGTGGTGACCGGAAGATAACTGAAGGTGCACAGCATCAGGCGGAGATGTAGGCATTCAACATCGGAGATCTAAATCCCTACACTGACGGTGTAAAAATACTGTAAATGGTTGTAGAGTCAATTGCCATGGCCACGGATGTCAGCCTTTGCCGGTCAGGTGATCTTCCCCGCCGCAGCGTGGTAGCAAGCACCACGTGACCAGGCTGGGGGGGTTCTGCCCTTTTAGGAATGAATATGGATGAAGAACAATCCAGAATATTGAATAGTGACGTAGAGACTCAGGGGGCACTACTAACACTACCATATCTCCTCGAGTCATGTATACATCTATGTACTGTATGTATCCTCATTACCCAACCACCGGCACGAATATCTCGGAGTTTGCACACTCAGCCTTGACTATCTCCTTCTCCTGCCAATTATTGAACAAGTACCCCTGTTCCTTCCATCCTTGCAAAGCTTTTCCATATAATCTCCTCTGCTCGTCACTGGAAGACAGAATTCCAGTTTTGCCGCGGCGAGCTCGCGAATTGGCACGCTCAACCAGCATAATGTCATCCCCCGGTATTGAGTCTCCAGAGGCATCTGGATCCTGGACTTTCATCTCATAAGTGCGATACTCAGTGTTGTTCCAGCCAGTTCCTATTATAAAGCAGATCCATGAGTTATTACAGGGTTATGATCCTAGCACGGATTGTCGAACACTTGCCTTCATACACACAGCTGTCCTCCCAATCTTCGGTCAGAAAGTGTAGAAAAGCCCCATGGGTGACCACCACCGCCTCCTTCTCAGGTCTTTCGTAGAGCCACCGTCGAACAGTCCGCGCACGGTTCTGGATAGCGTCTGTTGTCGGCTTATATCTTCCTTCCTAATCACGGTTCATCGTACAAGGTTAGATTTGAGAATCCTTTTGACCGCTATTGAACCCGGATCTGGGACAACAGGATGCTTCTCACCTTGCTGGTCCAACCTTCCTCAACATGGCTCCAATCCTTTTGAACATCGAGGTCCTCCACCCTCGTCTGTAAGGCATCGATCTCACTTCCAATATCACAGGGGAAGTTGCTGATCTCCTGCAGATCTGGTAGCAACACCAAGCTCGACTCGGGGTGAAAATCGAAGACCGGCCGAAAGCTCTCGACTGCCGTGGCGATGGCACGGTGCATTGGAGACGAGACCACGAGTTGGACTTGATGATGGAAAGGAAAAGTTTCCCTAAGCTTTGAGCATTGTTCCCTTCCCTTGTCGGTCAGAGGCGGATCAACCAGGGACCAGTAGGCCATTCCGAGGTTATGCAAGCCCTAGAGTCGCCGGTCAGGTCACGAAATAGTATCAGGTTGCCATTGATCGCACCTCTGCGTGGCGGACCAAGTGCAGTATCGGTGCCATGGCCAAAAGATGCGATTGCGGGTCGAGAAATAATGGAATGGGTTGAAATGGCAAACACAGTGTGATCAAGCCCTGGGAGGCAGAGCCATGTTTTTGTTTGAGGGGGAGGTGGTTGGCAGCCTGATGATAGCCTGAGGAGATTCAGGCATCCATTGTGGAAACGCAAAGCTTAAATTTGCATCTTGGCTTCCCCTTTAGGCTTAGCGTACTGTCATGCTTGTCAGCATTACTAGACAGTTGAACGGGTAGCCCTACTAAGGTATGCAGTGGCATCATTCTCATTCTGGTCAGGGAGTAAAACATTGATCACCACGCAATCCATCAAATTTCCTCTGGATTTTGGCATATTTCCTTGGATAAACAAAGACCACCTCGTCCCTGACACCGACGCAATGAATGAGCTACGGCTGCACCTAGATACACCCTCCTCTCACATCATCTTCGTCCACCCGGGGCGCGAGTCATACACTTTTCCTCTATCAGGCTCTCTCCGGATCTCTCCAAGTTTTCTCAATAGAGATTCTACATGCTCCCCGAAAGCCAGTGTTAGTCTGGTCAGAACTGTCAAGACTGACATTCAAGGGTCAGCTTGCACAAACACCAAGAGTCGCAGACGGTACTCTCTTCCATTCCGGCATCGGGCAACGTCTCCAACGACGTCACAGGAGTCTGTGGAGACTGTGCTCGAGTGTCAACTTTGGCCTTCACCAGCGGTACTCGCACCAACTTCAACTGCAGCCATCACCACTAGTACGAAGTGGCCTTTTTGTATTCCGATCCCAAGCAACATCCCAGCAACGACGAGAACGGACCTCGGAAGCGTTAGCTACACTATCACGGCCACGGTGACTCTTGCATCAGGAAAATCAGCTTTCATAACCAGGGCACTTGATATATTCTATCGACTGGTGCCAACTTTGGATCTCACGACCAGGCACGTTCGACAATTTCCTGGCTCTCCTCTCCTAGTCGATGTCAACATGACACAACACCAGCCTAAAGCCGGCACGGCTTCACTCATGTTCTCTGTAGCACTGATAGCCCGGAACATTCTTAGACCTGGCATCCTAGAAGGCGAGATGAAGTTTATTACTATCAAGACAATCAATTGGTGGATCGAAGAAGAGGCCAGACTCACGGAGATTATCAGCAGCGACTTGCAGAGCTGCTCCAGTACTTGCAAGAAGTCCACTCGCTCTCTAAGTGACGGAGTTGTCAAAGTCGAGTGGCCAACGCGCAGTCGTCAACGATCAGATGAACAAAGCCTGAAACCCGGACGACTGGAGATTAATTTCAATATCATGATTCCTCGCAGCGCAGAGCCTGCGGACGACATTTATCTCGACAGCTATGGCACCGGTGGTAGTGGGTGGAATTATCAAAGTCAATTAGCCAGCAGACAAGTGATCACGGTCGATCACCACCTCAAGATCGAGATAAGCACAGGGGAGGATACTTGGAATAGCAGAACGAACACCTTATTGGACCGGAAAATTTTGGTTAAGTCGTACGGGACAATCCTTCCAATGCGAATCCACCAGCTAGCCGACAGCAACGAGACATTGCATGGCGCCTGTTACCAGGAAGAGCTCCCAGCATTTGAGGTGGCTCAGGCATTGCCACCTCCAAGCTATGAGACCAGCCTGCAAAGCACCAAACCGTTTTTCATGGCCTAAAACCCCGTACCCCCCTCGACACCCGTTGCGATACAGAATATGATTTCGCTGTCGATTTAGCATGCCTCATGAGCATTTCGTAAGCCGGCCAGAGCGCCAGATTTCTCCTTGGCCTTCCCATTTAATAACGCACCTGCCTATTCCAGAATCGGGTGCTACTATTAGGCGTGATAGGAGTTTTTGACATGTATAGCTGTTTCCCACCAAATCAATTTTCATGCAGGAAGGATCTGTTTCCAAGTTCCATATGGCTAAGCACCGTGGTAATCAGAGATACATGATTGGACAGGTCTGACTTATGTATCCGGATTATGCAGGCTTACCTCATCTAATATCCCGACTCGAGGGGCTTGATCTGCAATATCCGCACAATAATCTGCAGCTGGATGAATATGCAACATCAGGACCAAAAGAGGCACTGAATCCGTGATGTCTCCACTGAGCTGCCTGTCAGCCTTGATTGACAATCAGCCTCGGAGGGTGCTGCAGAAAACGGGCTACTCTCTCCGGCAGGATTAATCTACTCGGCAGACCCGGCATGAACAGCACGCTCGGAGAAACCAACAATCCCCCACGTGCCCGGTCGATCATTTACCCTAAATGAAGTAATTAAACGTTCATCTCCCCATACAGAGTCCCAGACCGAGGCACGTTGGGTCTTCAGCGCGATTCGAACAGGAACAGGAATCATGCAAGCCTTTCATCTGCAAGGGCCAGGGCGCACGTTGCACTAAGTGGACTGTCCACCATGCATCGTAGTAGTGGTCTTCATAGTAGGACTGCTACTGCGTGCAACTATAAATCCCTCATCGAAATGCTCTGGTTGGAGTCAATCATGAGGATCAGCAGCATCAGATTTCCACAACAAAGATGGTCCTTTATTCCAGTCTGATCCAGAGTCTGCCACTGCTGGCAGTCGCAGCTCTGGCCGTGGACTATCCCACTCTCCCTGGTGACCTGACTACTCCCTACCAGCAGCGCCTGGCCATCATGGGGCCAACTTGTGAGCACTTTGTTCCTCTGATCAAAATTCGTACGAATTGACTGAACCCGTCTATCTAGCGGTCTCCATTGGTTGGAACACCTATGAAAAGCTCAGCTCGAGCTGTGTGGAGTACGGCACCTCGAGCAGCGACTTGAGCAAGCGAGCCTGCTCGACCAAGTCAACTACATACTCTACCTCGCGGACTTACTCCAACGCGGTGACCCTGACCGGTCTCACTCCTGCCACTACCTACTACTACAAGATTGTCTCGGGCAATTCCAGCGTTGAGCAATTCTTGAGTCCTCGAACCCCGGGCGACAAGACCCCCTTCAACTTCGACGTCGTGATTGACCTGGGGGTGTACGGAGCTGATGGCTTCACAATCTCGAGTGACTCCTCCACCAGCAAACGCGAGACCCCTTACGTGGAGCCCGACCTCGACCACACCACCATTGGGCGACTGGCCGACACCTTCGACGACTACGAGCTCATCATCCACCCCGGTGACTTTGCCTATGCGGATGACTGGTTTCTCAAATTGAAAAACCTCCTCGAGGGTAAGGATGCTTATCAAGCCATCCTCGAGAGGTTCTACGACCAGCTGGCCCCGATCGCTGCTGGCAAGCCCTACATGGTCAGCCCCGGGAATCACGAAGCCGACTGCAACGAGCTGTCGGTACTCAGCAATCTTTGCCCAGAGGGTCAACGTAACTTCACCGACTTTATGCACCGATTCGACGAGACGATGCCGCAGGCGTTCGCTTCGTCTTCCACCAACACTACGGCGCAGACCCTGGCCGCCACGGCGCGCACGCTCTCCAACCCTCCGTTCTGGTACTCGTTCGAGTACGGCATGGTGCACTTCACTATGATCGACACAGAGACCGACTTTACGCATGCACCGGACGGGCCCGATGGGTCTGCCAAGCTGGATGGCGGGCCTTTCGGACAGCCTCAGCAGCAGTTGAAGTTCTTGGAAGCGGACCTGGCCAGCGTCGACCGCAGCGTCACTCCGTGGGTGATTGTCGCGGGTCACCGACCGTGGTATTCGACCGGGGGCTCGGGCAACATCTGCAACGTGTGCCAGGACGCCTTCGAGGATCTGCTGTACAAGTATGGCGTTGATCTGGGGGTGTTTGGCCACGTCCACAACTCGCAGCGGTTCCAACCTATCTACGACGGAAAGGTTGATGCCAAGGGTCTGAACGATCCTGCTGCGCCGATGTACATCGTGGCCGGTGGTGCAGGCAATATCGAGGGGTTGAGCTCGGTCGGCTCCAAGCCGTCGTACACGGCCTTTGCCTATGCCGATGACTACAGTTACAGTACCATCCGGGTGCTGAACGAGACCCATCTCCAGGTGGATTTCATTCGGTCGGAAACGGGGGCCGTGTTGGATTCGAGTGTGCTGTACAAGAGTCATACTGAGCAATTTGTGGTGCAGTAGTTTATGGATGTTGGTGGATGGAGAGAGGGAAAGAGTATTGCAGTTGGCTAACTCGCTGAACATAGTATAAACGTGACAGTTGGAATTAAAAATCATTCAGAGACCGCTTTTGAAAGAATTTGCAAAACAACCACTCCCATGCAATAAAGAGAACATTCATTCTCATAGACCCTAAAGATAGCGAATCTGGCGAAAGGACCGCATCATCATATAAACGCCATGCAGAGTAGCGTAGATGCCGGCCCCTGCGACGCCCCAGGCAGCTGCCTGCACGCGCAGCGAACTGAGCGGGATATGGCCGGGTTCGAAGCTATCCCATCGATAGGTATCCGAGCGCACGACATGTTTGCGACGCTGGGAGGGATCTACTTCCTGTTCAGCGATGGGATCCTTGGTTCTGTTCTTGCAGCATTCAACAATCCGTACCCGCTGACTGCATGCGCTGGCCGATGTTGGACACGGCCGGCCTTGATCGACCGATGAGCATTTGGTACATTGTGTTGGTCTGTTTCTGGAGGTAAAAATTGGAGCAGACTTTGTGATATAGTAGAGTGCAAAGGAGCCAGGAGTTGAAAGGGTGGGGGGGTGGGTTTGCATGGACTTTAATGGAGAGCGTGGCGAAAATGACGACGATGTCAGGGCTTCGACCATGGATCACAGCCGAGCCCGCTCGTGATGCGACAATAACACCTGCACAAAGCTGTGGACAAACCCCACTTGATGGGTGATATATCCCAAGTGACCCCCTGGCATGTCAATCACGGGGAGATTTAGTCGATCTGACAGAATGCAGACCGGTTGTGCTGTCAAGTCGGGGGATTCTTCTGCCCCACGCAGGAGAATCAGTTTGTCCCGATGGTCGAGCAGGATCTCCGGATTCAACGTGGTGAATTGACGCCATTCAACTATCTCCACCCCAAAGTACCAATTCTGGTTGTTGGGTGGAATTGCCATTAGCTGCTTGAAGACTGGAGAGGCTCTGAAGAGCTCTCGGTCGCGTTTGCTGCTCGTGATGGAGGTGAGCATCGCATTGGCGGCTGGTACTCCATGTTTGCGGAAAGCAGCAATGATGCGATCCATATCATCGCTGAACCCTTGCAATATTGCCGGCTCGAACAGGTTCCCTAGGACTGGCTCGTGAACAATGACCTTCCGTATCAGGTGGGGATGCGTGCTGAGCAGGTTCAGAGCAATGTCCGCCGCCCAGGAAGAGCCGAAGACGATGGCGGGACTATGAGGCGAGAGGTGTCGGATTAGTGCCGCTGCATCCTCGACATTGGCTTGCAACAGACGCGTCGGATCGAAGTTTGTAGCGTCTTTGAGTGGACTTCGCCAGAATCCTCGCCGGTCATAAGTCACCACTTGGCACTGGGACGCCAGAAGGGAGGCGAAAGACGCGAAGAAGGCCGCGGTACCGTTTCCACCAGACATTATCAGGACGAGTGGGCCCTGACCGCGGACCTCATAGTACAACCTGGCGCCCTTGACGTCCAGGAGTGAGGATTGGACCTCGGAAGATAGTTGGGCTTGCATTGTGAGAGGGAAGGGAGGAATGGACATGAGCGAGAATACTGGAAGGATTCAGTCGACGACGACTTCCTGACGCTTTGTAGCTTTTGACAATCGCAAATGGGCATCATGGTTCTCGCCCATCCGACCATTCTTCTCCGTGGCTATCGGTCAAACCGACCAAAGCCCTACGAGAAGGACGCCCCGGTCGTTCCGACCTGCCGCACGCTAAGAAACGAGGCACACCTGTTGAGGTGCGAAAGAGCCCAGAGTGGATCCGAAGGAGAATATTCGGTGACTGCGACTGGCTGTGCGTGTATCTGCAAGACATGCAAGAGAGAGGCGTGCAAACGACGAGCTGAAAAAAATGATCCCCGCAAGGTCTGGGCCGATCCGGGCTCGGCAATCGTTGCCTTGACAGCTCGCAGTTCGCACGCAGCTGGGGAAAAGAAGGATCCATGTGGCAGCTTGGCAACGAAGCGTTTTCTGCGTTGGCTGCTCTGTAGACTAGGTTGGGTTAGGTTGATGCCCTCCCCTCGTCACTTGATGCTGAGCTGGAACAATATTGCTACCAGCTGCTCTCCTGAGCAAAGTAAGACTTGAAGATCAACATAACTGCCCGAGAAGGACAGAAGCTCCCCTGACTCGTGCAGGCAACGGCGCTAAGGTGCATCTTTGGGTACCAGAAATCAATAGTTCCGTGTGGCGTCGGCGGCAAACAACCGAGTACGATTTCGAGAAGAGTCTGTTTGTCTATTGTGCCTTTAGTCCTGATACGTAGTCTAGTTACGTTTTCGGACTCTTCTTATCTGCTGCATCCGAACAGTTGGTGACACCGGCAATATCCAATCGCGATTCTTCGCCGAATTACTGGGTTTGGTCGTCACACCTGCCACCATTCAGACGCACCTTGGTTGTCGGCCACAGTCAGCCTTGAACATGCTTCTTCATGGTTTGCCGAGACAGCAACGCTGGGATGTAAGCCTTGTGAGCAGGAGAGAACATCTCGGAATAAATCAAACACGAAGCCACTGACTCCGCTGGCTGCACAACCCGGGGTGTCCTCAAAAGTCAAAACCATGAGCAAGGTCAGCACACATGGCTAAACACGAGGAGGAGAACGAACCGTTGACATGTGCTATGCCATCCTCATACTACAGCTTCCGGATTTAAACATTGAGCCCTGATGAGGATTGAAGACATTCAGATGTTCTTATCTACAGTACATTATCCAAAGTTAGAGAGAGGTGCGGTGTGACTCCTTCACGGTTCAGAATGTCTACCGCAATCTTAGAGGAGGAGACCATGGGGACTGACTTGCCAACCGTCAGCGTCGATCTGGAGCATTGTACTTCCCATGACTTGTCCATCGACTTCGAGACCTTCTTTGGCGTCGAACCTCGTCATGTCTCCCCTTCGTTCAGGATCTGTCTTTCGGATCTTAGTTATCAACCCAAGGTCATGCAATCTCGGCTCTCTCCTGTATCTCTGGGCAGAGCTCACAATCTGATCATTCTAGATCGACCGTCCCATAGCCGCCTGGGCTGTGACGGCAGCATTCCGGGCATTCAAGACTTTCCAAGCAGCCGACAACAGCCCCGTTCATCGCCACGATCGGTACCGGGTCAGGAACCGAGGCAGTCGCTGCCCTCGAGGTCTTCTTCCCTGCATTGAGCAGTATCACGATGACGGACTTGTCCCCCAAGGTCGTGTCCTCGGCCAAATCGAACCTGATCCCTGCGGTTCATGATGCCGGAAAGGTCGTCCAGGCTGTGGCGATGGAGGCCACGGCCCTGACTGGAGATTGCTTGGAACCATTGCAGGGCCAGCAACCCTGGGATCTGATCTACGTGTATGTGGATCTCGTGGTGTCAACTTGTCGACCACAGACTTATCCACGCCCTAAGAAACCTGCCCAATATTCCGTTACCAGAGGGTGCGATCCTCCTCGAGGAACAAATGTCTTCCACATACTTCTCCAGCGCCCAACTTCCTTACAGAGTCCCGCCGCTCGTCTCCTCCGCACTCCTCGACCTGCACTACACCTGTCTCATTCAGGCTCGCATCCTGAGTCTTCACACTCCGGACGGAGTCGTCCTTTCCAGCATGGGCGGACGCGTTCCGATCGCCACGATGCTTGCCCTGGCCGACACAGCAGGCTATTCGGGGCGGATTCTCTCGATGGCCTGGAAGGTTCAAAGTGAACCCAACTCGGTGATTGAGGGCTACGCCACGCAGCAGCGAAGGGGATTGGGCCCAGTGAGTTGATGTGCAATGGCCCAACAGAAGGTATGCTGACACGGGGCAGTTCTACTTCTATCGCACGACAGCTCTTCAACGCATTTTTCACGGTCGGACTCCAGCCGGTGCTGCTCCGCGTGCTCTGCAGATTGAGCAAGAGCTTTTGTCAGAGCGGATTGATGCTGTTACGACCTGGAACTGCATCGCAGGGAGGAGGAGATCGGTCATCCGGCTGTGGTGATGGCGAGTGTACGGAAGTGAATATTCCATCCGAAAGAGATCGTACAACTTGAAGGGAAATGGCCTTCAAAGGGATGTAGGAGAACAATGTCCGTGTTCTACTGAGGTTTACGACGGATCAATGTTACTTCTGAATCATGTTACCTGTCATGCATGCGAATATAAATGTCCTCGGGCGACAAATTGAGCTAAGTAAATTTCGGTGGCTGCCGCGGAATGAACTTCACTGCAACTCAGCATAAGTTACTAGTCCTAGTTTATGCAAGTCAGGTATAATAGGACCAAGCCATATAAGGGTAAGACAATAAAAAGAGAAAACAAAGCAATGAATTAGTACAGACAAGGAGCCAACGCAAGTCTCGGAGCGGAAGGACAAAGGTCCTGTACGGGCAAAAAACAATGACCTACGCAGGGCTCGAACCTGCAATCTCTTGATTCGTAGTCAAGCGCCTTACCATTGGGCCAGCAGGCCAGCTGTTGAGAGTTTCCCTATAAATGTGTTATAGATCCCAGTTCAAGCTAGGCTGCAGTCTAACAACATGGGGAATTTATCTTCTAGCAACATGGGAAATCCTAATCGATTCCCAATAAACCAGGCTACTGAACAATCCTGTTTCTAAGGACAGAGCCAAAATGAGCGACCAAAGACACGTCAACGGTAGTGTGCCCCGAATCCTTGTTTCTCATAGAGTTCCCTCCTCACCATCATCACCACTCGTCCAACGTTTGAGATGTTTCCATCCTGCGCCGACGGCGCCGACACCAACCCCAACTCCCTGAACCATTCCCTGAACAATTGGGAATCCATAACCCCCGGCCCCAGCACTCTGTCCGATGGTAAACCAGCTCCCAGCTGCAACTGACCCTTATCCCACCAGAACCGAGTCAGCAAGCCCACCAGTCCGCAGAACCTGAAGAGCAGAGCATACCAGCCTGCACTCCAACAGCAGTAAAACCCGCATGGTGAAGAAGGGGAATGGCCACTACACCTGGGGCAGCCAAAGCCGTCAAGCCTCCAGCAAGGCAAGCCGCAGATCCCGGGTTCGCAGCAGCCCAATTGGCGCCCTGGTGTCATTGTGTTAGTACACATACTCTCGAAGCAACAATCACCTAAAGCTGAAAAGAAACACAGTAGCACTAGTATGGACTGACATCTTTTGCCTTTTCGAGTACCCAGTCCTTGTAGCCCTTGTCGGAATGTGTATGACCATCCTCAACAGTTCCAGGCTGGCTTGCCTCCACGGGAGCAATCGCAGCAATAATCAGCACAACTAATGGGGGGGTTTTCATGAAGGAGGGGTTGAGGTAAAGGCAGAGAAGAGTTACAGTGAGGTTAGTGGAACGTAGTATGCCAGCAAGCCGAATTTATCGGCGCTCGGTGATTGAAACAACCGAGTTGAACAGGGTGAAAATTGCAGTCAACGGAAAGGACACTTGGCAGTGATAGAACTACTTGATCCGCATGACTGTTGATTATCATCACTACCTGGTCATGTGGCGGCCTTTAACCTAGGCAACCGAACAGAGCTTCCTTGGTACTATACACGGAAAGCCAAAGCATCGATTCTCGGGATTACGAGTCTCAATACACACAAATCATGGCTCCTTTACGGTTTCAGCGACCCAGACCCAAGGGACAGCCAACTCGAATGGAATTGTCTCCATTCACTCCATCATAGCCCATCATCGTCTCTATACAGGCTGGCCTATCGCTATGCCAAGAGGTCAACACGGTATCGGAAACGGCGTGGGACTGCCTACCGTATCCCAGGGTTCACGTTTATCACCGCAGATCTCTTCCGAGACGAATAATGCCGTTCTCGTCGTTGTTCAAGGTTGATGCATGGATCTATGTATGCGATCAGTAACCGACTTCTCCGGACCCAGTGGTGTACGTACCATGTAAGAGCTATGCAACACCACATCTCGCGCTTCATTAGGAGAAACAAACCACCTGCGTCTGTGCTCCTCGCATGGAGGTTGTATGTGGACATGTTGGTTCGAGAAGACCGATGGTCTCCGGGTCCAGTTGGCCGTCATTGACGTACAGGTCTGGGAAGGCAGTGTGGCAATGCGGCATGGTGAGGATTGAATCGGCACAGGTGGTGATAGCAACTAGCAAGTGACGTAGACGAGATGTTCTGGAGACGGAATCATGTTGCTGAGTTGGGGTTCTTAAATGCTTGCATCAGGCTATACCGGGCTATACTTCGAATGTATCAGCGCCTGAGTAATCTGGCCACGTGACTTAGGCCTATAAGCGAGTTTCTCCCACAGAAGTCAGTTGGCAACCAACACAGTCAACACAAAGGAATCAACATCTCAAGTTCCGAAGTCATCCTCCTGAGTAGCCTCATTTCGTTGATAGAACGACCCGGGCCAGAATTACCTAAAAGGAGATAAAGTCCCGCAAGTGGCCAGATGGTGGGCCCGGAGCGAATTTGCCTGTTTGGATATATATCGTCCGATTCATGCATTCCAGTAGATTCAACTTAATCTCCTACCCCATACCCTTAGAGACCCCAGGAAGCCCCGCAGACGGTGGCTCACTTTCAAGCACAGCCATCCTAAATGCAGCTCGGCCTCGGTAACCAGTCGCATCAATTCTGGAGTCTCACTGGGATCGTCGAACAGCTCGCCGCCCAATGCAACTGCCAGGCCCGCAGTCAGTCTGGCGGGCATAGATTCCGGGTTCGACATGGCTATCCCACAGATCACCCGAACGGCGTTACGAATCTCCTCCTCCTGCTTCTGCACATACTGAGCGCGTCCCATTCCTAAGCTAGGCATGCGGGGGTCATGCGCTAAGAGTCAGATGCGACACAGCTGCAGATACTGTTGGCCAGCGATCGGACAGTCGTAGGTGTAATAGATCTCTGGGAGGATAGTCTTCCGGTTCACGCTGATGTCTCGGGATGTATAATACATCAGTTGGAATGAATCCGGCTTGTGCTATTCCCAATCCTGGACATACTGCTACAGTCGATCTGACTCCGACCTATCTTTGGGCCCGTTACCATAGGCAAAATTGGTGACCCGAGCGGCGTGTGCGATCATGCGATATGTCCACGTAGCGTCCGCGGCCGGTCCCAGCGACCAGTTGACGCTACAAAAGGCAAGGCTGGGCTCGACTGCCCGTTTCACCATGTTGCCAATAAAGATTTCTTGCCGCAACGCCACAATCATGCCTGCGTCGCTGAACCTGGGTGACTGGAAGTGGCCTCTCTTGATCTGGAGCAGGGTCGGGGTTGAGACCGCATGTGAGGTGAAATCCCCCTCTTCGGAGGGTCCTGGTGCCAGGGTTGGAATGCACCCCGCATTGTAATGTAGACCTTCTATGTACATATCAGTTCTTCGAGTAACCTCAAAAGCAGAGCGGAGGCTAGCACGCTGTCATTCATAGCCTTGGATGTATCATCCAGACTCGGAATCAAGACCTTCAGACACCGTCCCTCATATTCATGCGAGTTGCAGGTGAAGACTCCCATTGTCAACTCCCGATGTCGAGCCGATAGATCCAAGACGGCGAACAGGATCGACGGACCTTTGGTGATAGTGGCGCACAGATGTGCGGAAAGCCATCTCTGGGAGACAACAATCAAACCATGAGACTAAAACGGTGAAGGAATACTTCATTAGCTGGGCTTCTTCTTTGGATAGGGGCCATGGCTGCGACGAGGGTTTGAGACTGGGGCCCCGAACGAGGTGGTGTGGCTCGCACAGGCCCTGGAGCAAGGCAGGGCCAGTGGCTTCCGACCCCGAGCCTGATGGGCAATGCTGCTGTTTCCGTGTCCAAGGATGAATTTGGATTAGTCGAGGACTGAGTAACCAGGCGAGTTCCACCCAACTCAAATAGTGGAAGGCGAGTGATCGACTGCCGTGTTCTGCGTGACGGACTGCGGCGTTTTGGCTTGGATGAGTATATTCATGAATTTGATGCGCAGGGCAGGCGGACGGCCCCTGCTGCAGAACGCTCCTACCTGCTCGCAAGTGGAGCAGGTAAGGCAATCGGCTTCAATATTACCTATCTCTCATCAAAGGCTGTTCCTCTCGATTTCTTTTTTTTTTCTCTAGTAGCCAATAAAGCTTCCATTTTTGGTGTTTGATGCGGCATCGCTCGCTAGCAGCAGCACCCGTAATATGGCTCTAGCTCTGGAGTGATGAGGGAAGCCGCGAAATAAAAGATATATAGAGTGATCTTACCAAGCAGGAAGCTTCTTGCCAGTGACTGGTGGCATAATGGCGCCGGATGTCAGTCCTCTGATATCTTGTACCCAGCTAGAGTGAGGGCTGAAGTGAAGCTCCCGGCCATTGCGATAAACACCACCGGCAGACTCAGGCGGTGACAAGGGCGGTGAACCGGGAAATGTTTCTCCCTCTGAAGTTGATATTATCTGTCTTTGATGTCCATGAGGTCGATACCATCCTGTCTATCAATGGATCAAGCTGTGTCATAGAGCAGAGGATCTTGGTCGCGAAGAAACCCTGCCCCTTAAGCCGTGACAAAAGTACTGCCTACTGGTGAATACCGGCACAATATCAAGCAATCAGTCCCCGAAGAATAACCGAAGATTCGCAAGACAAGATCGGCCGAATTGAGTATTTCACACGAACCGTGCTGGCCGTGTTGCCTTGCTGCCGCCCCGTTCATCAATTTAGGTTCGACCGTTGAAGTCCAGGATGAGACATGAGGTGGAGCAGAGCTGTGCTTTCCGTCCGCCATTCCACAAGCACCTGCATGGCTGTTATGACCACAAAACCATGACAAGTACGGATAGATGTCTGGCAAAGAACGGAGGGATGAGGAGGGATTGCAGAGGTTATGGAAGATAGATTCAGGATGATCTTATGGGGCCGCTGTCGCAGCCGGCAGCAAGGAGCATATATTGACCAAGTTCCGATGCAAAACTTCACCCCAGATGGCGAAGGTGCACTCTTGGGTGTCACCCCCTGATCGAGGTGACAGAGAATTCGAAGACACAATTTGAACAGTGGCCATGGCAGGCCCAGCCATCTGAATAAGATCTACTGCCATTGTTCTCTTATATTCGTTTCATTGGAACTCACCAAGCTGCTTATCACGAGTTGTAGCCAGAGTAAGATAGCTGAATCGTTGCTTGAGGAGGAGCTCTCTCTATGATAGTTTTAGTATCTACACCTAACGATGCAGTGATTTGTGTAACACGCGACATGTATGCTATCAGCAATATTAAGCATGCGAAACAGCCTAAAGAATCCTTCCCATGGTGGCAGTTCATCCCCGAGGTTGTTCCACGCCAAGGGTGGAATATAGATTAACTTTAGATTAATCCAACGGCAAAGTGCCGCCGCGTCTGCAGATCATGGCGCAAACGCAGGGCTTGATCCTGGAGCCATGAGGTCAGACTAATCTCTAGTCCCAGCGTTCGGCCAGGCGCGGAATTGGTCGGGCATCAGCCAAAGCCTTAGTCCAGGGGGACTCTAAATTGGAGCTGCCCATTCAGCTGCCTATTCTTCAGTCTCTCCCTTGCTATGCCCTAGGATGGTGGTCTTTTCGGGTCTTCGCTTCTTTTCTCCGACTGAAAGTATGCTGTTTTCGAAGACATTGAAGTCTAATGGTTGTCATCACCAACCATGGCCCTCAACGATACTGGAGTGACTGCACCGCCGGCCGGTGTCACCCCCGACTTCACGCATCCGGCCCAATATCTACACACAACAAACCGCGTGGTGGTGATTGTGGGAATTGCTGTCAGTTCGGTGTGCCTCCTGGTGCGAATCTACAGCCGGGTGATGGTGGTGAGGAAATGGATGCTGGATGACAGTAAGTGGTGCACTCAATGATGCTTTGCAATCACTTCTAACAAGATCGTTCGGTAGCTGTCCTGGTGCTTTCCTGGGTAAGTAACCGGATGACCATCAGACCGAACTGGTCAATTGACTTTGATACCCCCTGGTGCAGATCTTTGCAGCCATTACCCAATCCGTCCTGCTATGTGAGTAGATGCTTAGTTGGCACATTCCCGGAGATGCATTTCCTAACAGTGAATCCTTCAGACGGATACACGCATGCCGGGCTTGGAATCCACGCGTGGGACCTCACAATTGAGGAATACAATAGATCGCTGAAGGTATGCCTTCCTATCACCGGAGCCCTATCCTCACCACCCCGTTGACTGGCCCCGCAGGCCTTAATGGCCGGCGCGGTCATGTATATCCCAGCTCTCGGACTGTCCAAGATCGGCCTCATCATCCTCTATTATCGCCTGTCGGATATGCAACGCAGTTGGCGGATCATCCTCTGGAGCTTCACAATGTTCGTGATTACCTATATGATCGTTCTCGAATGTCTGTTTCTGTTCGGTTGCAACCCCATCCCGAAAGCATGGGACGTGACCGTCGAGGGCCAGTGTATCAGCCGGGCCTCGGTGTTCCTTGCTGGAACGTGCGCCAGTATCACCATCGATATTGTCCTTGTGGTCACGCCTCTGCCGGTGGTGGTAGGATTGAACATGGTCCGCAAGAAGCGCGTCGGGGTGGCCTGCATGTTCGGACTCGGTGGATTGTGGGTTTGCACCCTTGAATTCTACCTCTCGAATCCTGCTCACCAAAATTCCCTGGGATTAGATCGTTGATCACCAGTTGCATACGACTGGCTTCGGTGGTGCCAATGCTACATACCAACGACGAATCCTATCAGTTGGGGTCTATTGTGCTATGGATGTGAGTGGCCATGTTCCGTGGGATGAGGTCCGACTGCTGACTCTGTTCCAGCAACGTCGAAGCCACTATAATCATTGTGACTGCCTGTGTCCCGTCCTTCCGGCAGGTGTTCTTAGGCTCGTGGGGCAGCAGTGGAAGTCGAGAGCGAGCGCTGAGCAGTTTTAGTCTTCGAAGCGGTCCGCGGCGACATCAGGGCTTCACCAATCTCACCGTCGATCTGGACCCTGATCCGCCGGATTCAGTGGAGCATGTTGCCCCCGGAAAAGCCGGTCAGGACCCCAGGCCTTGATGGGCCCTTGCATAGAACTGAAGCGTTCTTCTTTTCCCTTTTCTAAAACCAGTAGACAAGCGAGTGATAGACACGGGCCTCGAGGGACAGGAGTTGTCGAGAGGGTGCTTTTTAATATCATAGAATAATAGAGACACTGTACAGTACTTGACGTGTACCACAACATCGACTCCTTACAGAGATGAAACAAGACCAGATCAAAACTTCATTGGACGCCAGCAATGCAACGCATACAGTATATAAATCAATCTCTGTCTCCCTACAGCTTCACAAATCGACTCTTCTCGGCCATCTTCCCGGCCAACCCGGTCACCGAGGCCGCATGCATGACATCAAAGATCGAACAATCCGCCTGCACCATCCCGACCGACCAATTGCGCAGCTCCACGGCCACCAACGAGTCGACTCCGAATTGCGCCAAGGGCAAGGTCGGATCGATCTCCTCGGCGCTACTACTGAACATTTCGGCCAATTTTGTGACCAACGCGGTTTGCATGACGGCGGTCGCTTCCGCCGCCGTCGTGGCCGCCGCCAACTGTTCCTTCATACCGGCTCCAGGGGTGGACCCGGACGCAGGGCCCGCGAGAGAGGCATCCTTCTGCTCCAAAACAGCGAACCGGGCATCCCGGTTCCAGCAGACCGCCGTCTCCGGTCGAACAAATCCACCAGGAAGACCGGTGACAATCTGACAGGTTTCCGGGGTCCGGATGGGCTGGCGGATGGCGGACTCGACCAAGGCCCAGACCTCCTGTTCAGACACGGCGCGCAAACCGAGTTTCTCGAGGTGATGGGCAACGTGCTGCGTGCCCGCGACTACTCCGACCGAGGAGACCATGCCCAGGTCGATGGAGACGGCGGGAAGGCCCTGACTGGCGCGGTGACGGGCCAAAGCATCCTGGTAACTACCCCCAGCCGCGTAGTTGGCTTGGCCCACGTTGTCACCGAAACCGCTGATGGAGGAAAGGCAGATGAAAAACTGGAGATCGGCGGGGAGAAGAGTGTGTAGGTTGTAAGTCCCCTGTACCTTGGGGTTGAGGGCAGCCAGGTAGTCCTCGTGGGTCATGGATTCGAAGATTCCATCCTGCAGAATTGTGGTTAGTGACTCCTTCATCGTAGACATAATCGATATAGATATTGGTCTTACCTTCAGCACCATAGCGGCCTGAATGACGCCGCGGATAGGAGGTAGCTCGGAAGCATATTTGTCCAAGACGGCCTGCAGCTGAGCGCGGTTGGTCACATCGCAACTCTCGAGCACTATCTTAGCGCCAGAGGTAGCCTGCAACCCAGCCAGCCAAGGGTAGTTGCGAGCATCAGCAGCAGCAGCAGCAGCATTGCGCGAGAGGAGGAGAAGATGCGACGCGCCGCGATCGACCAGCAATTGCGCGAGACTTTTGCCGATGCCGCCCACACCGCCCACCACCATATAGGTGGAATCACGTGATAGCTCAACCGGTCGCGGTCCTGCCGGCTTCACCTTCACAGCATCTCCAACGCGAGGCTCCAACACAATCTTTCCCATGTGTTTCCCCGTCTGCATCGTGCGGAACGCTTTTTCAACCTCGCTCATGCCGAACCGTGTGATCGGTCCCACCGGTCGGATCGCTCCCTTCTTCAGCAGCTCGTTGATCGCTCCGAAGATGCGCCGCACCTCCTGGCCTCGCTGCTCCCCGAGCGTGATCAGATCCAGCGACGCGAACATCGTACTGCGCACAAACGGCCCCATCTCCACCATGCTGTTCTGCTCGATATCGCGCTTGCCGATCTCAATGAACCGACCGAACATTCCGATACAGGCCACGTTTCGCGCAACAGCGGGCCCGCCAGCGAGTTGAGCACCACGTCCACCCCTTTCCCGTTCGTCGCGGACATGATATGACGCGCAAAGGACGGGTTGCGGCTGCTGAAGATGTGTGACGAGGGAATCCCGTATTGCTGCATCAGGAAATCGCGTTTCTCCTCCGTTCCGACCGTGACGAACAGTTCCGCGCCGATCGACTGCGCCAGCATGATGGCCGCTTGGCCGACACCACCCGTGCCCGAGTGAATGAGCGCCGTGTCGTCGCGCTGGAGTCGCGCCAGGTCGACAAGGGCATGGTAGGCGGTGATAAAGACAAGAGTGATCGAGGCCGCCGTTGCGAAGTCCATGCCCGCCGGGATGGGGGCCACACTGGTGAAGGGGATGAGCACCTTGGTCGCGAAGTAGCCGATGATGAAGGCATACACGCCCTGTCCGGGGCTGAAGCCTACGGCGCGCGCGGCCGGTCCGGCACGGGTGATCACTCCACTGCATTCGAAGCCCATCCGCGTTTCGTCGAGTTGACCCAGCGCAACCATGAGGTCGCGGAAGTTGAGTCCGAACGCGTGGGGCTCGATCTCCACCCAGTCGTCGGGGAGGGTCTCTTCCACCGTCGGGTGCTCGGTGAACACCAGGCTGTTCAGAAGACCCGGTGTGGCCACGCCCAGTCGGATGTTCTGGCCCGGAGTAGACCAGGGGCGCCTCTCGGGCGCTTGAGGTTGAGCGGTCCCCACGAGCTGGGCTTCCTGCGCGTCCCCGTAGACCCGCGAGACCTCGACCACCGGATCGCGTACCACATATTCCGTCTCCGGGAGATGAGCGGAGGATGCAGTCAGCGTGCTGCAAAGGATCTGGGCGATAGCTGTGGCCGAAGACAGTGACCAGGTGGCCGCATTGTGATCCAAGCCCACCGAGACATACTGGCGGAGGGTGTTCTCGCAGCGCAGCGTTCGCAGGAGACCCTGATGTAAACTACATCGGGGTTCTTCAGCATTGCCCTGTGCACCGCGCGACACCCACACGGTCGTCCGACAGCTACCTAGCACGCGTTGAAGGGCTTGGAATTGTTCCGCGGAAGGATCTTCAAGTAGTGGGTTAACAAGCTCGACCAAGATGATACACACCTTGTCGTCAGCGTGGGCCTCCTCCAGGGACGAGGCCACGGAAATCCCCGAGACAACCTCGGCGGGAAGCGATTGCTGCAGTGCCTGCTGCCAGTGTTCCGGCGGGCTGGTGGCGGAAACCAGAATCACCTCGGCGGCAGAGTCGGTCGTCGCGTCGGCCTTCGCGGTCGCAATGACTTTTTCTCCTTGGAACCCGCTGGTGTTCAGGTCCTCCTTGAGCTGGAAGTTGCCCGACTCGAAACCGGCCTGTACTAGAAGTTCCTCCCACGTGGCTGTGGCATCAAGAATTTCATTCCATCCGGTCAGAAGTCTGACAATAGCCTGCACAGCACTGTCACCCAAGCTGGGTCTCCAGAGTACGCATTTACCGCCAGGAGCAAGCAGAGTATGCAGTGAGCTGAGCGTCTGGATCACGTCCTCCGCAGCCAACAGCGCCGATGCGGACAGAATTAGTAGATCGTAACTGCCTCGGACATAACCCTGATCGGCAGCCTGCGCGTTCAGACTTAGAACCTTGTACTCAACACTCGCCTCCTTGTGAAGGACCTTGTTCGCGCGCTCCACCAGTTCGGCGCTGGGGGGCTGTCACCTCGTAACGAGCGAACAACTGCGTCTCATCGCGTGTCAATGCTTTAACCAGGAGTTGCGTAGAAGCCGTATAGCCAGTCCCAACCTCGAGAATTGTTGCCCGAGGACACTTATGACCGTGCAGCTCCAGTAGGGAAGTCAACACCGGCCGGAAATCTTCAGAGACAGAAGACCAGTCAGCCTGGTTCTCGGACAGGAATTCCATTAGAATCTCCTTGGCCGAAATCAGCTCAGAGACGAGGTCAGGAAGACGCTCCCCGAAACGACACAGCAATCTCCCCTCGACGCCCTGTTTCAGGTCTTGCGTCAACGCAGCCATATACTGCGCAGTGACCCTGGGAATGTCGAGAGACGGCCGTGCCTAATCGGCCGTGACTCGCATCCAGTCCCAGTACTTAAGATACTCCGGTGCGATCGCCTGCTCGTTCTCAAACTCTTGCAGGGCATCTACGATGAATACCACCACAGCCGCTTGCAGCTGAGAGAGACTGGGCTGTGCCACACCCGCCGTATCAGCCTTGACAAGATGTCCCGGTTGAACGAAGTCGAAATCAGGCTTCCACACCGACGTGTAGCAGAGTTTGGCATTGGGCGTCAACACGGCAGCACTCGACCCCAATGATTGGCAGAAGAGCCCATCGAGGGTGAAGACCGGTGCCTCGGCCTCAGCGCCTGCGTTAACGACGCGGACGGAGGACTCGAACCCTTGTCCACTGGCTTTCACCAAGGTCGAATCGGCGCGGAACTGGTGGCCTGGCGACGAAATCAGGGCGGCCGAGATGTACAAGTTCTGAATCGACATCGGGATCATGGCGGTGCGCTGCTCGGTCGCTCCCGCAGGAAGGTTGTGGTACACTGCCTGGAAGACGGTGTCCAGTGTAGTCGGATGAATGATATGTGACTGCTGATATTTCTGGGGCATGGTGGCCGCCGAGTCGGCCACCTGGAACACAGACTGCGAATATCCGGGCGCGGATTTCGCGGACACCAGGTTCTGGAAGATAGGACCGTGGCATACACCGACGTCGTGAAACGTCTTGTACGTCTCCGCCGGGCTAAAGGTACGCCACGCGCTGCTGTCCACTAAGGATGGCGCAGCAATCGGAGCAGGAGGACCTGCCCAGCTGGTGCCCTGAGCGGGCGAGGATGTGCAGCAAAGACCCTCGCAGTGCAGCGTCCATGAATCAATTGTCGGGTTGACAGACTGAATCAGGAACTCATACCACCCTTGAGCTTTACGAACTTGATCGCCACATGGCCGGAGCGACAATTGCACCTCTACCCCTTCTGCGGTGTCTTCCAAGATCAACGGGTTGCGGATTCGGATCTCCTGCAGCTGTCGCAGTGCTTCGATCACCATGCTGATGTATCCCGCTCCCGGGTAGACAATCGCGCCGTGTACGACGTGATCGCGCACCTATGGGATATCGCGGGGACGCACCACGTGGCGCCAGGTCGGCGTGGTTGGGGTCGAGCCCGGAGCAGGGACACCGAGAAGATCATGGGGGCCAACGGTTCGGCCGCGGATCTCTTGATTGCGGTGAGGCTCGGCCCAGTACGACGTTTCGTGGTTCCATGGATAGGGAGGGAGGTTGGTCAGCACGGGCACGTCGCTGCGGCCGTAGGGGAAGTTAACAGCCTCCAGGTCGACCGGATAGCCAGCTTGGAGGAGTGTGCAGACGACTTGATGCATCGTCTGGACGGCATCCTGGCCCCGCGAGAGACACGATGCATAGGTGATTCCGGCGTCTTTCAGCTCGGGCAGCGCCAACGTCTGCCGAATGGGACCAGCAAGAGCACCGTGCGGGCCAACCTCAACGAGCATGTCGATGGCGGTGTTGGTTGTGTCGGTGCCATCGCAACAAATATTGCGTAAGGATTCCAAGAACTCCACAGGCTGCACCATTTTACGCACCCAATGGTCGGGGTGAGCGATCTCGGCAGCAGAGCTGATTCGGTCACCCGTTGTCGGAGATGAGTAGACCACGCTAGGGTCGAACTCGGGACTGGGCTCAAGGAATCGAGCGAGTAAGACGCGGTAGGACTCAGCTAGGGGCAGCATGTGGTGGGAATGATAGGCCGCCTCGACACGAAGACGACGCGCGAAGACACCGCGGGCCGTGAGGAGGGCGTCGACTTCCTCCACGGCCGACTCATCACCAGAGATTGTCACGCTGGACGGACTGTTCACGCAGGCGATGACTGCCGTGCCGGTTCGAACTTCGGCAAGAACCTTCTCAGCCCCATCACGTCCGAGACCCACGGCGACCATACCTCCGCGGCGATCAAGGAGCTTCTGGAACTGGCTCGTCAGATCGCCACGGGTGTATACAGTTGCCATCGCGCCTGCCAGAGTGATGGCTCCGGCGGCATACGCAGCACCGACCTCACCACTGGAATGACCCGTCACTCCGGCGGGTCGTATTCCCCAGCATCGCAGCAGGTCAACCAGGGCGAGTTGGATGGCAACACTCAGTGGCAGACTGTAAGTGACCTGGCTGATGCGACTCTCCTTGGCGTCACGCTCAAGTTCCTCCACCGCCGACCATGTAGCTCCCATGGTCTTGAGGCATGCATCGATCTCGTGCATCGTTTGGCGGAACACCGGGTAAGCACCGAACAGTTCGCGACCCATGGCAAACCATTGCGCGCCCTGACCGGTGAAGACCATGCCCACACGAGGAGCGCGTGTGCTACGCTGAGCCGACCGGGCGGAGTCGAGTGTAGCGTGTATTTCGCTGAGTGATGAGCCACTCCAGGCCGTAGTCCAGGGAAATCGGGTGCGTCGTTGTCCGAGAGTGAAAGCGAGCTGGTCGAGGACTTGTTCCTCGTCTTCACTGGTCAGGGCTGCGACATATTTCTGGAGGTTCTCGCCCATGGTGCGAACAGCTGCAGGGTCTTTGGCACTAAGCACAAACATACGTGAGCGCTTCTTAGGGTTGGGGGTGTGCGTGTTCGAGGAAGGCGTCATCGGTAGCAGCATGTTTTCTGGACTCTCAACAATAACATGAGCATTGGCACCTCCATACCCGAAGTTATTGATAGATGCGCGCCGCAACAGGGGAGACGGCCATTCTTGCAGCTCGAGAGGAATTCTCAAGTTCAGCGCATCTAGCGAAATCTTCTCATTTGGAGACTTGAAGTTCAGATGCGGGGGAATCGCCTGCTTCTCCATCGCCATGACCACCTCAATCACACCCGCCAGACCACTGGCGGCTTCCGTGTGTCCGATATTCGTCTTCACTGACCCGATGACCAGGGGGCGGTTGACACTGCGCCCAGCCCTGAAAACATGACCGATGGCATGGGCGTCAATGGTGTCGCCTGCCTGTGTGCCCGTGCCGTGAGCTTCGACATAGCTCGTGTCGCTGGGATCGAGGCCAGCCATTTCATAGCACTCGCGCCAGCTCCTCCTGAGCCGCCTGGCTGGGAGATGTCAGGGTTGCAGTTTTGCCATCCTGGTTTGCAGCCGAGTTACGAATGACAGCGCGAATGGGGTCTACATCGCGCAGTGCCGCCACCAAGGGCTTGATGACAATACTGGCGATACCATCACCACGACCGTAGCCCGCGGCTCGGGAACCAAAGGCGAAACAGCGTCCTTCCCCCGACAGAACGCTGAGATTCGAGCCAGCAATGAACATATCCGCATTGAGCAGGATATTCGACCCGCCAACAATCGCCATTTCTGACTCCCCCGCCCGGAGACTCTGACACGCCAAATGCAACAGCGTCAGCGTCGTCGAACATCCAGTGTCGACCATCAAACTCGGCCCGCGGAGATCAAAGAAGTAGGAGATGCGATTAGCGATCATTGCCGCCCCGTTGCCCGTGAGGAAAAGCCGAGCGAGCGTATCGGGGTCGCGCATCAGACTGTCGTGGTTATCTCGGAAACAGGTACCGGCATACACACCGGTGCGGGAGCCAGCCACTTGGTCGAGGGGAAGGCCCGCACTTTCCAAAGCCTCGTAGACGGTTTCTAATTGCATGCGCACCTCGGCATCCATCGTCTGAAAATGTCAGTTGGCCTTCACCCCATATCACCGAGAGAAGAGACGAAACATACGCTAGCCGACTCAGCTGTGAAGTTGAAGAAGGCGGCATCGAACCGGGAGATATCTTCCGAGAGGAAATGTGCGCCTTTCACATATGACTATGGCCCATTAGCTTCCTGTGCCAAGTACATGCCGTGCCGAATGTAAGGCGTGCAGTGTCTGGGCCAACATACTGTACCAAGATGTCCCTTGTCGGGATGATACCAACTCTCCGCGTGGAACCGACTGTCTGGAATTGGGGACCAGGCACTCTGTCCCTTTGCACAGAGGTCCCAGAGCTTTTCGGGGCTGGACGCATCACCGGGAAAGCGACAGGCCATGCCGATAATGGCGATGGGCATGACGCCCAGCTCGCGCTCAGAGACGTCAGTGTCGCTCGGGGTCACAGGGGCAATCATTGTGCTAGGAGGTGAATAATAGTAGTAAGAAGACAGAGAAAGGAAATATAAAGCGGTAAGGTAGGTATTTTGGTCTTGGAGAGAAGGTGAGATGAGATGCAAGGAGGTGTGTGAGGTAGGCCTGGTATTGCTGTGTCGTGTCTCTTATTAGTTGACTACTTAATGTCGCGAAGATCGCAGTGTCCCCTAATTAGTATATACAATAACCCTGATCAGCTAGGAACCTGGTGATGCGGTCCGGTGATCTCCGACTTATTCGGACAGTCCGCCAAACGCTTTCGGGTCGGGGTCGGAGGGGCCAGCCTGCCACACTACCGATAGTAGCTTAAAAGGATCTTTTCGACTCGCCAGGTGCTGGAGGGAACTCGAACGGCTCATGAGGGTGGATTTGATGGGTAACAATGCGTGATCTTCATTCCGACTAGGCGACAGGCACCTCAATCACCCTTTCCGAGCGTCGAGCTCTACTCCATGCCATCCCTATCATTGAACCTGGATGACTTTGAATCTATCACGCTTTTTTGATAAAGCCGTGATAGGATGCATACATAACACAACGGGTCCACCTGACGTTCGAAACTGGCCTCCCATGGCCAGGTATCTGCTGTACTGTTGCCGGAGTATCTGAAGCCCCGAGCAGAATCGGACACGATTCGGAGGTCGGCGCTGGCGCTTATGCCGCCCAATGCGGTAGTACAAACCCAAGGAACACGGGATTATGCTCTGTATAGAGTCTAGAAGGTTGCGAAGACGTTTTTATTCAATATGGGTTTGGAGGTTGTACAGACTACATAGCACTCTTGTAGATGCATGCTCAGTCCATGAGGGTTTTTAGACACCCGCGTCAGGCGAATCTTGGGTCGATAACGTATAGAAATCATAGACAAGGCAATTTATGACATTCACTTAGCTAATCCAATCTAATGACAAAGTACTCCAAAAAACAAATATCACCAAGAAAACAGCAATGTCTTGCCCTTTTCCAGCCACGATCCTCCAGTCTTGACCCCCTTCGCAACACCAACAGTGGGCGCGTGCCGTTTCTTCGCCACCAATCTGGGGAACATGACCTTGACATCTTCTTTATCCATGCTTTCAAAATATGCACGTAGCAACGTATCCATGCCCACCCTTGTAGCTTCCTTCAACCACTCGCCAATCGGCAGCGCACGAAAGCTAGCTCCTGTCTCCCGTTCGAAATAGGTCTGCACTCCAGTCAATGATACCTGTCGTCCAAGATGATGGATGTAGTGAGCCTTGTCCACCCGCATCGAAGGGGCCGTACCTGCAGCGGAGAGTACGTCTGCTACAACATCACGCACGACTTGCTCCACAGGTACAATGCCCAAGTACCCCTTCTAAGACGACCGCTCCGGCATGGGCACCGCCTTGAGACGACGTGCATATGCCATAAGATTATTCATCAAGTCTAAGGGGGGCGCGTTGCTCCCTGTCACACTAGATGGGCGATGGATGTAAATCGGTGGACCAAGTTCACGATGCGCCTCCTCGAGCAGCCTCTCCGACACCCACTTAGTAGCGAGATATCCCTGGTTTTTGTCAGTCAGGGGCGTAAAGCTTGCGGCCGATACTTCAGCGAAGGTTGTGGACCCAGCCAGGTTAGCAATTCCACTGGACGAGATGTAATGGAAACGGGTTTCTCGGGACAATGAATTCTAGATCAAGGCGAAAGTCGATTCGACGTTTGTGCAGCGTAGAGAGTGGTAGGACTTCATGAAGCTGATGTCCGCACTGCGATACAGTGGATGGTACTGATGGCAGGATTTGATATGAGCTGCTGCAAGAGAGCCCGACCAATGAAGCCCGTAACACCAGTCAGAACAATGCGTAAACCAGAGCTTTTGATGGGCACGGCAGCTGAGATATTGCTCTGGTCTGCTCACGAAGAGCACAGGGAAGCTGGACTTCCTCGCTCCAGTCGATCGTGGTCGGGGCTTGCGGAGGAGGGGGAGACGGCCGGGCGACGCGATGTCGACAGGAGCTGGAGTGGCGATCTCCTCTTCCGGCTGAATAAGAAGAGCCATTTTCTGCAAAGTGTTCGCGGCGAACAAATCTGCCAGAGCTATCTCCTTCCTGAATTGGGTCTTGACCTGACGCTGCAAGTCAACCAAGAGCATTGAAGTGCCGCCAACGGCGAAGAAATCGGAATCGGCAACAATATGGTGGGCAGCAAGAATGTCCTTAGAAATAACTGCTTCCCACAATTTGACCAACTGAGCCTGAACCTCGGTAAGATGTGCAGTAGAAGCTTGTTGAGTCGGCTCAACGACGGGTAATTCCATGGTCTTTAGTACCTTGTGGTCGAGCTTTCCATGCACAGTGATGGGCATTTGGTCGATGGGAAAAATTCCGGCCGGCCACATGTACCGTGGAAGCTCTAATGATCTGACTTCGAGTGCCCGGGAAGGTTTACATTCTGTGCTCCTTGCTGGATCATCCATAAGCAGAGAGATACCCCCAAAGAGCCCGTAAGCCTAACCAGCCAGTAAGTCTTGTTAGCCTTTAGCATAGGGTAGTGATCAACCGGTCGGATCAGGGCAGGAATTTGCGATGCCGACCGCCAGTCCACTACAGTCAAAGGGAATCGTGCTGCGGGGACCTGAGCCACCTCCGTGACCGGAACCAAATGGCTGGCAATGACATTATCAGAGGCTGGGAGGCTCAAGGGACGTCGTGAGATAGTCAGCATTGCTTCGGCAGGGATGTGAATCTCCCCTGAGCATGGTCACTGAACCAGGAAGTCAGTCGTTCAAATGAAGATGCTGGATGTAATGCGGCACGTAACTTGACAGTCAACGCACTGGGCTCCTCTCCGGCTGAGAGATCTAGAATGGTAAACGGATCAGTGGGCGCGAGCTTGGGCAAAGAACGAACATGGGCTTGAGAATGGAGAACAACCCAATTCGGACGATCTTGAGCATCTTCGCGAGTTGTCGCAAAGATGACTCGAACCTTCTGCTGGGAGGCCTGCCATTCCAAAACAGGGGCAAGCAGCTCACAATCTGAGGAATGGCTTCTCGCACAGGCGAATGTGTTGGTGATCGCAGGTTCAGACACCACCGCCACTGCATTGACAACTTTGATCTACTACCTCGCAGCTCACCAGGACAAACTCTGGCATCTCCAGCAAGAACTACGGGAAGCATTCGACGAGGTTTCGGAGATGACCAGCGATAGACTCCAAGGCATGCCGTACCTGAACGCTGTGATCGAAGAGGGTCTGCGAATCTGTCCACCGACCTCGTTCGGACTGCCGAGAATCTCGCCCGGAGCCATGGTGGAGGGACAGTTGATCCCGGCGGGGTGAGTCCAGCCCCATCCTCTTGGACAGCAAGACATTTATTGACTGATTGACAGTCAGTCGTCTCCACGTCTTCCTGGACCACCGCCCATTGCAACGATTATCTCCACGACGCAAGGGGCTTCCACCCCGAACGTTGGCTTCCCGCAATGCATGCGCAGTGGGATGCCAAATTCCAGAACGACCACCTTGCCGCGTCGAAGCTATTCTCGCTGGGCCCACGAGGTTGTCTGGGCATCGATATGGCGTACATGGAAATGCGAATTACGCTGGCCAAGTTGGCGTGGAAATTCAACTGGGAATTGGTCAATGTGGACCACCTGGACTGGGAGGGGAGTTTCGCTTTGAAGGCTTTTCAAAGTTATCGGTTCCGCAAGTTCGATTTTACTCGATGGACGATTAATCTGTGCTTGTGAGTAGATGGGAGGTTGGATTGCGATCTCAGAGATACGACACGATGATATTGTAAATGTTATGGTAATCGTGAGAAATGCATGCACTGGGTCGTTCGAGCAGATCTGCATTTCTATCTAGTGAAATCATTCAGGCATGTGCCAGTGACTCTGCGGCAGCCGTTCCTGACAGAAGGACAATTCGCTGGCCACCCAGATCTCCTCGGACTATAATTGGTAGACGAAGAGTAAGTCTTAGCTAATTGTTGCTTGAGGACAAATATCATGCTCACCGGCTGCAACTGCTTCTTATACGTGGGATCAAGTGTGCCGCCCTTGATGGAGATTTCCTCGGGAGCAATATCGGCCACATCGGATATGGGGCTCCACAGATTTCGCAAAAGCTACGATGCACGGCGGATCCTGAGCTACCGACGCTGGTGAAAATTCGTACTAGACCTTGAATTTGCACCCTATCCGTTGGGAATGTCAATAACAGGGCTGGGATTGATCTCTGTCAGACGCGGAGCTCAGGTAATGGGTTTGTAGCATGGGAACCAACAGTAGTTCGATCCAGTTTGGCGCTGGCAGTCATCACAATACAGAAGGCGACGGGGGCAGAGGAGGCGCCTGTGATATAGGTCACCGCACGACACAAACCATGGCCGGAGTAAGTCATGGTTCTGGCTTCGTGGCGGCAGTCGCAGAGGGCAAGTGGGAGGGTGTAGTAGATAGACTGGACTTGGAAAGCTATGGTTAGGGAGTAGAGATCAGAGTTATATATGGATGTACCGTATTTTGAGGGACTGATGTCACGCAGCGTGTCATGTATTCTCCCACTTCCAATCAGATATAGATAGATGATCGATGGAGGTAAATACTATGCACACCTTGATGCTGATCTTCTCCTCAGTTTCCGCTGAAGTGAACCACTTTCTCTCATGCCCGGCTGAGTTAGTGAGCTGCATTGTGCTGGCTTTTAAGCCCATGACAGTGCTCAGGGTTCCTCCACCCGACATTCGCCAAGCGGGGGGACGTCTGCAGAGAGCTATTCAACTCCGTCCAACGCTTTGATCCCATATCATGGGCCGCCATTATGCAGGTCTGGACTCCGGGCAATGATTATACCGAGAGGCTGCATGTTGGGGCTGCGTATCAAGCGGCCGTGAAGCTTTACCTCTCACGCATGCTGCCCGATGTCTCTGCCGGCATATGCTCCCAGGAGGGGCAAACCAGACTAGTGCAGGTCATCATCAACCACGTGTCACAGGTTCCGCCTTCCAGCGCATTGTTCAAGTCGGCCATCTGGTCATCGTTCGTTGCTGGAGCCGAGACGACGAACCCTCGCCACCGAGACTGGGTTGCGACCCGTCTGGACACTGTTTCGGCGCAACTCCCGTGGTAGACCACCGTCACCGCGACGGAAGTTCTGAAAGAAGTGTGGAGCCGGGCCGATGTGCCTATGGAAGGAAGAAGATCAGCTCCGAGGAACTGGATTCAGGAATTCCGGCGCTTGAAGGTGGCTGTGTTTCCTGCATGTAGATGCATAGACACGTGATGACGATTGTTGCCTCAGGCAGATGAGGCAGCGAGTTCAGATGACGTCACCACTTCATTGATTCTCCGCATTAATCCGATCCCATTGATTGATCTCTATTGATCTCGTCACATTGTCCGATGCCCTTACAAGAATCACTCTCTGCCTTTGACTCTGTCTAGAAACGCCGAATCTAACCTTCTCTCAAACTCTATCCATCGACCATCTTACCCCTAAGTCACTATGACCGGCCACATCCTCGACACTGTTAAAGAGGACCATACCGAGATCGAAGCCTGCTACGGTCGCATCGTGAGCTCATCGGATCGACAGGAGAAGATCAGATTCCAGAACCTCTTCACCTGGGCTCTGGCCCGTAACACCGTCGGAAAAGAACTGGTCGTCTATCCTGCATATGAGAAGCATCTCTCGGCGGGGTCTATGATGGCGGAGAAACGCCGCAAGGAGAACCATGTCGTGAGTATTCGATGCCGTTTCGAAGCTTTTCAACCTGGGGACTTAACTCAGTGACCACTGCTCAGGTGAAAGAACATCTCAAGAAGTTCCAAACCTTGGATCCCACCAACCCTAGCTTCATCCCCACCATCAGAGCTCTGATGGAAGTTCTGAGTCCTCAGATGAGGGAGGAAGAGAATAACGACCTGGTGGACCTCGAACAGGTTCTGTCTGACCATGACAGTATCAGTCTTTCCAAGTCCTTAAATCGGACCAAGATCTTCATGCCGTCGCGGGCGCATCCCAGTGCTCCCAGTAAGCCACCGTTTGAGACGGTCGTCGGCCTCTTGACGGCCCCGATTGATCAGTTGGGCGATTTGTTTCGAAAGTGGCCGCACGAGAAAGATGTTCAGCGATGAGTTGGAAATCTCCTTATTGGTCTTCTCTATCTAATCATTAATACAATGTCACCTGTGTCTTTCACATCCTATTCTCTGAGCGTGATGGAGAGACGACCTTAGCCAACCCTACTTCGAGCTCCAGAAGCTCCTCCCCTCCCTTATCCAAGGAGGAGGATACAGCGTCCGAAAACGCGACCGAATGCCAAAGGAACTCGAAACTTGAACCAGGTGAAAGGCTGCCACAATGCAGCCTTGCGCACCAGGATCGCTTGGCGGGCAGCATCAAGGTTGTCGTTGAGGTCGCATCGGAGCTCCTGGTCGTTGAAAGGAGGGTAATGGAGACACACTTCAACTAGTGCTGGTTGTGGAGAAGATTGACGATGGATGGAGCTGTAGCATGTTTGATAGGTGCCAGAAGCCGGGAATCAACACCAGGATTGGTAGGTTGGCCATACTGAAGGTTCTGTAGAGATGACTGTTTTGATTATAGTCACATAATCGAGAATGTTAGTTGATTGATGCTGAAATTAACTATAGAAAGTGATGTGCCGTTGCGTCATGTTGGCAGTCTCCTGTATTCTCCCGATACCTCCCTTTTGAGTCCAGTCCCAACAGTCTTTGAGCTTTATTATCTCAGCCTTGCACACAACCCGTCAAGAGAAAAGGAAAAGTCTTGGTTTGGCTGCATTAAAGGTGATTTCCAGGGAACATAGCGGCATTCTATCGTTCACCGATCCATCAGGCCATAACCAACAGGTTCAATCCACTAGCCAGCCTTGCAGACAAGAGACAGATGAGATATAAGATAGGTCCTCTCAACGCTTTTCATGGACCCTGGAAGTAATTGATCCGTCACAGCTTCGGCACGCAGTCAAAATGTGTCTCCTCGATTCTTTGCCTGCTGAGCTCATTCGACTATTCTTGGACCAGCTGGAATATGCGTCCGACGTCAATGCCCTCGGGCAGACCTGTTGTCGACTATCCCAGATTGTCGACAGCCCATATCTCTATCCCCGCTTTGCCCAATTATGTTCTTCAGAAGGTCTGATGATCATAGGCCGCACTCGTAGCCACGGAACTGTGCGCAAGATGCGTTTGTGCGACGTCGACATGGACCAGTTCTATCGCGCCAAAGTCCCGGGGACTGAGTTCACGTCGCTCATTTTGGAGCTCTTCGAGCCGTCGTAATCAGCCCTAGCCAATTAACTCGACTTGCATACAATCGGACATTCAACAGAAGTACAAGCTCTGACCCCTTTCGGTGTGTAGCCCTAACATCTCCGATATATGACTCTTGGCTCCGACTTTACGGAGGAAACTTCGGAGAGCATCAATACTTTACGGTACGCTGATAAGTCCAATCAATGTATAACTATCGCAGTTACAGATCCTACAGGCCTGTTGAAAATCAAGTGAAGTGATTGCCTATTCAGTTGACTTCCTCGCAGCAGAAACATCACAAGATCCTCACTAAAAGTCCTTCACAATGGCTGCCGCAATGACTGCCACCGCGACTCCTGTCCCTGTCATCGCATCTCATGCACAGGACACAACTCTTCCTCCACCCGACATCACCACTCCAGTTCTTTTCGCTCAGAACCTCCAGAAGCCCAGTACTGGCTACATGTTCAACAAGAACCCGCCTCCCGCGGGTGTTCCTTACACAAATATCCGCGGCGAGCCCGCGATGGTCACCGTCGAGGATTCTCGTGGCAAGGAAGACAGCATCAACCTCGACAATGACTCTCTTCGGGTCCTCCAAGGCCTGACCGACGTTCCTCGGAGCCTCGAAGTCAACTGGGATAGCATGCAGAGCGTGGAGAAGACATTCTATCCCGCTGTCGAAGCGGCAGTGAAATCCGCCATTCCTGGTGCCCATACTGTGCACATTTTCCGCCAAGGCATTCGTCACTCCCAAAACTGGCCTGTGCCCTACAACCCTCCTGCAATGATCGCGCATCTGGATCAGACTGGCCCAGCTGCGATCAACCGTGTTTTGCATCACATGGGTCCAGGGGAGGGACCTCGTCTGCTGCAGGGCCGCTACCGCATCGTACATTTCTGGACGCCCCTCAATGGGCCCGTCTACACATGTCCAGTGGCAGTAGCCAGCTCTGCCACCATCAAGGACGAGGACATCCAGATTCTCGTCAGTCACCTTGGCGGAGTGGGTAGATAGGGCATGCCCCTCGGACGTCCGGTCGCGAAGCCCGATGCTTCGGAGCAGTATCGCGAGGACTTTGGGGCGCCGCGTTATGCGGACGGCCAGCGGTGGTTCTACCTCGGCGGTATCACACAGGATGAGGCATTGTTGATCTAGATATTCGACTCCAAGGCGCTGCAGAAGGACAGTCCTGTCAAGGGTGGCGCGAGCCGTGCATTCGGCCTTCCGCGATCCCCGAACCACTCAAGGGGCCCCTGATCGCTGGAGTATTGAGGTTTCCTGCTTGATTTTTAGCGACGAGTGATCATGTTAATACGTTCTATATCTGGTCTTTTGTGTTTTTGGTCCCATTTTTTTTTTTTTTTCTCATTTGTGAATAGCTCCTAGTTGTTGAATGTGACTTTACCATACATCTACATACATTGCATTTTCCAAGCTCTAGGACCCGTACTGCATTTTAGCCTCCAGCAGCATATTTGCTAGCCCCTGAATAATGCTTTGCATACTTAATGCTACGATTACCAATTCATCCTACCAATTACAGCCTTTTCCACCTCTCTCCATGCATACAATATGCGGGAAAAGGTCTAGAATTTCGGCGACCCTTCGGATTCGGACTCGGACTCGGTGATAAGCAAGACGCCTCAGAGCAGCGAGCACAGAGCCCTATTACTATGCCTTATTTCTTCTTTCTTCACGTCTTCTTGGCTTGGACAGGACTATTGTGGACCTGTCTAGCGAGTTAACAGTCACCATCATCACTATGGCAGACTCAGACAGGACAAGTGACATTTGACGTTGAGAAAGCCATGGCCGCTGAGACCTTCCAGGAAGTGCCCGCAAACAGTGCTGCGTCGCCTGTCTTGACCGGTCTGCCGCTGTACACAGTCCTGGTTGGGCTGGGACTGGCTCTGTTCCTGGGAGCTATGGATATGGCCATGCTTGGCACTGTCAGTTCATGACCTCCTGCAATTTGACTATCAAGACCGCTGATAGAGATTTTCATCATTGCGATAGGCCGTTCCATCAATCACCTCCACCTTTCAAACGGCCGCTGACATCGGCTGGTATGGCGCTGCGTATCCCCTCACCATGTCTTCCATTAAACTGCTCACTGGCAAGACTTATGCCCAGTTTCCTCAGAAGCTGGTGTTCCTGATCTTCTTCGGTTTGTTCAAGTTGGGGTTTCGTTACTGCACAGCGAACATGGGCTTTGAGACCACGGCGACAGGGACTTGTGCTTGAGTTGGAAACGGGTCGCTCACAGCGCAACTTCTGACCCCGACAGCGATCGCAAGCAGATCGTCGGGACTGTTCGGCCATCACGACAGATGGTTCGGCCTCATTTATGGCAGCTGGATAGCCTGAGGAGAGGTAAGTCATACCGGTGGTTTAGGGATCAGCAGTGATAGTGCTGCACCATTATCCACGTGGAGATGCAGGTAGATCTTTATAGACTGCTCTATCCCCCTCTCGTGATATGTTCCTAGAAGGAGGGTCTTTCCCCACCCCAGTGGTAACTGGCCCCGCGCAGCTGCAGAATACTTCATGGATTCGGATTGATACTTTTCCATCGATAATACATCTCACCCTAATCGGCGGGTGGGTTCAATGTCGGATCGCTAAGCATGCATACTAGATCCTGGAGCCTGATCCTGGTGGAGGTGGCTAAGGCCTGATCTCAACCCCTCAATAACAGTACGATGCGCCTTAGCCTGAAAAAGCAAAACTCATTCTTGGGTTACATCCGATGTGTTGTTCTTCAGGTCTATCACAGCGGCCGAAGTATGATGTTTGTCCTCGGAGTGGACTTGTTTGTCAGTTCTAAGATTGAGACCGAGGATTACAAACCACTCTAACTGCCGCGGGGGAAAGAGATAGGGGGTAGAACCCTGTAAGGACGTCGAATCACAGTCAAAAGGCACCCGATAACCCTGCAGGTTTGTTGTAATGATTCTTACAAAGAGGCTGTTAAGGTCTGAGTCACTCCATTTGACTCCGGTCACTGTTTTGCAGTCTGACCGAGGTCCACTTAGGTCAGACTAGATAGGCTAGACAGGCTAGTATGCCCTAGTCGTCTGCCTAGTGCAGTGCCCAGCTCCAATGCGATGTCCGAGCGCCTGCAAGAGTGGCCGGAACACGAGGCCAATTTTTCCGCCAGCAATCTGACTGCATATTATACGCTCCCTTATGCAATCTACCAACGCCGTAGCCTTGCCTTTCACTGCTAGTGATGGTGGTTAGTTTGTGGTGAGACGCGGGGTTGAAGCAGAGAATTGTGTATGAGGTGAGACATCGCCAAGAGGGCCGGTACGCGACCTACCGCTAGTCAGACCCCTGTAAGAGACTAAACCTGAGTTATCTGATATTATTCAAACGAGCGCGGCCAAGACGTGAAAACCAGCGCAAATGAATACGAAAAGACTGGCGAAGAGGCGCAACGGCAGCATTGGCAAGTCTGCCCCGGCGAGGCTAAAATAAGGCACAAGCTTTCTTGACAAGCGAGCACTAAAGCTTGACGGGGTTGGAGTCCATCCCAAGCTAATTGGTCCTTGACCTAGTCTTGATTTCACCGTACGAGGGAGGAGCATTAGCGCAACTGGCCATCAGATAGAATTCGACACTATTTGGTCAGCACTAATCCAAGCCTCCTCGTTTCCCCCACTTGCCTTCTCTCCTTAAGGTCTAGCTTGCGTCTGACCCCCGAATGCTCGTGCTCTCTGTCCGATAATCTCCAATTCGGATCTCCGACTAAGAATCCGGTGCCCCGGATTACCTTCCCCCCCACCAATAGGCCTGGTCCAACACCGTTAGTGTGAGATTTAGCCCTTGTTCTAATACTGAAAGGGGTCAAGAGGGAGAAACAGGGGGAGTCTCTGGCCAGATCCACAGAATTACTGGACCTCACGATCGCAGACAGCGCGGTGCATGGGAACACTTCACCGCAAATCTGCCCTATTTGACTCGCGACACAGCCCCTAAAACCTACGAAAATATCACAGCAGTCTCGATCTATCTTCCTGCGAATTAGTGACCATGGGAAGCAATCTGGGATCCATCTCCAAGGACGTCAACTTGGCCAACCCCCCCTCGGACAGCGTCTCTGAACTGAGCTGGTCGCCCGTCGCGAACTACCTGGCAGTGTCCTCCTGGGACCAGACGGTGCGCATCTACGATGCCTCGCAGTCGGTGACGGGAGAAGGGAAAGCACTGTTCAACTTCCCTGCACCGGTGCTGAGCTGCGCCTTCTCGCATGATGGTGCCAAGGTGTTAGGAGGGGCCGCCGACGGATCCGCCCGACTGATGGACCTTGGGGCAGGGCGAGAGGCGCAGCAAGTCGCAGCCCACGATGCACCCGTCCGCTGTGTCCGCTTCTTCGGCAATCCAGGCATGCGCGATCCCATCGCCGTGACCGGGTCGTGGGATCAAACGGTCAAGTACTGGGATCTTCGCCAGGATCGCCCCCTGGCGACCCTTCAGTGTCAGGAGCGCGTGTACGCGATGGATCTCTGTCAGAACCTGCTGGTCGTGGCCACTGCTGAACGCCACGTGCATATCGTGCAGCTCAGCAATCCTGGTCAGATCTACAAGACCGTTACCAGCCCCCTGAAACACCAAACTCGCACCGTCACCTGCATTCCGGACGCATCTGGATTCGCCATCGGTAGCACGGAGGGTCGCACTGGTTTCCATTACGTGGATGAGAGCAATTCGAGGTGAGCACTTCTACAATGTCTTGAAAAAGGCTTTTCTAACCATCGGTGCAGTCAAAACTTCACTTTCCGCTGTCATCGCGATATGAGCGGCGGGAAAAACACCCAGGATGTGTTTGCGGTGAATGACGTCTCCTTCCATCCCAAATACTATACCTTCAGTACCGCCGGCGCGGACGGCACCTTTGCCTTTTGGGACAAAGACGCTCACCACCGTCTGAAGGCGTTCCCCAGCGTGGGCGCCAGCATCACCTCGACGGGCTTCAATCACGATGGCAGCATCTTCGCCTACGCTGTGAGCTACGACTGGAGCAAGGGCTTCCGCTTCAACACGCCCGACCATCCCACTCGCGTGGTTTTCCACCCGGTGGATGACGCCGAGTGCAAGCCCAAGAATCCCGTGAAACGATAAATTCAATGCCAAGAGGCCATTTCATTGCCAAGACCCAGTCTCATTGCTTAGTCTTACATCTGCAACACCTTGGCGACGACCTCGTCCGGACTTTCCTTTGCCACGCCCACCAAGGGTGCATCCGATGCCTCCCAAGATGGCGCCATGACGCACCGGGCCTGCCCTTCATCGAACAGCTGCGCGACCGCCAACTCCAACACCCAGCCCCCCATGCCGGCCTGGAACTTCCTCTGTCCGTTCTCGATCAGTTGCTGCGCCGAGGCGTGCTGCACTGGCCACTGCCGGCCCGTGGCGCGCTGAAAGGCCTCCAGCAGTTCGTTCTGGTTGGTGATGATTGACATGACCTTGACAAACCGATTGGCCGTCTCGTCGGGATGCTGCAGCACTCCGACGACGGACTGCCCAATGCCCGCGAGGGTGGTGGCCGTGAATTTCTCGGTGCCGGAGTCGTAAATGATGGCAGTGCCGCGGGCAATGTCGAAGCCCATCAGCGGAAAGCGCTTCATTGCCTACAGCAAACACAATACTTAGCATCACACAGCAATTCCTACACGGATATGACAAAAAGAAACCGGAAAAGAAAGAAAGAAGAAGAACAAGAAGGGGCAGTTGTGTTGCCTTACCCAATCAATCGGATTGCCCGAGGTGATTCCGGTGAAGGTGAAGTTGGGGTTGGCCTGCGCCTTGGCCTTGGCGAGCTCCCACCCAGCGCGACGATGAGCGTGAATGGCGTTGAACTCGGGGAAATTGGGGTATTCCGGACCCCAGCCGAAATCATCGACGATGAATCGCTTAACGCCAGCAGCCTCGGCGGCTTCGATCATGGTGACCTGGGCGCCAATGCCGCCTGGACCGACAACACAGATGGCGGCATCCTGGCCCGCCAAGGCGTTGGTCAGGTTCTCGAGAGTGTAGGTGGTACGGATGACAGGCAGGCCGGAAGGGAACGTCGAGGTGGAATCGGTGCGGCTGATGATGGTGATGGCAAAGCCGGCGCGTTGCAGGGCAGCAGTAATCGGAGTGCCAAAATTGCCCGATGCCCGTGCGGGGGTCAGTCATGAGGAGGCGGGATGAGGAGTGAGGAGTGATAGGAAATCAAGGGACATACCCCGAAGATGGCGACTTTCTGGATGGTGGTCATTGTTGGTTGATTGGGAGGGAGGCAGGTTGAGGTTGAGGTTGGTGGTTAGGGCTAGTTTTGATCAACACGGAGAAGAGTTGACAGTCAGTCAGTCACTCAATGGGGGCATTATTTGCATTATAGCGGGGTTGTCAGACAACCTCAGGCATGAACTCAATGGACAGAAACAAAGAAATCATTGTAATTACATTAGTAATCAAAAATAGTCTGAATCATCCATTACGAGGCGCCGCTAGGTTTGCCGGTAGCCCGTGTGTGGAATGTGATAGGTGTGTAGGTGTGACCGGCTCGTTCCTAGTGTGGCTGCGCGGTGGTTTGGGAGCAAATGAATCCAAATGAGGGATTTGCCCAGGCTGGAACAGTGGATACTAACCATTCTACTAGGGAAGATCAGATCTAGTCTGTAGATTGTGGGGAGCTTCGCGGTTTTGAATTTACCTGGTCCAGACGGTGTGCTTTTAGGCTCGGGACGTGTCCGCGATGGCCTCAAGTGGATAGGACTAGATACTAGATACATGTAGACAGTCCGGAGTCGTCTCGATTGCCTTCTCGTTTGCGATGCAGACGTTTTTATTCATATATCTCTCCACCGGTGAGGCTCTTACCAGTATATGCCTCATCCGTTCACGCTTGCACTGACGCACTCACTTACTCACTCGGTCGCTTACCTGCCCATAGCCTGCCTGATCCTTCGATTCCCCCACTTTTGTCTTTGTAGAATGTAGAAATGTTTGTATGATCTTTCGCTTTGTTCTAGTAGCATATGCCAAGAGATTGGTCATTAGAGTGATATCTCCCCTGATAGATACGACTCCGAATCCGACTCGGGGACGACCCTCACCTCCGACCGGCGCCAACCGAAGTGCATTCATTTATTCATTCATTTATCCTCACCTCAGCTTTATCTGACTGCAGACAGGATGAAAGGCACCTCCGCACCGTCTATCATGGCCTTTCAATCACATGGGGATTATGCGGATAGCTGATCGCATGATTCGTCGCCCTGAACCGATTCGAGGTATGTACAGTACATCCGGCACAAGACAAGTCCTGGGGACAGAGACTAACCAGGATGAACCAGATGTCCCCATCACGAGATGTAACCATTCTGCAGAACCCCATCATGCAGTTTGGACATACACGCAATCAGGCCTCCCATCGCAGATGATCGTGCTCGAGGATGAGGCTCCAGCGCCGTCAGCAGCGGAGCTCGGGCCCAAAGAAGTGCTGGTCTCGCTCAACTACGTTGCGATGAACTCAGGTTTCACGACGATGATGCGCTCCCTGCCGCCGCAGCCCTACTCACTTCCCCATAGCTACAACCGTCAGAAGCGATTGGGCACCCCCGAGTTCGAATTCTCTGGGCGCATCCTCGCAGTGGGTGCCGACATCCCCTCCACGCGACCGGACCTGCAACCCTCGACGGCGGTCCTGGGATGCTGCGTCGCTAAACGCGTCTTCCCCAAAGGAAAAGGCGCGCTCGGCGAGCGCGCGATTGCTCCAGCTGACCAGTTCATCCCCCTGTACCCTCTTCAAGAAGATGGAACGCCTGGCCCTGCACCACTGTGCAGGCCATCGACCTGACCAAGCTCATCCCCGGCGACAAGCTCTTCGTCAACGGTGGCAGCACCAGCGTGGACATGCTGATATCCAAGTCGCGCGCCACGTTCTAGGTCCCACCGGGACGATCATCGCGGCCGCGACCGACAGCGCTCTCGTGAACCCCGTTGGCGCGGACGAGGTCATCAACCACCGCGCCAACGACCCCCTGCATGAGTATCTCCGTGCTCACCATGCGGAGCAACCCTTAGATGCGATCATCGACTGCGTTGGGGTGAAGGACCTGTACGTGCACTGCGAGCCGTATCTCCGTGAAGGAAAACCGTTCATCAACCTCGGAGCCATGACCGCTAAGCCTACGCTCTGGGGCTGTTATCGTTCGTTTGGAATCACCATATGGTACCCCTATGGCCTGTTGCCCTTGGGGTGTGCCGCGCGATTATCAGTTCTATAGTGCCAGGCCGAATCAGGAGTCGTTGGCTAGGGTGATGAGGTTGGTGGAGAGGAGAGAGATGCGCATGGGGCTGGACTCGGTCTGGGAAATGCAGGATGCGCCTAAGGTATGTTCTTCTCCTGTGTTTCATTCACAGCAAGTCTATTGTGGCTGACTGGCGGTTGGTAGGCGTATGAGCGGATGGAGAGTAAGAGGGCGAAGTGTAAGGGTCGTTGTGAGGGTTCTGGAGGAGTGAGTTCCTCTGCTCAAGGTGGTGTGAATAGGGGCTTTATTGTGCCTGTTGTAGCAGTGCAGTGATGCTTGGAGTGTAAATTAAGTGCTTAAACAGCCGTACTATGCATCTTCAGGCTTGAAAGATTGAGAAGAACACCCAAAATTGCTGGTATTGTTTATGGAAGCGCTGCTAGAAGGACATACCACAGAGTAGATCGGAGGAAGAGTATAGCACTGTTGCTGCTGATGGCCTTCTCGAATTATACCAGTAGTTTTGCATCGACTCGTACATGGTCGCTTGCGAGAGCATTACAAGCATGTTGAACGATTGAATTGCTAGTAGTATTGTCGATGGCACGGGCCCATGGGAATCGACCGAGATATGCGCTTGCCATGCTACCCCAGTCTGATTCCACCCTACTGACGCTAGACAGATTTGGACCAGTTTGTGATGGGTGAGGAGAAGACAATTGCGTACTGTGATCCCGAGGTACCTGAGTCGTGCCTCAAAGCAGTGGAAGACCTCGAGCGGTACATCGCGGCCGAGCGTTCCTATGACGGCGTGATGGGGTTCAGTCAAGGCGCCAACGTCGCCCTGAGCTGGTTGATGAAGCTGCAGCACGAGAGCAAGGGTAGTGAAGCGCGTCCCTTACCCTTCAAAGTCGGGATCTCTTCTCCAATCCCTGGGCTGTGTGTAGTTATCAGGAGCTGTTAGGCGGTCGCATTGTGCCCCTGGAGCGCGAAGCGTTTGAGAGGATGCTGGACTTGCCGACAGCGCATATCTGGGGCTCAGCCGACAAACTTGCGCAGCTGGCTGAAGCGACCACTTTTGCCCGTGTAGAGGGGAAGAGATCGGTCTTGGTTCATAATAAAGGCTATGAGATCCCAGTCAACTCCGACTCGGTTATCTCGATGGCTAAGACGATCAATCGAGCCCTGGTGCGAGCTTCAACCGTGGAATGTGCATAGAGAAGAATCATATCTCATTCTTCAGTCGCCAAGACTGTCAATCAGATAATAGCAATGAGAGTAGCGTCCGTAAGCAATTGGTCTACAGAAGAGAAAGCTTGACCTAAGACCTTTTAGACGAATGTTAGTGCGACTGCTCGCTGTCTTCAGTGGGCGATAATGCCCCCTTATGTGCTGGCAGAAGCTGGGACGCTGAGACCAGGAGGACCCTTGCATGCTCGACAGCTTGATGAGATGAGAAGTCGAGTGCCGAGTCCGGGGATCAGCGTGCAGGTCGAACCTAGCCATTGACGTAGGTGAGATAATCCTCACTGTAGCTGCGACGTGGATACAATCACCATCCCTGTCGGGACTTGTCTTATAGCCCTAACACGCAAGACGTAAGCGCTAAATCATCCCACCGCTCGTATTTCCGCCGGTACTATAGCCCGGGATGAAGTCAGGCAGTCCGACTGACACGACAGGAAGGCAGTGCACTGCATCTTATCGTCGAATTCCTGGGAGTTTGCTGGGCAGTATTTAGCGAAGGACTCCACCTCACGCTCTTTGGGCTGAGGGCTCCTAAAGCCTGCAGGAATGCCGTACTGTCATGTCACGGATTTGCATAACATGATACCGACGTTTTGCAATTCGTGCTACCTCTTTCCTAAGGCCATGCTGGGAAGTTCAGGGACATGTAGAACGAGGAGCTCGCACCGTCAATGAGGATGGGGCAGCCGTACACCATATCCAGTTTAAAAGGACACCAGCCTGAAGACTCAAGCAAGCTGGGGCTCTTTGACCACCGTTCCTCAACCATGCCGTCCAGAACCCCTGTGTCGGTGGCGCAGTACCTGTTCGCACGCCTCAAGGATGTTGGAATCCGGTCCGTTCATGGCGTGCCCGGTATGTAGCGCTCGCCTTGTCTTCCTTCTATGAGTGTCGCACGCCATGCTGACGCGAAGCTAGGCGACTACAATTTGCCTCCCTCGACTACATATCCCAGACTGGGCTGCGGTGGATAGTTAACTGCAACGAGCTCAATGCTGGTAGGGATGCCTCTTCTTGTCTTGTACTGGTTCCGTCCCTAACCGCGGAGTAGGCTACGCGGCCGACGGATATGCTCGCGTCCACGGCATCTCAGCGCTGATGACAGTCGCCGGGGTCGGGGAGCTGTCGGTTTCGAATGCGATCGCGGGGGCCTACGCTGAATACGTGCCAATTGTTCACATCGTAGGACAGCCAAGTCTGCGGTTGCAGAAGCAGAGGAAATTGCTGCATCACTCGCTCGGGGACGGCGACTTCGAGGCCATGGCTCGCATGTCAGAACGGGCGGCGTCCAAGAGCGTCCAGCTACGGTGTGCGGCGCAGGCGCCGGGGATGATCGATGAGGCTATTACGCACTCCTGGAGATCCAGCAGACCCGTCTCGATCATCCTACCAACAGACATGGTGCACGAGCCGGTCATTGCCGCAAACCTGTCCCATCCGCTGAACATGGTCCCGACAGCGAATAACTATGTGACAGAGAGGCGGGCGGTTGATGCAATCCTCACGGCGTTTCGGACAGCCAGGCAGCCGATTCTGTTAGTCGGAGGGTATAATGTGCGCTTCACGAAACGGAGGGAGGTCCAGGAGCTGGCGGAGGCGTTTGGGCTGCCGGTCTTCCTGTCCGCATCGGGAAGAGGAATCATCGACGAAGAACATCCCATCTTCCACGGTCTATACTTGGGCGACTGCTCCGATCCAAACACCGCCGAAATGGTTCGGTCGTCTGATTTGATCATCTCCATCGGCAATATACACTCGGATTTGAGCGTCGCCTCCTTGTCGTGGGAGTTAGATCCCCTGAGAATGGTCGAGATCAGGGATGGGCTAGTGCAGATCAAAGGCAAGGACTATCACGGATTGAGTAGCCCAGAACTTCTTCAGACTCTCGTCCACCGGGCAAGAGATTTCACTCAGACGCAAAGGCAAAGTCAGTTCGCCAATGGGGGAGCAGAAACTCCCCTTAGCACAGGCAATATTCCAGTAGGCAAGAGAGTGCCTCCGATCACCGGTCGAGAATCAGTCTACGGAGGCGGTATGATGCACGGGGTATTGAGACACATGTCGCATACATTAAGCTACAGGGAGGAGAGAGGTCCTCTGAACCATGACTGGCTGTGGCTCAGTCTGAGCGACTGGCTTCAACCCGTGGACACGGTAATCGCCGAGACAGGCACATCGAATCTTGGGATCTGGTCCACCCGCCCGCGAGACGTCACCTACATCAGTCAGTATCTGTGGGCGAGCGTGGGTTATTCCCTCGACGCCTGCCAAGGGGCAGCAGCGGCAGTGCAGGACTCAGGGCACCCGAATCGACGAACCGTCCTGTTCATCGGAGATGGAAGCTTCCAGTTCAGTTGCCAGGAATTGAGCACGATCGTCAGACACAATTTGACCCCGATCATGTAAGTGGAAACCAATGACACCTTTTCTTCCGTGGACGGTGGGGATTAATCCCTCCCTTTCCAGATTTGTGATTTGCAATAACGGATACACCGTCGAGCGATTGATCCACGGACGGCACGAGTCTTATAATGACATTCAGGTATGGCAATACCGGAAACTTCTGGAGGTGTTCGGCGCGGGTCGTGGCTCCTACCAGACATATCAGATTCGCAACAAAAAGGAATTGTCGGCGCTGCTGCAGGATTCTTCGTTCAACGATGACAGTACGCTCCGGGTAAGATTCTGCTCTGCTTCACCTCGATGACCAATATTGATCACATTGATAGTAGTTTGTCGAATTGCATATGGATCAGAGGGATGCACCGTCGGATCTCCAAATTCTCACGCAACAGTTGGTGGCTTGGGACACGCAACCGCAAAGGCAAGGGGTATGAGAGTGACATGGCGGCAAGACCAGGCGAGTACTGGTGAAGGACTAGCCGATCGTATATAGCAGACTTGAACAGTTTCAAGAGATTCCCATGGGATGAATAAATAAGAAGATGAATACGAGATGCGTCGAAAGATGGATGACGATGCAGCCGTTGTTCGCCGCTTTTGTTTACCACTAAAGGCGGTAAGGCCCATTGTGCAAAATACACAAATATATAATTACTCTCTGACCATACGTCATGTCATGTATTACAGACTCTAAACAGCAGCCTCGCTCTCTCTCTCTCTCCCTCACGGCTCTCCAGATCGGCCACATTACAAGCAATGCATGTCTGATACCTTCCTCCCTCCCCTGTCTTACTCTTTGTTTAACGACCCAAAATGGTACAACCTGCAAGGCTGCGGAGCTTTTCAGCAGCGCTGATCCAGTCCGCTGGTTGCACGAAACTCAAGCCAATGCAACGAAAGTGCCGACCACCAGCGACCTTCAGTTCTGGGCCCGACTACATCCATATCCTTTTTCCCAGGAAATTGCATGAGATAATATCCTCCGCCAGCAGCTTCTCAACATTGAAGGATCCGGACTGTTCCTTTGCTTTTGGTGGCCTATAGACCGTGAACTTGATCGCCATCGTCATGGAGCAGTTATCGATAGTTCACGGACCAGAGGAGCCTCCTCTCTGGTCCAAGACCTTAAGGGAGCTGATCGAGGAGCAGGCCGATATTTATGGCGACAGAACAGCGCTGGTGACCCCATGGCAGGAAACACGCTTGTCATTTCGCGACCTGGCGGAGAACAGTAGAATGCTGGCTAACGCGATGGTGCACGCCGGATTGCGTCTGGGCGATTGCATCGCTGTTCTGGCTGGCAATCGCTAAGAGTCCATTCAGGTGTTTCTGGCAGGGGCGAGAATTGGATGTCCTGTGCTACCATTGAATAACGCATACACTCCAGCTGAGGTACTTCGAGCTCTGCAGAGGAGTTGTGAGTGATTTTCGTCCGGCTTAGATTCGAGGTAAGACTGGCTTGCTAACGAGATAGTATCTCAGCGACCAGGCTGCTCTTCATCGCGTCGCGGATCGGCCCTCGCAGCTTGGCGGCTCATCTCCAGACTTTGATATCTCCCTCGTCGCGAATGGTGCTGCCCGAGCTTCGTGATATTGTATGCTTCGACATCGAAGAGTCTGGCACACAGCCATACATTCAGGGCTATGGATCCTTTCTCGCGTCAGGCGATGCAGCGGGACACGATAGCAGGTTTCTGGATGCGGCCGAGCGTATTGTTCGACACTCCGATAATCTGAGTTACCAATTCACATCAGGCACGAGTGGAGAGCCTAAGCTGTCTATGCTCACCCACCGGTAGGTGATCCAGTCGTGATGTCACTTGGTGTCGCGCTAACAAATCCAAAGCGGCCTGATCAACAACGCCCGCCTCGTTGGTGACGCCATGCGTCTCACCCCAGATGATGTCGTCTGCTGCCCACCACCTTTATTCCACACTTTCGGTCTGGTGCTCGGCTTCCTCAACGCATTCGCCCATGGCAGCGCGATCGTCTACCCTTCGGACCATTTCCATGCGGAAAGCGTGATCGACGCGATCGTCCAAGAAAATGCCACAGCGCTGCTGGGCGTCCCAACCATGTTTGTGGCCGAGCTCGAAGCATGCGTTGCCAAACAGGTTGACATAACGACGGTGCGCGCAGGACTGGCAGCTGGGACCCCAGTCTCCGAGACATTCCTCAGTCGGTTGGAGGAACGGTTTGGTGTGAAAGGCATGCTGATTGCTTACGGCATGACCGAGACCAGCCCCGTGTCATTCATGACGTCCTTAGACAATCCCAAACATAAAGCGATGAATAGTCTGGGGAGGATCCTCCCACATGTATCAGCCAAGGTTATCAACGAAGACGGTGCCATTGTACCGCGTGGAGAGAGTGGAGAATTGTGTACGAGCGGGTTTGGCCTGCAGAAGGGGTACTTCGAGAATGAAGCGAAAACAAAGGAGGCGATGAAGAGGGATGCAGAGGGAAGACTGTGGATGCATACTGGTGACCAGTGTCATTTGGACGCTGAAGGCTACTGCCACATCAGTGGCAGAATCAAGGATGTCATCATTCGGGGTAAGACAAGCCGATACCTCGTGGGGTAGTATAAGAAGACTAATTGAGCTTCCTAGGGGGAGAAAACATGTTTCCGCTCGAGATCGAGGAGCGCCTTCTGCTTCATCCAGCGATCGCAGAGGTAAGTGTGGTCGGTGTCGCGGACCAAAAATACGGTGAGGTGGTGGGCTGCTTCCTCAAGCTGACACAGGGACACATCAAACCTCAAGACCAAGCTTTGAGAGACTGGGTTCGCTCAGAACTAAGTTGGCATAAAGCCCCACAGCATGTCTTCTGGATTGGCGACGGAGGAGTCTGTCCTGACTTCCCCAAGACCGCCAGTGGCAAACATCAAAAGCATCTCATGAAGGACATTGCAAAAACGCACCTAGCAGGGGCGAGCTCAGGAAAGCAAATGCTGCCTTTATACTTGCACACGATGTCGCTGTTTGGGCTCTCTGTGTGCTTGATCCCTGTTGCACTGTATCTTGCCACGTTAGCGTGGCTCTCGCCATCATAATCAACTTTTCTGACATCATCATCGAGAATTACAGCCATTATCGGTGATGCAGATTCTTGATTTGGCCCCTTTGATTGGGGGTCTTTAATTGCAAGTTGATTCTCATAAATCGCTTGGTCGTGCCCACCCCTCTGTATGTTGCAAAGGCTAGTAGGCATACGGTTTCGTGGTCAACTTTTCGGGCATCAGTACAGCCACTAATGAACTCGGAGGTTGAAGCAACGCCAAGCATGTGATTTGACTCCGGGGCAGAGACGTATCGTACTGCTGTGGCTGGATAGAAAGCTCGGTGGAACGATGGTAACTATCATAGATTTTGATCGACTCTATTCAACCCATAATTGACCCCACGTCTCCCAGAAATTGAGGGCTGACGATTCGTCCAGAAGGGCATCCACCATGTTGTCCATATCTGTTCCCAGTGCTGGGTCGACAGCAGCAATCGGATGGGCCGCGGCACCAGTTGGTGCAGATGCAGATACTGCAGCAGGAATTGAAACGGACGTACTGGGGTTCTCATCCGTACGCTCCGGGTAAATTTGCTGGATGGCCTTAGCGAAAATCCCGCGGTATATGGACGCGACGGTGTAGACTTTCTGAAATTCTTCCATGATCATCATACATGCGTTGAGCTTGTTGAGTCGGAGACGTCGCGACAAGGTGTTGCCGGTTCGGCAATTCAAAAGGTGCATTTGCATGGCAGGGATGAGCAGAGGGGGTCTGTGAGAGATGTCAGTTGGGTCGCACACAGTGCCAACGTCGGAGGGCTCACGTCATTGGCAAGGCATATTCAAGCAGGTTTTCTTGTGCGAGAACCTCAAGGATGTCGTTTGTGCGGGAGGCTGCGCAGTCGGCTTTATGGCGAAAACTCTCCTGCCATTGCATCTGGTTGCTGAGAGAGAGTTCATCCGGCAGGTCAGTTATGCACGGCCGATAGAGGACTATGAGAACCGCTCTGCAAGAATTAGGATGATTCTGACTCAATGAAGGCTCCAGGCATACTGGTAATGTAATTGGAGATGGTGCAAGTAGAACCGTGTAGGGCCATTCCACCCAGGGGCAGACTGCTCTGGTGGTTTGCGGCAAGTAATTTCTGTCTCAAGGGCCTCGATTTGTTCGTGAGAGGGCTTAGGACGAACTGTCTTGTAGCTCATCGCTAGGACGGATCCTAGCAATCGGCTCATTTCGATCAATTGAACCCAAAATTCCGCCAGAATGGAAATCTCATTTGGGATGAAGGTAGGTAGAAGGGACTCGGGGATATTATTCAGGTCATATAGTAAATCTGCCGCCGAAGGCTTTGCCACATCGCAGTCTTCGAGGTCAATGCGTAGCGGCCGTCCCAGGGTTAGACTCAGCCAACGATCACGGAAGAAGCAAGTCCACCACAGACGACGCCACAGGTATCGCTGACGGTCGGTAATAGCCGCGTTGTATCGTGCCGCGTCAGGGTCACGATGGAGGCCTAATATCTGACAAAGAGTGACCGATATGCCAGTCCAATACCAAGGCTGGACATGCTCATCGACCTCGGAGTGCCAGAAGCCGAGCATGAGAGAGGATTGCAGGAGAACCACTTTATCTCGCTCCCCGCTGTTATTGTACAGGCACTGTTCCTTATTATCAGCGCCGAGTCCAGTACAACGTGTAGGTAAGATGACGGAATCGGTGCCGCTGGGGCAACAGGGAGCATGCGAAGCGCTCCCTCGGCCTAAGCATCATACCTTGGCGTGGGAGTACATGGCCGCTTTCATTGCCTTCCGAGAGTCGTACCCTTCTCGCTCGCAGAGTGAAGATGGAACAAACTGTAAGGTACGTTAGCTGCTTGCTCACATCCAAAAAGGCCACGACTGCTACAGCATGCAGGCTCCATGTAGATCATATTTCATTCATGCAAATGCTGCATCAAAAAAACCGATCAAGCATGGAAGCAAGCAAGCTAGCCAGGTAACATCTCTTCGAGCAAAACGCTTCTCTGTCCATCGAGCCCAGCAACATTCCGAGCCTCGCTCAGAGAACCTCATGCCGATTCAGAACCGGCGGGCGAAATATGAGGGCGAAGAAAGACGTAGGTGCACCACCTCCCTCTTTGGCACAATTAAACTGACTCACATTCACAGCAACAAAGAACACACTCCACACCAGTAGCAGGTTATATTCATGCAGTCGTCCAGCATGAAAGAAGTGCAAGATCTGATCAGCTTCGATGATTGGCATGATTGGATGCACGTGACGGAAGTACGCTTGCAGTAGGCAATGACACGCTTCGCTGCTGGGTAAATTGAAGACGCCTTTGCTTGCAAGATAGTTTCGATCCTCTTCTGACAAGGATGTTGAGGCACGCGACGGAATCAGGAAATGCCGAGGTAAAGATTCACCCGGGGCAAGGAGTGTTAGGGTTGATGTTATGCCGGTTTTGTCTCCTGACGATAAAGAGGGTCATTAGCCTCGAGCTCACCGAAGCCAGATCACAGTGTCCAGGCACAGCAGGCTATAGAAAATCTAAAAGGTATGATTGGATTGGAGTACCAGTATAGAACGGCACCTGTCCAGCTCGCTCCGGATTGCCCAAAGCTGCTGCGGCAATCTCAAGCCCATTGCGCTCCTCGTCCTGAATACTGTATTGTTCAGATCCCGACACAGCGGGTGATTCTGACGGAGGTCTTTGGAAGGCCGGTGTCCGAGGTATTGTCGGGCGAACTGCATGCCCTGCGGACTGTGCAGCACGGTTGGTCGGGCTGCTGTTGGCCGCGTGCGCCCGAGTTCGAGCGGATGCATTGCGCCGGCTCGTTCTGGCAATTGACAGTTTCAGTCAAAGATAGGGGGTACAGCCATCAAGTCTTCTAGGCTGGGGGAGTGAAGCCGATCTTACCTCTCAAGTGGCGCATCCACCACACATTCGGCGTGATCCTGGGCGCAGCGGATGCAGGGAACCCCGGTCACATTGATACTACATCGGACCTTGCGTTGGCGGCACGAATGACATGCCACGGTCGATCGATAGCGACGAGCTGACATAAGAACTGAGCATAAACTCACTAAGCCGACTGTCTTTCTGATCTAGTAGCTATCGTCATAGAGAATCGGGAGTGTGGAATTGAAGTCATTGACAGAAGAAAGGAAGCCCGCGGAACTTGGAAGAGAAACCGCGGGAAGAAACAGCAAACAAGGCAAATTTCTGCCTCAGGCCATAAATCATGTCAACCTTATTATAAAGCATAAATATTTGTGGCCGAACGAATCCCGACTTTTCCCCTTCCGGTATAACTATGTGATGATGTTGAAATTTTTCAGTTCCAGCAAGTTACAGTTGACATCGAGCCTCTGATTGCTGAGCCGTGATGATCACTTTCTCTTATTTGAATTTATTTCTCTCTCGTCTAGATCCTGAGTCAAAAAGAACAAGATTCCTTGGCTACTAAAGTCTATCTTAAGGGCGGGGCTGTCAAGATATATTCTTTTTCTAAAACAGTCGTTACGATACCTGCTGTCCGCTCTCGTTTCTGTTTATCAACTTCATATCCTCAAATGAGGATATGTGCTACGAGACTTGCGAGATACTGATGATAAAAGCATTCAAAAAATGAAAATGGATTTCCACGACACCATCGAGCCTTTAAAAACAGAATATCTCATCAGAAATCTTGGCCACAGCCCCAGGAGTCTGAAATCCGAGGGATGCCAGTGCTTTCTTGGATGCGTTGACCATGCCCGGTGGGCCGCAGAGCATGACTTTCGTGTCGGAGGACGGAGCAGGCAATCTCTCTCTCATAATCTCCGGTGTGACATACCCCCTGCCGAATGTCCAGTTCTCTGGCGCCGTATCCAACATATACCAGACCTTAAGATTCCGAGGATAATTCTGCGCAAAGGTGTCTAATTCGCGTCGCAGAAGGATGTCGTCCTCTGATCGGTTCGCATATATAAGGCTGACCTCGGTAAGATCGGTGGCATCCTCGCAAATGGCTCGGATCAACTGGTACATTGGTGTGATGCCAGTGCCGCCGGCAATCATTCCGATCTTTTTGCAGAGGCCCTTGGTATACTTCATCGCGCCCTTGGGCCCACGCAATTGAATCTCGTCGCCGATCTCCAGATTTGCGAGATACTTTCCAGTCAACATGCCGTCGGGGTAGCACTTAATCACCAACTCCAAGACTCCTCGATCCAGATTGTTGGACGTGGGAGTGTATGATCTCGAGACCGTCGTTCCATCGATGTTGGCTTTGATTGCTACATGCTGGCCGATGGGGAGTCCAATTACATCCTGTGGGGTTGGAAGCTGCAAGACAAACTTATAGACGTTGGGTGCCAGTGCCTCTTTTCGAATCAGGGGAAGACTCTTGTATTCCTTGGGATCGAGAAACCCTTTGGCGAGGTGGGGGTTGCTGCGAACGACCTTGCGACGCTTCACATACGGCGGATACTTCGTAAAGCCCGACTGGATCTGGGTCATCTGAGACAGCTTGGAGGCGACGACAGAGCCGACAATGGTAGCAATTCCGGTCGCAGCAGCAAACCCAGTATAGAATCCCCCGGATGTAGACACTTTATGCGGTGATTGGATCGATCGCAAAAGACTCCGAAAGTCTGAAAATCCGGGCCATGCCGCGGGTAACGTTGTATAAATGTGTCGGCCAAAGTACAGGGTTATTGCTGCACCGCCAATCGAGAGAGTCGCCAGAGCCACAGATCTGGTGGAGCCTCTCTTATGTGCAGGTTTTGGTGGCGATAGATTTGTGGGCTGAACCAGTCGAACTGATTGGGGGCGGATTCGCTCGCGTGCGTCTTTCAGTGTGCCGATCAAGTAGGTTTGAAGTATGTCGTCCGCGTCCTGTGATGTCTCTTGTCAACCTACGAAGTCGCGACTTGCTTGCATTGATGCTTACCTCGGAATGTCCCACATCCTCGTATGCTTCAGTCGCGTCGGTTCCGGCAACATCGATCAACACTTCGGCGCCCCCAGGATGATCTCTCACGTATTCGGTGACATTGTACACTAGAACGACGATCACGAGGTCAGGACAGAACTTCAAAGTATCCCAATGAGAGAAGTAGCGAGAGGCCTACATACCCTTCCCCTGAATAGTAATCCACAGGTCGCCTCTCGTTTTGTGACCAGCAACCTCCTCTGTCGTATATTGCGGCAAGTCTTGCATTGTGAGACAGCGATTCAACCTGGAGTCGGAACCTTGAGCAAGGAGATGAGCCAGGTAGTAGAGTCACACGCGTCGGGTGCTACTTTCGAGCTGCTGGGCTGGAATGAAGGCATAATGTGCGTAATTGGCTGCTTTATATTTATAGAAGAACAGCACTAGATCGCTGGTTCCGAGAGAGATATTCCCTCGAATCGGTCAGAGGCCCACTTTCCTTGTCATCATACGACCATAGCCAATCCTAGCGAAGGAATTCTAACGTTCTTCCTCCCTCGGGATGAACGACAGTCACTGTGAGCGAATCGGATGCTCTCAATTGATTAGGAAGCACCAGAGCCGCGGGAGACAATACAAGCCGCGGGGTTGTTGCTTGTCTCCACATGCGTATATGAGACTTCATTAAGAGTGGAATATTAATACTGACATTTGCCCATTTATAAAGACAAGCAGCAGAGACCATTCTCCTTATTGTAATTGACGTACGATCTTTCGAGCACAGGGCCGTTTCATACGCTATGTCCAGCCAGCAATTTTATCTCCTGGGCGAAGCGGCCACGTCCGCCAAGCACATCCCCATCGACACATCCGCCAATCTTGATCAATTGAAGCACTTGGTAGCTGCTCATTTTGCCATTGTTGAGCCAAGCGGTCAGTCACTTGATCTAATTTTTCGATGATGAACGATTCAGACTGACATACAAAAGAGATTGGCTTCCAAACCGAGGAGGATTGCCTCGCTGATGTCGCCGATGTCCTCGCCGCGTCCGGACCGGTAGCAATCTCCATCAACGGCCATGCTGTACGAGAACCAGATGGTCCCAAAGGTCTTCCCTATGTGGGGAACTACTTCGAAGTCTTCCCCGACCATCTCGGGAACCATCAGCGGCTGTTCAACCAATACGGACGAATGTTCAAGACGACAAATCTTGGTCGGACAACATACCACACAAATGATCCGCAGATATCAGCAATAGTCTTTGCCGAGTCAGACTTCTTTTCCAAGAAGATCAATGAAGCCCACCCATTATACGCCTTGAAAACGCCTTCTGCTGGTATATTTCTTGGGGATACCGACAGCCCTGAATGGAAAGTGGCTCATAAGTTCTTACCACCGGCTCTTGGTCCAAAGGCTGTGCGACATTACGCTCCGACGATGCAACATACCGTGGAGGACTCGTTTAAAGTTTTTGACGCCCTTGATGAGCAAGAGTCTTCCTTCAATGTTTATCAGTATATGTTGAAGCTCGGCTCGCAGGCGGTGGGCAAGCTCACCCTTGGCCTGGACTTTGAACATTTCACATCGCCAGACGCTCCCGTGCATGACATGGTTCATATGATTGCTGAGATGTTGTCTCTCAACAAGAAGGTCACGTCGAGAGGCGACTGGTATGGCAGGCTTCCGTTTGGAGATCCACAGCGATTGAGGAACTTGAAGGCGAAGATTGAGGCGATGGTGGGAGAGTCCATACAGAGGGCCGAACGCGGGGGGGTTGCCGACTTGCCCTTGCAGGAAGCGGCGCTGCAGGCCTCTAACATGGTTGGTAAGTGATGATTCTCTCTATCTGCGACCTTGTATCGGTACGGCCACAGCTCATGCGTGACTTTATCAGACTATGCCATCCGTGCCACCGATAACAAGGGCGATAAACTGCCCAAAACGAGCCTGGTTTGGGCTTTGGTCGTTGCAACAGCGGCTGGATTCACGACAACGAGTTCTCTCCTCTCCTGGCTGATATATGGCCTTGTCACCTATCCAGGCATGGAAGACAGACTGCTCCGAGAATTGATCGATAACGGTATCACAGAAGACACTGAGTTGACGGCAGATATCACCGATCGGCTGGTATTTATGGACAAGTATATCAAAGAGGTTCAGCGAGTTCACAATCCTTCCTTCCAGCCGGGCCGTACTGCGAAGGCTGATCTGATTCTTCCTGACGGTTATAAAATCCCTAAAGATGCGGTGGTCATTCCGGCACTGCACCATATTCACAACAACCCCGACCTGTGGGATAACCCCAGCCGGTTTGACCCCGACCGATGGGACACTCCTCAAGTGAAGGCAAGACATAAGGCGGCCTACATCCCGTTTGCTATGGGTCCGCGCATGTGTATCGGGTTCAACTTTGCCCTTCAGGAGGTGAAGATATTCCTGCCGAAGCTGATTTATCGCTATCACTTCAGTCGCGAGGAGGATCTAACACCAGTGGAGTATGATCCGATGTTCCAACTGATCAGACCGAACAACTTGTATGTTCGAGCCGAGCGGAGGGTAAAATGGCCAGCCAAGTCTAGCAATTGAGGTGGATTCGATATGATCAGGCCAAAAGAGCTACCTGTTGGCACCGCTGTGATCTATAGAAATGTCGTGCATTTTATAGAACTATATTGTATATGTATCACTTGAGTACATCAAAATGTGAACAATTTCAAGTGCATAACATGCCCTTCGTGGCCCAAGAACTTGGACTATGTCACGGGAGCACGTGAGCTCTATCTGCTTGACCTCTTAGCAGTAAACCAAGACCATTTAGTAATAGCGTGCAGTGCATTATGGCCAGGTTGCTTATTTTACGTGGTCTATCTGGGTGGACAAGTCTATTTCGAGAACGATTCTAGGAAGCTGAATGGTTACAGCTGTCAATGCGTTGTTTCAGCCGAGTGCTGATTCTGGTTGCCCGACGGCACTGGAATGCCGATGGACGACATGCCGGCCTGCCGAGGGATTTTCTTCCGCGGGAGTGCAGTTTGTCTGTTTGTCCTTGCTTTCACACATACTTAGTCAGATGAAATCGAAATCTATTACGCATTGATTGCTTGCTACCGCGGGTGTGGGCCTTGGTCTATCAGTTATTTCCTCAAGAGTTACCGACTCTTCGTGCTAATCATCCTCGCATCATTTTTCATCCGATGTTTCCCCTTGAGTCCGAGAATCGCCTTGACTCTTCAACCATCTGAGCCGCTCCAGCATTTTGTCCTTGTGTTGTGCATCTGCTGGCCAGATCTCATTACCGCTGTGGGGCGCATAATACGTTAAGCCTTTTCCAGCGATCGCACTGTCGATCTGGCGCAATCAAGGTTTGCCAACACATTTAGTATGCAACTAGACGGAGTTGCTGCAGTTTCGACCACTGCAATTGGAGTTATTGCAATCTTAGCACCACAAATGGCCAACATGCCGAGTTAATACAAACATGATTGGTGCACATAATCCACCAAGATATACAGCAATAGACTGTCTTTTCCAGTGACGTAGGGCACAGCCTCCGCCGGGATTGAAGGGTACAACTACGATGATCCCCGGAAATCGGAGCCCAAACAAACTACTAGCACTTTTCACGCCTCACGGAGCCGAAGTGACGGGCCCAAAGAGGGAAGTAATGAAAGCAAGGCGTTGAGCAATGGAGATCCCAGGCCTCCTTACACTACTGGCATTAGTCCTTCCCATATGTCTGTATTATGGAGGTCTTTTCCGGTCTCGTCCGGCAGGGCTGCCACTTCCACCCGGTCCGAGTTTTCTCTCCGGACTATCAGCCCTCATCCAGCAACAAAACATTGCGACGACCTTCCACGAATGGAGCCAGAAGTACGGCCCAGTGGTGCATATGAAGATTGGGTCTCGGTCCTTCATCATCTTAGGCACTCGTCAAGTGGCGCAAGAATTGCTTGAAAAACGAGCCGGAATCTACAGCTCTCGGTCTCCATCTGTATGGATCGACAAATATCTGCACAAAGGACTCGCGGCCGCGTTCATGCCGTATGGACACAAATGGCGGCTCAACCGACGGTTGCACATGTCCCTGCTCAACAACCAATGCACCAACGCCTACCAGCATCTCCAGGAGATCCAAAGTAAACAGCTCATGTACTCGTTCCTCTCATCGGGGGACGAGAACCGTACGGAGGATTCCACCACCAAGAGCTTTTCCGACCTCTTCTACCAATACACCGCCAACGTCATGTTCACACTCGTATATGGCAAGGGCCAGGGGCGGTCCGACAGCGATCACACTCGGCTCGAACAGATCAACGAGATGGCCGTCTTCATCCTCCAAAGCGCGTCCTTCTGGACGAACCTGATCGACCTGTTCCCACTCCTCGACCGCCTCATCCCGCGCCGTTTCCTCAAATGGCGCAGGAAAGCGAGCTCGCTGCACGAGCAAACCAAAGCCGTGTATCAGGAGTGTACGAACAGCGCCCTCGGCGCCTCCTGCTGGAACTGGAGCCACGAGATCACCTCCAAGAGCGACATCATGGCCTCGCTGCCATGGGAACACATCTGCTACTCGCTCGGCGAGCTGTACGTCGCGGGGATTCACACAACCAAAATGGTGCTGGAGAACTTCATCCTCGCCAGCCTCCTACATCCAGAGATGGTCAAGGAGGCGCAGCGTGAACTCGATTTTTTCATCGGGGCATCGCGACTGCCCACCTTCGCCGACATGCCGTCTCTCCCGTATGTGGATGCGACCATCTCCGAACTCTTGCGATGGCGCGCCATTTCGCCAATTGGAGTGCCGCATGCCGTGATCCAGAATGATGAGTTCATGGGGTACTCGATCCCAGAGGGGGCGACGGTGATTGCGAACCAGTGGGGGTTCAATATGGATGAGGAGATGTTTGAGGAACCGCATATATTCAGACCGCAGCGGTATGTGAACGATCCAGGCTTGCCTGTTTCGGCATTTGGGTTCGGGAGGAGGTTATGTCCGGGCTTTGGACTGGCGCGGGCATCGCTGTTTATAGTCGTGGCGAGGTTGCTCTGGAGCTTTGATATCGTTTATGATGGAGCTGAAGGTGAACCGCCTCTGACGAGAGACTCCGATCCGGCTTCTGTTAAGGCAAAGTTCTCCGTGCGAAGCAGTGAAAGGAGGGGAGTTATCGAAAAGGAGTGGCAGGCGGCAAAAAAAAATGAGAGGGTGGTTCTAGAGGAGGTGAGAGCGAGAAGGGTTGGGGGTCCTCGGTAATTGTGGAGGACTTTGAGGGAATTAGCCCTGTCTTTTGCCTCTGGACGGTGAGTAATAATAAAACAGATATCTTCCGCGGGATGAGACAGTGGATCAGTCCTCGTCATCCCGCGGCTGCCCGGAACTCGGCATCCCGTGTCTCAATATCGGGATTATACCTCATGGGATTACCAGGGAGTTGATATATGGGCAGGTTTTATATATAGGCTGCTTTGGGTACCAGTCATCCTGCTTCTCAGTCGGTGCAGCACAGTATCAAGTACCTAACTTCTTTCGCACACACAATGCATTCAACTTGGACACCACCACAGGACTACCACAATCGCCCTGTGGCGGTTCTAGGAGCTGGCGTCCTCGGAAGACGAATTGGTCAGTACTCAGATTATCGGTCTGCTTCGCATGCATGATAACCTCATATCAAACAGGTTGTATCTGGGCGTCTGCTGGTTACGATGTCCACCTGCGCGATCCGAGCCCCGAGCAGCTCTCCTCCGGCCTTGCCTACATCAACGACCAGGTGTCAGCCTATGCCATCAAGACAGATCGTTCCCCGGGCAAGACTTTCACTTTCACCAGCCTTGAAGACGCCGTAGCGACAGCCTGGCTTGTCATCGAGGCTGTTCCGGAGAAACTGCCCCTCAAGATCGCGACCTTCGCCGAGTTATCCGCCCAAGCCCCAGCGGACAGCATTCTCGCTTCCAATTCTTCTTCCTACAAGACGTCGGAAATGCTGGACAAGGTCCCGGACTCTGTAAAGCCTCGCATCTTGAACATGCACTACTACATGCCACCGCAATGCATGATCGTGGAGTTGATGACGGACGGCTTCACCACCGAGGCGATCTTCCCGTTCATGGTGGACAGATGCCGCGAGGGCGCTACTTCGCCTTATGTAGCACGAAAACAATCGACGGGCTTCATTTTCAACCGCCTCTGGGCTGCCGTGAAGCGCGAGGTGCTGACCATCTTGTCGGAAGGAGTCTCTGTTCCTGAGGAAATCGATGCGATGTGGGAGGAGATGTTCATTCAAGGCCGAACTGTGCCGTGCAAGATGATGGATAGTATGTCTCACACACTTCTCTTACTTGCTCCCTTTTTTGTGTACTTGTCTCGCCTTTATTTAAAAGTTAAAGCTTCGTCCTCTTCCCAACGATGCTAACCAGACTCAACTAAATAGAGGTTGGTCTGGACACCGTCGCCTTCATCGAACAACACTACATCCACGAACGGGGCCTTTCATCTGAGAAGACCGTCGACTACCTCACGAAGCACTACCTCGAAAAGGGTAAATTAGGCACAAAATGCGCGCAGGGAGGCCTCTACCCGCCGCCGAGCGCAGCCACTAACAACGAACGCCGCCTCCTTGTCCTCGACGTCGGGCTCGCATCCCCAACGGCAGCCACCTCGATCTCCACCCCCGTGGGCCAGATTCTCTCGCTCACTCCCGGCGAGAATCAGCCCACCGTCCTGCTGTCAGACCAGCTCCTGCCCGACGGCATCACCGTCGACCCCGTCACGAACCGCATGTTCTGGACGTGCATGGGTGTGCCTGGCAAGCCTGACGGTGCAGTGTATTCCTCCGCGCTAGACGGCAGCGACATCCAGACCCTCATCAAGCCGGGCGCGATCAACACGCCCAAGCAGATGACCATTGACGCGGACGGGCGCAAACTCTACTTCTGCGACCGCGAGGGTTGCGCCGTCTATCGCTGTCACCTCGATGGGTCGGGCCTGGAAGCAGTGGTATCGCGACAGCAAGGCAACGAAGACGGTCCGGCCGATGTGCGGGATTGGTGTGTCGGTGTCACTGTCTCGTCTCGATTCAACAGGTTCTACTGGACGCAGAAGGGCGCGCCTAAGAGTGGGAAGGGGCGGATCTTCTCTGCTGCTATCGATGCGCCGCCTGGTGCTGTGCAGGCCGATGACGACCAGAATTTGTGTATCCTGAGTGGGCTGCCTGAGCCAATCGATCTGGAGATCGATGAGGAGAGAGGGGAACTGTACTGGACTGATCGCGGAGAGCTACCTCTGGGAAATGCACTGTATCGGGTCAAGCTGGATGGGGAGGGTCGGCCGATGGGACAGCCGGAGATCCTGGTCCGTGGGTTGCACGAAGCGATTGGCGTCAGTATCGATAGGGAGTCGGGCGATATCTATCTGACGGACCTGGGTGGTAGTGTCTATCGCTGTGATCGGGATGGGAAGCAGAAGGAGACTGTGTATCGGGAGGATGGGCGAGCGTTCACGGGCATCGTCTGTTTTTGAAGGTCACAGGCTTGGGATGTATGATCATAGACTAGAGGTTTTGCTTCATTCTGACTATCTATTCAAACAAACTGCATAGAGCATGAGTGTATTTGTTTCACCTGGCACAAGTAGCAGCAATGGTACTGAGTTCCACCACTAATGCTAGTTTCACTTTCTAGAAGTCCAGCGTTCTTCCAAGCGTCGAGCTCTCTCGTGCCAATTCAATGATGCGAATCGTGTTGCGCGCTTCCTCGCCCGAGGCAGCAGGCCTGCATGCGCCAGCAAGGGCATCAGCCAGAGTCTGATAGAATGCCACATATGTCGGGGGTTTGTCGGTCGGAAATGCTGATTTAGAAGGCCGTCCGTCCTTGACTGTCACGAGAGTTCCTGTTTGAGGGATGGATGAGTAAACTACATGGATTCTCAAGACTTGGGTTGAAACACATACCAAATCGCTCCGATGGCTCCTCCGCAAATCCACTGTCCCCAGGTCGCATACCTGCCAACAGTTGTTCTTCTTGGATGTCCACATGAAACTAGATTCAGAACACATCTCTGTCAGCATCGAGCAACAATCGTCCGTCGAGCTTCGCATTTACCTTCTTGTAACTGCCCTTGTCGCCACGGACCCAGAACCGCAATTGGTCCTCCTCTGCACTCACAACTGTGGATTTCGCGGTAACCAGAAGACCCGGGTAATGCAGCAGGACCGTGAATGCATCCTCCAACCCGGCCGGGGTGTGCTCGCGCTGGCTACCCACGACTCCAGTCACTCGCGCAGGAAGCCCGAAGAGCTGCACCGCTTGGTCCAGCAGGTGTATTCCCAGATCGTAGATCGCACCGTGGCCAGCCATCACCTGGTTCTTCCAGCTTCCATTCGTGGGCTGCTCGGGGCGATAGCGGTCGTAGTGGGTTTCGAACTCGACAATTCGGCCCAGGGTGCCGCTTTCAATGAGGTTGGAGACGGTGGCAAAGTCGGCGTCCCAGCGTCGATCTGGAGAGGACTGAATCAATTTCGACTCATATTCCATTTTGGAAAGATCAAAGCTGAACACTTACTTTGGAACACAGCCAGGACTCGCTCCTGGTTCTTGGCAAGCGTCACCAGTTCCTCCGCCTCCGCCGATGTGGGTGTGAATGGCTTCTCGCAGACAACTGTTTCACCCTTAGCAAGACAGAGACGACCGACACAGGGATATATACCTACCATGCTTTCCAGCATCTAGAGCTAGTTTTGTGAGGTGGAAATGTGTATTCGGGGGAGTTGTGATAACGATCACGTCGATCGTTGAGTCTTGCACCATGTCTTCAGCCGATTGGTATGATACAACCCCTGGAAAGTCTACTGTCACATCATTGCCGGGACTGGGATTGCGCTGAACAACAGCATGGAGCCTGAAGTTGGACGAGCGTTGGATGAAGGGAATGTGGAAGATCTTGGCACTGAAGCCGTAGCCGACAATACCTACTTTCCACACAGTAGAAGAACTCATTATGTTGGATGCAAGAGGTTGAATATGATTGAAGGGAAGAAATGCCCGTGGTGGATTCCGAGTGTGTGCTCCTACTTTATAAGCAAGAGAAGAGAGGGAATGCACGGTGTTTTTACTTCTGTGGTTGGATGGATTATCTGATTGTTCATCAGCAGGGAAGGTCGAGCCGCTGGGAAAGTTCGGCACAATCCGACACTTGCTTGTTTGCCACTCCACGACTACAACTTAGTATCACACCAAACTCAGTGCATCACTTCCCGGCACAACATATCGCTCCCAGTCATTCAAGTCAGAGAAGCGACCAGTCTTGCCGTCTTGCGCATTATGCAGGTGAAAGTCCCGCCGCTGCCAGACCCCCTCGATGACTGCACGCGTCCGGGAAACACTGGAGACACTGGTCTTGGCCATTTCCGACAATAACTGCAGGACAAGTCTTCTCCCATGGGTTTCTATGCCGGTGTTGGGATCGCGAAGCACCGCATCATCGAGTGGATCCAGCTCTACAGCAGCCACGAAGAGCGGCCACATGGCGTGGCTGACACTGCCCTTCGCGACGAGACTCCACAGCGCTTCGAGAATCCTCTCGACCGTGGCTTTAATTGCGGGCTCGGACGGTCTTGCACCGTGCAAGGCGCACTGTATATACACCAAGCAACTAAGTCTTTTAAGCTCTGCTACCGTGCACAGAGTCTCATCTCCTCGACCACCCGCAGGTTGCTGGACCAATGCCTCAAGCCGACGTTGTAGATTCGAGGCCCGGGCGCGAAAGGTCAACTCATCCGACGCCGATACCATATCTCGTCGACTACGACTCAGGTCCATGATCGCAAATAGAATGGACACCAAGCCCGGACTACAGCCCATCCAGTCATTGATCGTCGCATCGTCCGCACGCCAGTAGCTCGGTCCGAATAAGTCCGCCTTCGCGCAGGCCGTCCGGCCCATCACGTCCTGAAAAGCGAAGAACAGCTCAACAAACTCCGATACCGGATCAGAGTCTCTGTGGTCCAACAGCGTGTCGGACAACTGGTGCTGGCGCCGGAGTCGAATGATGTCCTTTGCGCCTTGGAGGTGCACGATCCATCGTCGGTCGCAATGATCGACGATTTCGTACAGACAGAGAAGCATGATAAGAACCAGAACTTCGGGGTCCGGAGACACAAGAAAGGCTCGGTCGCTCGAGATGCGGCGTCGGAACTCAGCGACCACCTGGGATTTGAGCTTTAGGGCGTGGATGGCATAGCGGACGTCTTGCTGACCCCAGTGACAAGCCGCCAAGGCCATGAGGGCCTTAATTACCACGGGGGAAGCCGTGAGACAGTACGGCAGAATCACCGATGCAAAGGGAGACTGGGAGACCGGGCTTGGCGTAGTCCGCGGACAAATCCGGTGAAGGTAGTAGTCAAACAAGAAGCTCTGTCCAAGATTACTCACCGTGGGTGAAACGGAGAGCGCTGGACTGATACTTGGTAGCCGTTCGAATGCGTGGGGAGGGCCATTCACGTTCCTGGCCGGCATGAGGATGATCTTCGACGTGGAAGGATGTTGGCTCATCATATCTTGCAAGCTTGAGCTATCTGTATTGAGGAAGCTCCAGTGGCTGATGGTCGGGATGGCCAGACTGGCCGGTCTGGTAGTATCATGGTTTCCATTCTCTGCATTCTGCTTTTTCGAGGCATCTTTTCGCCAGACCCCGGCACGACCAAACGCGAGTCCTCGAGCATGGAAGTCGGACTCCCACTTCAGAGTGAATGCGTCTCGAGTGCATTCAAGGTCCTTCTGATAACAGCGGGTGCATGTTGGCTGTTTCTCGTCGCATTTCTTTTTGCTGCGGCGACAATTGGAGCATCCGTTTTGGGACCGGGTGGCGATGCTACGCTTGCTCTGGAACGATGCCTTGGTAGATCCGGCCATCATAGGCAAACCAAGTCTTACCCAAGTTTGAGTTATCCAGATCGATGGATACCATAGTATGTGTCTCTCCTTTCCCCCAATTCATAAAATAGTGGGCTAGAGTGATGTCAGGTGGTTGAATGGAGGAAATTCCTTCCGATCCCAAGCTTGGCTGTGCATGCACAATACTTATGTAAGAATGGATATATATGTATGCATATCTCTATAAAGAATAATGACATAAGCACTAATGCAGCCAATTGAACCTGAGCGGAAGCCAGGGGCAATATCCATGATAATAATAATCCACACCAACAAGCAATAATTCAAGTCTGCTGTGCACACGCGTATTGGTACCGTGAATAGTAAGTACCTCCGCCTTTTTCCGGTACTCAATACTAATCAATTCATAGACCCCTTATCTTTTCGCGACCTTGCTGCTAATCAACATGAGCGGCTGGCCGGCTCCATGGTTCGAGGACGCGTCCTTCGCGGATACGCTGGCAAAATGTGCCTCGCCTTGCCTAGATATTGGTATCTATGCCATGGCTCACCCCGAGGAAAAAGTCTCTGCAGCATATGTAGCGGCCTTTGCTGTCTGGGCTACCAGTGCTATCAAGGCTGCATTTGCCCTTGGAGCTGAGGCTGAGTTCGAGCAGAACCGTTCGCAGGAAGCCTCAGAACCAACTCATCCAACTGGAGATGCCTCAGGCGAAAGCACGCTTAGGCAAGAGGAAGAAGAAAAGGAGGAGGAGGAGGCAGAGGAAAATAAGGAGGTAGACGTCTCACTCATTGAACCCGAGATGCAGGAAGGTATGGCAGCCACCCGACCGGTAGATGTGGAAGAATTCGCAGCCGCTTCGTCTGTCACTTCAGGATATCAAGGCACGGGGAGATGCGACGACCAGGTGTTTTCCTACCCAGGTCGGGATTCCACTTCGAATATTGATCCACACACGCAAGACTTGAGAGTATACTCGCCGGAGGATCTAAAGCTACGGATCTTGTCAAATGTCCCACTGTACACGCATCTCCGTGACCACGACATTCCAGAAACAGTGGAAGCTGCTTTACGCTGCACACCTCAACCGGAGGTCACGTCGGTCCGCATCCGGCAGGCGAGACGTATTGGCTCTAAGAAAATGGATCTATACTTCCACTCTATCTCTGACAGAGAATGCCTTCTACGTTACGCTGAGAAGTGGCTGCCGTATGCTGAGGTACAACAGTATGTATCCCCATTTGTATATGTATGCTCCCAACCACATAACCCCGGAGAAGATTTGTGTGCGTGATAGACGATGAGGCTTGAAGTGGTCTCCTCCGAGACCTAAGTCTTCAAAATACCAGTTGGGATTAGGGGCTCATGCGCCTAAGACCTTCCTGGTCATTTGCGAGTCCTACTTCGACCGGACCATCCTAACCTAATTTTATCTTGGTCAACGTGCCCTGTCCCTCTTGACAAGTGATCCGCTTTACAGGGCTTCACTTCAGGCTCCGCCTTCCATATACATACAATGTCACAAACAGCATACAGCTAACAATTTTCTAGAACCCATCGTGAAGCTAAGTTTAACCTACAAGAACTACCACCGTTTGTGGAGTCGAGGAGAAATCGAGCAGGGGAGACTGCACGCCGGAACGGCCACTATGCTGGGCTGTCGACAAGATCGTCTATGAGCAAGTCGGATCGATATCACCCCTACGAATAACAGCACTGTCTCTAACGGTCTTCTGGCAACACATGGCAGCACATGATAAGTTTATGCGACAGCGGTTCGATATTGAGCCTTCGACAGAATTTCAATGGCATGCCAAACCATTCATCAAGCCATCGAGAGGTTGCCCTGAATTCTGAATCCGACTCCTCCCATATGGTTGCCAGTGGACACACCGGGGCTCATCTAGAATTAAATACCATGAATTGTACTAAACCTTGTCCTCTGCTTGTCCAAGGTCAAGTCTGGGAACAGGCTTTTCGATTTGGGGCTTTGCCGTCGTTCCGCGAGCAGACTGTGGGGGACTTCGGGTTTTGATGTTTGGCCAGAGACATTGTTACAAAGTAGTTTAAGGTCATTACTGGATAGCCATATTAGGATCTATGACGACACCCATGACGCTATTGTGGTTAGCAACTGTTCCGATTGAGACTAGTATGTAGTCTCGGGGCTTGACCAGATGTGGCTTGTGACCAGAGAATATGGTCAGGTTTAATTGAAGGGAGTTGATATCAACTATGGAAAAGTAACGGTATTGCCCCAAGTGGTCCGAGTGCACTTCAATAAGGTTGGTTTGAACATTGAATGCATTGCTATCAATGTGCAGACGAGTTTGGTAGATGACGATGGCTGAAACCGCTACCTGGTAGATTTATAGACACGATAGGAGATCTTGAGTATCCTTGGATATATGTGACCTGCCCCTGTTCAAGCGAAACACTTCGTTCTGTGAGTATTGGGAGTAAAGGTTAGACAACAGGGGACAAAGACCGCGACTATTGGATCTTCTCGCCAATTTCTGCAACGCCTAAGTTTTACAGATGAATGATCCATATGAAGCACATTCATGGTCGTGCGGCGTAACAAGGACTTCGGGATTCATTCCGGCTCCCGTATAGTTTCCGAGTCCCTCCGGTGCAGAAGCAGATCCAGAGCCGGCGAATTGATTCTGGAGGATGCCGGATAATGCAAAGAAGCCCGCTTCGAGGTCAAGAAAATTCAAGCACCTTCTTGAGCGGTAATCGACGCCAGTCTACGCACAGACAAAGGTGGTAATGTCAAAGGCGAAGCTACGGACTGCCGGCACCAGATTATATATAAACACAAAATTAGTTTTTTTCCTCTGCCCTAACTTTCTATCATCTTAAATCGAGCCAGCACAAGACCAAGCATAAAGTGCAGCTAGTATCCATGCATAAGACTCAACGCAACCATGAAGAGAAGGCAATATTTCGGATTCAACAACCCGTTGTATGCTCTGGCCCCAAGATTTGATTTCGGACCTGAAGGCTTGATCATGGGTAATCTTGTGAAAGATCCTAAAGCACCACACTTGGCGTTAACCACAGTTACCCCAGCTGAGCTAGATAAGAAGTATCCACCAATTCGGGCAATTGCACGCCGTCGCCTCCAGACGTGTGACAGTCCGCAATTGCGAATAGAGTTGGAACGTTCTCTGGCGAGGTTCTCAAGTCAATGGTCTTGCGGGCATCGTAAGCTTGATATACCAGATATATAGTCACCCGAGTTCAGATCTTCTCCAGACAAGGAAGAAATTCAGTCCCGTATCCAGGATCCCGCTGTTCAAGATGTTTTGAGACAGCAGGAGTTCTGCGGTTTTGGCCTTCGGAGGTTGTACATGGTTGTTGGCATGCAGATCGCGACTCAGTACTCCGTCTCAAGCCATTTCGGTCGTGGTGAAGATGGTCAGATAGGCCAGGATCACTCTTTTTTATTTGAACAATCTGAGCCCAGGATTCTCAGCTACCGCCTGGTTGAGATTCAGATCAATCAAGCGGGAGACATTGATCTCTCTGATTATTCTCCTGACTCTTCGTGTTCGTGTGCCGCTATTTATCTGGGTGATGAATTGCTTAAGATTATGCTAGAGCGGGCAATGAAGTCAGCGGGAAGTCTGAAGCTTAATGAGCATGAGCAAAACCCTCCCAACATGCAATAAGTGGCATGAGGTCGTCAGCCTTGACAGGACCAAGCATGGGCTTGAGGGAGGGCTTCGAAGTAACCGCCTAGATCTAGGGTAATTTTCTTCAAATATCACTACACTTATAGCCTTTAAATTTACAATATCAGACCAAGTTCGAAGATGAGCAATGCATACTGACGAGGCCCTGCGGCTTCGATCGATTTAATTACTCGCAAGAGTCCTGCAGGCATGGTCGGGGACTTGTGTGCGAGTTGATGTTCGGTATGCTACTCCTCGTCACAATGCTAGAGCTACTACCGACGCTGAGTCTCATGTGGCTATCGAAATGGACTGCTTCGGGTTTCGACCCGATGTCTGAAGTAAGGTTCCAGCTTATCCTGCTTGGTAATTTAATTAAACAAAGACGAATGTGAAATTATACCTCTGCTGGCATACTTAGCCCCCATGGTCTTCTGGGATGCTCGAGACCCATGAGCTTTATATGCCGGATATGCAGATAGGCAAGCTGACATTGTTGCCAATCAAGGAGGAAGTTCAATCTCCCGAGTTGTGTTCAGGATCCCGCTATACAGGAGTTTCTGAAGCAAGATTCCTGTGCTTTCGACAGTCACAAGTTGTACATGATTGTCGGCATTATGATTGCGAAACGTCACTCTGTCCCACCTCAAACAAGCCAAAAATTACTTCCCATTCAAGCAATCTGAGCCGAGGATTCTTGCACCGTCTGAATGGCCTTGCATCAACGGAGCAGGAGGGATTGAGCTCAGTGCACATGACCCTTACCCTTCGTGCGCCTTCCCCAAAGAAGGCGGAGTATTTCCCAACTAGAGAAAGGGCTGAAGAGGCAAGGCGATCCAAGCTCCTCAAGCACGAGCAAGGCCCTTCGAGCCCTTCGCAGAAGCCTTCCAACAAGCAATGAGGGGAAAGGGGTAAGCCTCCAACAAGCCAAAGAATGGAGTCCAGGTCAGCGCTCAGACTTCCAGTCCGGGCTGAACCTCCCAGAACTAGGGTAGTTTGGTTGCCAATATTACTACATCTATAGCCTTCGATTCACTATATCAGACTAAATGCGAAAGGAGATAGGCATACAAAGGATATTCTTATAACTAACTAGTAGTACTCCATTAAGTATTCTTCAAGGTCATTACCTCTTTAAATGAAAGTTATTCTTGCGGTACCCTTCCAAGCACCTCCAGTCCAGTCTCTTCTCAAGCCATCGTATCTTGTTCCAGACCGTAGTATAGCAAAAACCTGCATGTGGAGAGGTCTGTCCTTCTATTCCAGCGCCCTTTCTTCTGATCTGATTGAACACTCAAGCTCCGGGATAAATCAACCAGATTACCCAATATTGCTGAGATATTGAACTGATTTCAGTGGGATTCAGGGAGGATGGACGGATGAACCCCTCCCTCGTCTAATTGATACCTTTGCATGATGGTCTAATAGGGCCAGATAACAAGACCTTTCGATAAACCTTCCCCAGTAGTGCCTGAATGCCTGGATTTCTGGATGTCTTATTGCCTTGATGCCTGGGTGCCTGGATATCTGGGATCAGGTTTTCCGTCCGGTCGGAGAACTTCCCGAAGGCAGATGGATAAAGAAAAAGCCTTGAAACAAGGGAGCTAAAGCAAATTTGTACTAGTGAGGGTATTGTAAGCCTTGATATTCTTCAATATGATCGGGCCGGACTTGCAAGTTGCGAGTTTTGCGGCACTTTGCTGGAAAGCGGCAATTCCACGAAGCGGGGAGAAGTGGATACCTGAGGCATTTTAAGTTCCATCGTCTTCTTTCGACAACAACAACAACAACAACCACTACCACCACTACTACTACCACCACCACCATCACGGCCATAACAATGACAACAGCGTCATCAACAACAACAGCTATGTTGATGACAATAACAGTGACAATGACAATGCTTGCAGTCAGTCTCTCTTCCCCCGCATCTGCCCTACACCCCACCTCTCCAGACATGGCCTGACCGATCATCATCCTACAAGGTGGACCACTCCAATACCTCCAATGCTACGTCATTTAATCTTCTCCCGTCTCGGTAGATCTTCGGCAAAAAGTTAAGCTGCGGCCCGAACTTGGAGAGGGATTGGAAACGAGGCCGGGTCGTGACAGACAATGTGAAATGTGGAGTGTGGAGTGTGGAGCGCATTGGAGTCAACGACTCGGCACGAGGTCCATCCCCGGCTTTGAGGCACAACACAGACCATAGACAGTCCGTGCGGACTGTGCAGACTGTGCAGACAGCACTGTACAACCCTGGCGACTGACAGATGATGCAGGTTGGACAAGTTCGACCTCCACAGTTTTTCTCCGCACTCTCAATCTCGGGTCATCGCCTAGTCTCGTGCAACGGTTGTAGAAGAGGTATATAAGATGGGCCAAAGTCCCCCTCAACCCATTGCAATTCGATCCATCCCACTCCAAACCTCAACAATAACGCCTGATCTGGATTCAAGGGCCATATCCCCCGTTCCCCGCGATGAAGGTCCCTACCGTCTACGCCTTACTCCTGTCGGGAGCACTGCTGATTCCGGCGGTGGATGCCAGCACTTGCGAGGTTCCCCCCATCGATCATCCTGGCAAGCCCTTCAGCTACGTACAACCCCTCAACACCACCATCCTGACCCCCTATGGCTCGTCGCCCGCGGTATACCCTTCGCGTAAGTGCTCCCCAGCCCCATGAATTTCCACGTCAGCGTTGACTGAACTTCTCTCCACATTCAGCCAATATCACCGGTATCGGCGGCTGGGACAAGGCTCTAGCCAAGGCTAAGAGCTGGGTCTCCCAACTCACTCTGGAAGAAAAGACTTGGATGGCCACCGGCCAACCAGGCCCCTGCGTTGGCAACGTGCTGCCGATCCCACGTCTCAACTTCACCGGCCTCTGCCTCCAGAACGGCCCGCAGTGCCTACAACAAGGCGACTACTCCAGTGTCTTCGTCAGCGGCGTCTCCGCAGCGGCCAGCTGGGACCGGGAGCTGCTCTACACACGGGGCTACGCGATCGCACAGGAGCACAAAGCCAAGGGCACTCACGTGGTACTGGGCCCGATCGGCGGGCCGCTTGGCCGCAGCGCCTACAACGGCCGCACCTGGGAAGGCTTCGCCGCCGACCCGTACCTGACCGGAGTGTGTATGGAGGAGACAATTTTGGGCATTCAAGACGCTGGGGTGCAGGCGAACGCCAAGCACTGGATCGCGTACGAGCAGGAGACTCAGCGGAACCCCACGTACGCGCCGGACGCCAACGCCACCACCTACATCCAGGACTCGGTCTCGTCCAACTTGGACGACCGCACTATGCACGAGATTTATATGTGGCCGTTCGCCAACGCACTGCGCGCCCGAGTCGCCAGCGTCATGTGCTCCTACAACCGCATCAACGGGTCGCACGCCTGCCAGAATTCGTACGCGCTGAACCATCTGCTCAAAACCGAGCTGGGCTTCCAGGGCTACGTCATGTCCGACTGGGGCGCCACCCACAGTGGCGTCGCCTCCATTGAGAGCGGCATGGACATGACCATGCCCGGTGGCTTCACCGTCTACGGCGAGCTGTGGACCGAGGGCTCGTACTTCGGCCAGAACCTCACCGATGCAGTGCGCAACGGCTCCGTCGCGACGACTCGCTTGGATGACATGATCGTGCGCATCATGACGCCCTACTTCTGGCTGGGCCAGGACCAGGCGTACCCAAGCGTCGACGCCTCGGTCGGTTCCCTCAACGTCGATTCGCCCCCGGACACCTGGCTGTACGACTGGCAGTTCACAGGCGAGAGCAACCGGGACGTGCGTGGTAACCACAGCCAGCTGATTCGTGCGCACGGAGCGGCGTCGACAGTGCTGCTGAAGAATGAGCGCAATGCCTTGCCGCTGCGTAAGCCGCGCAACATCGTCATTGTCGGCAACGACGCCGGCCCTGTCACCCAGGGTGCCTCCAACCAGAAGAACTACGAGTACGGAACGCTGGCCAATGCGGGAGGGTCAGGCACCTGCCGGTTCAGCTTTCTGTCGACCCCACTAGACGCCATCACCGCGCGGGCCCGCCAGGACGGCGCGCTCGTGCAGACGTGGCTGAACAACACGCTCATCGCGAGCTCGGGCCTCGCATCGCTGTGGAACCCACAGCAGCCGGATGTGTGTCTCGTTTTTCTGAAGAGCTGGGCGGAAGAGAACGAGGACCGCACCTCGCTGGAGCTGGACTGGGACAGCAACGCAGTGGTGGAGGCCGTGGCCAAGGACTGCAACAACACGGTGGTGGTGACACACTCGGCGGGCATCAACGTGTTGCCATTCGCCGACCACCCCAACGTGACCGCCATCTTGGCCGCGCACTACCCCGGCGAAGAGTCGGGCAACTCGCTAGTGGACCTGCTGTACGGCGATGTCAACCCGTCGGCCAAGCTGCCGTACGTGATCGCTTACAATGCCTCGGACTACAACGGGCCCGTCACCTCCGCCGTGCAGACGAACGGCACCTACGACTGGCAGAGCTGGTTCGACGAGGAGCTGGAGGTTGGATATCGCTACTTCGACGCGCACAACATCCCCGTGCGCTACGAGTTCGGATTCGGCCTCAGCTACACCACCTTCGACCTGAGCGCGCTGCACGCCGCCTCCCCGGCCGCCGGCAATCTGACGGCCTTGCCCAATCCGCAGCCCGTCCAGCCCGGTGGTAACCCTGCGCTCTGGGAGACGGTGTATACCCTGACGGCTAAGGTGAGCAACACCGGCGGCGTAGACGGCTATGCCATCCCCCAGCTGTACGTGGGTTTCCCCGACTCGGCGCCCGCGGGGACGCCCCCGAGTCAGCTGCGTGGGTTCGACAAGATCTGGGTGCCGGCCGGTCAGACCAAGACAGTCAAGTTCGACCTCGCGCGGCGCGATGTCAGCTACTGGGATGTCGTGGCGCAGGATTGGCGCATCCCCGCCGGTCGGTTCACCTTCAAGGCCGGGTTCAGTAGCCGGGACTTCCACGCCAACGCGACTGCTACGCTAATCAAGGCGTAGCTTCACCAATGTATATAGTAGAATGATGAATTGAGGAGCCGTAGACCGTCATGAGACATGAACCGACTTGAATGTACAGACAGTGTATGTATCATTTTATGCAAATCAAAGATCCGATCAAATTGTCTATCATCTATACGCTCCTCGGCCATTCAAGGTCGCTGCTCAACTTTCTCCGATCACTTCCGCGTCGCAAACCGGCTCTTGCGCCTGATTCTCTTCCCGTACTTGAAGAAGATATACCTACAGCCTGTCAGTGACTCTCCACACCACACCAGCACAGCACTCACGGAAACGGCGCCATAATCAGACTGAGAAACGCCAGCAACGACGTAGCCCACTGATTGCCAAGGGCTTGATACACTACCTCGCCATCAGCCTTTGCAACCACCCATACAGCCCTCATCTTCCGCAGGCTTACTCGGAAACCCGAACAATGGGAACGCCGCGGCGAAGGTACTGCGCGTGAAGCTGTTGGCGCCCAGCGCACTGGCCGCATACACGGGATACGCGTCGACCAGGAAGGTGAAGACACCAGCATAGACCAGGATCATTCTGTCACGTCAGCCGGGGATCTTTCACCTCTGCAGACCGATCTGGAGACACAAAACGAGAATACGCACCCCGTCCCGAAAAGCGCGCTGCCGATAATCGGCACCGACCAATGCACCGAGGGGATACTGGCCGCCGTCAGCTCTCTGCCGTATATCCTTTCTCTCTCTCTCGCATTGTAAAAGGCACTACTCACGCCGTCCATGCGAACCAGAATAGTCCGACCGTGAGAAGCGGCGCCCCGATCACGGCCGGAGGCAAGCGGCGCTCGGGGTCCGTGGCGTCGATGCTCGACGGGATCATTCGGACGTATAGTCTGCGACACCTTGGTCCTGCAATCAGCAGCAATCAAGGTGTTTGGGATTGGGACTTACCACGGATCGGCGACCACGGCGGCGATCATCCCCGCCGTGATGCCTGCGAACGCCAGCCCGGACTGCCACAGGCCCCAATCGTACACGGTCCCGAAGATGATCTTGAACGAGCCGAAGAAGAGGTACTGGATGCCCAGGACTATGGCGGATAGGAGGCAGAGGTTCAGGCACATCGGTTCGAGGACGAGGAGCATGAAGGGCCGGTACAGCGAGCGGAGCACGGTCTAGATGGTTTAGCTGAGCGAGCACATGCATCACAAATAAAAAGGGGGAGGAAAAGACGTGCCATGAGAATCGACCGGTCTAACCGCTCAATCGGCACCTTCCATCGCTCATCCCCCGTTTCCTTGCGCAGGCGACGAGCCTTGCGCCGGAGCAGCACCGGGTGGTACGTCTCCGGGACGAAGCAGAGCACAAGGAGACATTGCACGGAGGACCAGATGAGGAGGCAGTAGAAGGACCAGCGCCTGCGGGTCGTCAGCTCTGTCTCAGCTGCGGTATCTTCTTGCTTACCATGACGCGAACGAGTTGATCAGCCCTCCAAGCATGGGTCCGAAGCTCGATCCGGTGCTAAGGTACCGCGTCAGCACACGTCACAGCCACAGCACACACAGAGAAGGAGGCGATAAGTCAGCACGAACAAAGGCGACGCCGTGTAGACGAGCATCGGGAAATGCAGCCGGTCCTTGGTATACATATCGCCGACCGTTGCGCCGGCGACGGAGGTGAACGCCGCGCCGGCCAGCCCGGTCAGCAGGCGTGCGACGAGCATGGTCCCGACATTGTGGGCGACGGCGCAGGGGACCAGGAAGATGACGAAAAGCGGCAGCGAGATGCGGAAGATCGGACGTCGTCCGTAGAACTCGGACAGCGGGGAGAGCAGCAGCGGGCCCCAGCCCAGGCCGCCGATGAAGAGGCTGAGGCCGAGGGTGGCGACGGTGCGCGAGCAGTGGAATTCGGCCATGATCTGGCGAAAGGTGCTGACGTACAGCGAGCTGGTGACGGTGATACATAGCGTCGTCGAGCAGATCAGAAGCTCGATCACCCACTTGCGCTGTGGTGACAGGCGATGCGGATTCTCGCCGTCGTCATCCTCGGCCCAGCGCACTTCGAAGGCATCGGACGCTTCGAGATCGTCGTCTGCGCATCGGGCGGGGAGGGAGATGTCGGACGAGTGGGAGGATGTCTCCATATCGCGGACAAGAGGGTGATTCAGACGGGGTGGTGGTGAATGAAGAACAGTGTTCATCGAGGAAGTTCATCCCATCGGCGGTTGACGCTGCGGGGAAGATCCGGCTTGGGAAGGGCTGAACGCCGCTGATGGCTGGAACCGGACTTGACCTCCCCCTTCACTCTGTCTGCTTCTCCGGTCGTGTGTCATCATCGGCGAATTGTGCTCGTCGTGAGACATGACGTTTGGATATACGAGCTCGGCCTCGCAGCGGTTGGTTGGGCTTCGATGACTTGTCTGGGCTAATCATCGGCCCCTGCTGGCTGCTCCTCGCGTCCTCAGCTGTTGCAATGCATTGCGAAGCGACATATCAGCTCAGTTTTATACATTCTTGGATCCCAGACATTGAGCGAGACATTAGGAGTGTGCATCTCTATTCGTTCTCCCGATCTTGATTGTAATCCTCTCTTCACATGTCGACATCGATTCAATGGCCTGGCTCTGGGAGGCGAGACTATGAGTCTTCTGACCGTCACTGGTGAGCATTACCTCCTGTGCATTATACTAGTAGATACTAAGACATGCAGATCATTGATTGAAGAGCAATTCATCCAGTCCTCCGTGCTGCTCAGGGCAGATATGTGAACTCAGACCATTTGATGTTGAGAGACTCCACCCCGAGTTACACTGTCACACGATAGCCTGTAGGAATATCTTATTTTCCAATTGGTCACACTGCAGCTGGGCTTGGGACTGTCGCACAGATTTAAGGTCTATATCACCGGTAGCGATGGAATTGGCAGTGCAGCGCACTGCACAGTTACACAGCACTATGTCAGAGAACAATAGTTTATCGGATAATATAATTATACTACAGATAGAGAGGCACTAACAAGTTCATTTAGATAGGGAAAGTGGAGAACAGTCCAGAGACAAATCAACAGATCAATCAATATGGCAATATGCATCCGTTGCCAAATTACTGTGTTGACAGGATTGAACAGGCTACTATTTGAAGCACACCACTCCAAATCTTATTCGCAGTTTTGAGTCCCGATTTGAGTCTGGCTACGGACACTCGCTCTCAGCATCCTGATGTCTTCCATTCGTACTAGCATCCGCAATACATCAGCAGCATCTCAATCCATATTCTTATCGCCTCAGACATCCCTCCCAGAATCCCGAATAGCACGCTTCCCTCATCAACGCTACCTATCCCACCCTTTCCACATCCCAGCCCCAATGAATACTTATACCGACATCCCAGCAGCCCGCCGAATGGCATCCGCGACCTCCCCAGGCACCGAGAGAAACGGACTATGCGCCGCATCCAGCGTCTCCGTGCGAATCGCACAGCCCCGCGCCGTTTCCTCGACCATTCTCCTCTGCACAGACAGCGGAATCGCGCGATCTTTCTCACAATAAAGATACGTCGTCGGCACCACCCTCCACGCTGCAAACCGACAAGGGCTGTGCAACGTACGATAACTATGCGGCCTCAGCATCGCCACCGCCGCCCGGGCCTCATCCTCTGGCAGATCATTGTAGAACACGTTGACGGGGTCGATCGGCGTGACGGTCATGCGGTCAGGCGAGACGTTGAACCACGAGGGCTCGGTGCCGCCCAGCGCGGCGAGCAGCGATCTGCCCTCGGGAACGATGAAGGCGCAGCACAGGAAGAGGTGCGTGACGCCGCCGGTGAGGGACTGGGCTTGGCGGCTGGCCTGGTCCAGGTGCTGGATTGCTTCGCTGGCTACGAGGCCGCCGTAGGAGTGCGCGACTACGATGATCTTCTGCCCAGTGGCGGCGAGGCGATCGATTTGATTGCGGATTTGGGATATGTCGGCGGAGGTATCGGGGACGGGCACGGTGGCGCCCACGGAGGGGAGGTGTACTAGTTCTGTGGTGTAGCCTGTTTCCTTGAGGTTTTCGATCACCTTGTCGTAGCAGTGGGGATTGTGCCATGCTCCGGGGACGAAGAGGATCGTGGTTGTGGCCGGATCGGAGGCCATGATGGTTGATTTGTGCGTGTTATGTTGCGAAGATGGCAAGGTTGAAGTGGGAGATGAGGTGGTATTCAACTGACACTGTCAGGTCAGTGTGTTTGACCAGAGAGATTTAATCTCGAGAAGCCACGCTTGTTGAAGAGATGAGGTTGGGAGATAGGCAGTGGATGTTCGAGTCAGTGATCGGTTTGGTGTGATTCAGCTGTAGGTAACACGTATCAGCTTCTTCAAAGAGGTGATGAGTATAGGTCGATATTGCTTGTTATTTGTGTTATCTTGAACAGCCCCTCTGTTTCGACTCACTGATGGCTGTATCCAACTGACGTGTCGAAGAAAAGTGGCTGTTGAGAGGAATTGCAGAAAAAAGTAACACTGAATTAGTGGATCGAGTGAATATATTGAGAATACTCCACTGATGTGATGAGAGATTCCATGCAGAAGGTACAGTACTACGGGATGGTGTTATCCAAGTGACAGAAAGCAGCTCACTAGCATCTGCATATCTGCCATACAGCCGTGCAATTTGACTACTGATCAGAGGCCTGTGAGCTATCAGTTTTACTGGTCTCAATAGGGTATCTTCTATCATATATATTACTTACTCCATCCGTTCGCAAGCCCACCAGACCATCAGTACTCCTCACCCCTACGCATATCATGAATCCACACGCAGCCTATGCCCATACTTCTAGAGAAGCAGCGGCGCCGGCAACTCCATGCCCAGACTCATAAAAGCAAGCACTCTCGTTACCCAGGCATAGCCCATAGCCCAGATCGCGATACAGATGAAAGAGCCCACCGCAATCGAGATGTAGTTCAGCCGGCCGATCCCCTGCGTCTCTCCATACACCTCCCCTCAAACCGTCGGGAAAGGGGCGACGAGCAGATACGTCGTCCCGAAGAAAAAACCCATGTACAGCGCGATGACCTTCATGTTGTGTACACCATATCCTCGCTTTATACTCTCATCAGGGCTGTTGCTCCCATACAATATCACTACCAATCGGAGACCACGAAAGGCCTCGGGTCCGGACGGAAGTGAGACCTTGCAGCCTAAGGCAGGAATCTGACACCCGGCAATCACAATGACGGGCGAGGATGTCACGGGACTATGCGATATGGCCTATAGTGCACCTTTCTTGACTGAGGATAGATGATACACGAAGCTAAGTCCCTATATGTAATCCTCTCGCTGACCAGGACTGAACAAATCAAAGCAATAACATACCAACTAGACACCGAAAACGACGACACCCGGCCACTCGAACCACCAAGCCGCATCGCATCGACAATCACCTTGACCCCAGCTTATCCATCTCAGCGCCTCCCTCCAACTCTCTTCCAGACATGAGCAAAGTAGCCGCGAAGCGAACAGCACTCAAAATCTCCCTGGGATCGAGCAACCCCAGCCATGCCCGCACACCCAAGGGGCCGCCCTGGTACCGGAGCTCCGTTACCGCCGCATAAGCCGGGTTCAGGCTGGGCTGGACAGTGGGCAACGTCTTTCTGATCACGTATGGCCGGATGGAGTATGCATAGTGGAAGAACAGCGCGAATGGGACCATCTGGATACAGACCACCATGGTTGGAATGCCGATTTTCACGTCCGCGTAGGTGAGTTGTGCGTTGGTCTTCAGTGTATCTGTGGTTCCGAGGGCGAAGAAGATAATCTATGCAGGTAAGTCTTATCGTCATCGTGGTTCAGGAAACTGTAAGCCGTACCTTTTCGAGAAACGACAAGCCGACGATCAGCTTGAATGCAAGAAGCTTGGCGAGAGGCTGGTGGTCTTTCAGGTGAATCTTGAAGCTTTTGTAGAACTTGAGGACGGAGATCACGGCTGAGACCAGCGAGAGGTTGATGATGATTGTGAGCTGGCTTGGGTTAGATTGATGCTCACTACCAGAAGGGTTAACATACCCAGAGATGCGCAAAGTATGGCTTGTTGCTCTCAAGACAGTAGACGCCTGCTGCCTGGGTGATGTCGGTCACGATAGAAGCCAGTAGAGCCACGGCTGGGTATTGGAAGATGGCAATCCATGTTTTCTAGACACGTCAGCACAGTCGGACTTGAACTGTAGAGAGTAGCGATTACTCGGTACCAGCCCGGACTCTCTGCGGGAGACTCGGTTCCGCTGGGTGCAATTGCCAGAGGCGCGAAGAACATGTCTTTCCGGGAGGAGGAGGGGGCAAGAAGCTCAAGCATCAGGAGATAGAAAATCCCGAGAGCTACGGCTTGGAACAAGTCTAGCCAGGGATCTATGTACACGTGCGCCTCGGGAGCGCATATGGCGATGAATGAGAGGACTGAATATAGCGGCAGCAGTGTGCATATTCGCATTATTCTATCATGCGTCAAACTGTGTTCTCGCGGTAGGTGGAGATGGATGGAAACATACTTGAGCTGCTCCTTTGGCTTGCTTAGGTGTGTTGCGTGCAGAAACATTAAATAAAAAATCATCAGGCATGTAAACGCAGTGCAGGCACCGGATAAGATCATAATGAATGTATGGAACGACATGTCGTGTAGAAATGGCTGGGATGCCACTACACTCTCGGGTTAATTCTGTGTGTTGAGTGGGATGGATAGATCGCATACCTTCTGAGAGCGATTCTGCTGGGCACGTATGGCTGGAACTGCTGCTGTCATGGTGAAAAATGCCCATCTTGTCACTTCAACCAGTCAGGTGAATATCAAAGGTATGATTTAAGACAAGGGATAGATCGCAATTCGAAAGCTCTGTAGTCAAGACTGCATATTGGATACGACGAGGGTGTCGACATCATCGTCCTGCGGATGCACAGTCGGACTTTATATCCTTTCGATAGAAACTGATAATCGCAGGTTTGACAGACTGTGATGCAGATTCAACGCGTTGAATACGAGCCAACTTGACGATCCTGTACAATAGCCTCTATTGACGCTATGTCATTTGCGGCAAGCGAGGCGACGCATGGCTCTATAACAGCGGCAAGTATAGACAGTTTCAGCGGCCATGATTGGCTTCACAGCCCACGTTAATCGTCCAGCTTCGCCACAGACACGTCTCTCTCAGCCGTTGCTGCACGATTGACACCCACTAGGCAGTTTGCGGCAGGCGGCGCGACGGGCTATCCATCTAAGCTTGAGAGACCTCCACAGCCTTGCGCTATCCACGAGGCTGTGAGCCACAATTCGCACCTCAAACCTCCGATACACTTCTTCATAAACCAGAATTTCCCTGCAGGATCGTCCATGGACTGATAATGTCCCACTACAGACCGGGAACCGAAACCTCTTCCCACCACGTGGCAGTGTTTCGAGAGTCTCTCGGAGAGACTTTCCGCATTCTGTAGACTCTGCCTCCTGGCTCGGGCATCATACTTCCGACCCCATGCAGACCATCAGTGACAAAGCTATTCGCAGCCGTAGGAGTAAAGGCTGTCTGGGCTGTCGTAAATCCAAAGTCAAGGTAAACGGCACGACTTCCCCATGACAAAGCAAAAGATCTAACCATGGGCACAGTGCAGCGAAGAACAACCCCGATGCAGACGATGTGCTCGCCAAGGCAGCCAGTGCCACTATCCCGACCCACTAGACATCGACTTCCGCAACGAGAACAACAAAGCCGCGGTGCGAGCCGAGTCCCTGTGGCGCCAGAGAGTGACGGTGCCGAATCTCCTCAAAGCGCCGAGCCCCGGGCCCGACGATCTCCAGCACCGCGCATTAGCCGCCTTTTACCGGGACTTCGGCTGCACCGCCGAGGTCTCGACCCCCTGGATTGAGTTCTTCCAGATGCTGCCTAACCTTTACCGACGGGCCGCAGGCAATCCGTCCTCGGCGCAAGCCATCCGGGCCCTAGCGCTGGCCCACTACGCGCGCCAGCAGCAGCAGATCTCGCAGCTGGAGATCCTGGCACGAACGGAGTACTCCAAAGCGCTGAACCTGATTCGATCGCAGCTGCAGAAGCGAAAAGGGGTGCCGTGCACGGACGTGATCGTGTCCGTGTCGCTGATGGGGCTCTTCGAAACTATCTTGCCCAGCAGCAGTTCGGCCGGCACCGATCATCGCTCGTGGCAGGCGCATCAGCACGGCGCCATCTCCATGATCCAGCAGCAGGCGGAGTCGCATGCAACGGATGCTTCGGCCGTGGAGCCGCGGCTCCTGCGGTTCATGTATCTCCTGATGATCGTGAATTGCGTGAACAACCGATCCCGGCCCCTGCTGCCCTTGCATCTGTGGACTGGCGTCGTCGATTCCCGCCTGCCCGCCGCGCGGCTGTTCCGCATGATGTACAGCCTCGCGCAGTGGCAGGCGGACATCGACGGCTGGATTGAGGAGGGACAGCGCTCCGAGCACTCGAATTCCAATGTCGACTACGTTCAAGATATGACCACGAGGCTATCACTAGCGGATGCAGAGCTGCAAGAATGGGAAGCCCAGCTGCCCCCCACGTTTCACTTCTACGAGAGACCGTCCACCCCCGCCGACCATGTCATGCTGCAGTGGCCCGGGGCCCCGCGCCGGATCTACGTCTACGAGTCCTGCTGGCGGGCAATCCCCCGCACGTTCTGCTTCGCGGTGCGCATCCTGCTGAGCCAGAATCTGCTCAGGTGCTATCGTTGGGTCTTAGAGCGAGGTCCACGTTCTGGGATGCTGAAGGAATACCAAGCAGCCGCTGTTCAGACTATTGTAGAGATGATTGCACATATATCCCGGAGCGTGGATGCGGTTGTTGGGTCGTCGGGGCTCTCGGCTGGGGACGGTCGCAACATGGGGGAAGGTGAGGCCATGCGGGGACTGGCTATTGTATGGCCTCTCAGTGCTGCGTCGAGCGCTTTGCTGAGGAACAGGGGCGTGCTGGATCGGGTTGGGGATGAACGGGCTCGGTGGGTTGAGGATGCTTTGTTGTATGTGCGTCGGTTGGTGGGGAATCGTGAGCCGACGGAGTGAATATTTGACCAACTGGATGTTTATTCGAGACTCTGATGGGAGGAAGGAGAACGAGACGGAGTGATAATCAGTTCTGGCTCAGCTTCAATGTATGTCATGTGATATGTTTTGATCCGGGTGTTCGCAGATATAGGTCACGTGAGAATGCGTCTGCCAACACTATGCGGTCCTACGCGAACAGTCATCCGGAATAACCATAGGAGACTCACTTCCATATTTCAATACCGTGGGCATAGGTGCTCGTGAGAAGGGGATGAGATTGTGAGTACAGAAATCATGCAACCACACCTTATTACCTCAGCGTTAGCCGTTATGTGAAAACCGTTTCTGTCGGCAGTAGCGAGGCCGCTGACGGGTCTACCATGATTGGACCTACAATAACAGCATCCCAAATTGATGAACCGCTAATCCAGTGCTGTACCTAAGCCAGGCAGGGCCCCCCTTTGGGTCGTCCATAACATAAAAGGCAGCCGCTGGTAAAGCATCGGCACAGATGGGTGACAACATCGGATTTGTTGATCTGAGCTGCGATTAATATAAATTCGTCAATATGGGCTTGACAGAGACTCTGGAGGCCACATCGGTGATTCGTGGGTGCGAAGCAACTTCGACTAAGGATGTAGAGAAACGCCATTTGTGCAGTGAGGCTCGAGGGTGCGATCAGAAGCGAGTATTGCAATCTGTCGACATATGGGCAGCCGGCATATGCTTTTTTGCTCGATCAATGCGGTCGGCTGATATGGGACCCAAGCACTGGACTAGTGGCGCGACTTTCGTGGCCCCAGCAATTCGAGCAGTGTCCGCCGGGTGATGGAGGAAACACATTGCGTCTGACGAAGTAAGCGGAAGCCATGAAGATCACAGCCAGTCAGAAGGAACGCCGCCCCAAGATGCAGGGGGCGATTTAGCTACCCAACATCAGTCAGTATGAAAATGCCGAATTGGCACAACGTAGGAGGTGCAATTGGCATAAAATGATGGGAAAAAAGAATCCCTGATCTCAGTTGCACAGGCCTGGACCGTCCTCTGGGCCCGATGGATCAAGGAGTATATTCTAAACTCAGAAACGACCTCGATGGGTTTGAAAATGCGACTCCAAGCTAGGACTGCTTGACCAAATATAGGTACCATCGCCAGTTGACTGTATGCATGGCACGCTCTAGTTTCGGCCCTCAGATAGGAATCCAGGTGAGGCGCAGCCGGTCCACAGACTCCATCGCAGGAAGTATCAAGGCTCACTTGTTGGTAAGACATCCTCACCATGTATCGGGCCATCCAGGGGTGAGTCTCAATGGCACTATTGAAGAAGTGGTCCCACTAATTGGCTTGCTCGGCCGAAGATTTCCGTCGTCAAAGGTCTCTGATCGAATGAAGGACAATGCTCGAGACGAGATGAGAGCTGCAGGAACAGGATTCTCGCTTTCCGTTTTCTCCCACAAGACGATTGCACTTCATCTACTTGCTGACGGGCGAGATTCATGAAGCGAGCAGGATTGCATGGCCAGGGCACCGTTCTTCTGTGCTGCATAGAAGAGTGTTGCGCTTATCCCTGGGTCGTGCACCTTGAAAGGGGTCGAGAAGTTGTCTAATCTCCAGTCGTTCAGTCTGGCCGCAGCCGTTCCCCTTTCTCTATTTTTGTCTCTGAATCAGGAGATGGCGCCAAAATAGCCGAAGAGGGAAGGACAGTAAGCGTATTATGGTGATACCAAGCCGAGCGCTCCCTCGGCCCTTCAACACGGGGAAGCAGTGCTCGTGCGAGGAATGGCACAGTGGAAGCTTCTAATGGGGGCCATGCTATGCTGACATGAAAAATCGTCGCAAGCTTCGTCAGCAGGGTAGGATGTTGATGTGTGCACGGCGGGCGCAAAGGTCTTGGATGGCCGCAAAGGCAGTGGTCGGTCCCTGCTCGACAATGGGGCGGAAAGGCCAACTTTTATCGAGGAGGAGGAAATCATGGAAACATCGGTTATGGAGATTAAATTAGTGTATGGTTCGGAGAATAGGGGCAATCCCAGGGGCACGTAGCCAACCAACCGAGGTTATTGATTGGAGCTGGGGTCTGGGGAAGATAGGCACCCAAACGGATGTGGCAGGTTTCAGCAAAGAGATAATGCATGACAGAGTATGAAGAATGCAGATGCCATGAAGTCCGCCCGCCCCCTGGCCAACAGAAAGTCAGTGACTAATAGACTTGGAGGTCGAGGCTTTATTCAGATCCGGATTTGGCTGAATCTGAAACCGAGAGCCCCGAAGTTCACCGAGAAGACACCTGAAACAGACCCCATGTTGCCTTGTGGCCGACCCACCCCACTCGAACCCGATGCGGTGATGGGCCCAACGAGGCGGTGGTTTGCGGAAAAATTCATTGTTTGAAGTCTGCCTCTCGAGGAAAACTTTGCCCGGGAGATGGTCGAGGTGCAGACACGAGCATGATATCCCTGAAGAAAAGGAGGGGAAGTATAGAGATCAACGCCTGGCAAAAGAGGGGTTTCAACTTTGGTGCTTTGTTTTCTAAGGTAAAAATGGTTCCATGGGTCCGTTCTGAAACCGGTGTCACTTCCGTCCACTAGTCCTGGAATGGCTTGGTCTGCTAACCGGGATTGTCCCGTTCTGGCTGCTGATTGGTTGCCAGGATCTACGCCGGCTTTATCGCGACGAACCAATGGTAACTCCAGATCGGCTTCGGTTGCATCCGTGCGGCTGGTCTGATGGAGAAGAAAGTCTGCTGATTGGGGGATTTCTCCCTCAAATCCCCCGACAAGAGCATGGTCAAACTCCACTAGTGGGCTGTTGACAACTCCGATTGGGATGTCAATCCAACGTGAAGAGCCGTTTTGTGCATCCCTCGAGTCAGACAGACAATCCAACAGGAACAGGGGCCGCAGGAACGAGTCCTTTTCCTGGTGTCCACTGTTCACACTAGACAGCGAATAGACTTTCTCTGCAACTGCAGAGATGAGTCTCCCTCTCAAAGACCGGCTTATAAAGACCTCGTCGGCTGTCCCTCAACATGCTGCTCCCTTCTCATCATCCTTATCATCCTCAGCACTTGCAGAGCAAGCTTGCAGATTCTAGTCGTTCACGACATCGTCATTCCTTCATTTTTCGTTTTCAGAGACTATTGACTAGTCTCGTCACATTCCTTATTCCACACACACACATACACACTCTCTCTCGTCCAATCCTTGCAGTATCCACTTGTCTTTTTTTTTTCTAGCCTCCATATCTCGATTTACCCACGCCAGTTATCAAAATGCAGTTAACCAACTTCTTCCTTGCTGCCGCCTCCGTGGTCGGCCTTTCCGCCGCTGTCCCCATGGGCAGCCGCACCAACACCTTGGCCTCGCGCTCCATCAACGCCATCGTGAGCGCCAGCGGCCTGGCTGTCGCAACGCTCAAGGACCACGACGGCAGCGGAGCGGGCCAGGATGTCTACACCTTCCACACCGGAGACGGCACCGTCGCCGATGGATGGCCCGCCCTGTCCAGCTGGTCAGTGCACGCACCGATCGATGCTCCGCTTGTCGATCATTTTCGCTAACCGTTCCCACAGGGTCTCTTTCGACGACATGTGGAAGGCCAACAGGCCCATCATCATGGAGTCATGCACCCAGTTCGGCGTGCCCAACAACTCCGCCAACGAGACCCAGAACCTCTACGAGTCGATCCAGCAGGTCGCCAAGGAGTCGCACCTCGACCACCGCTTCATCCTGGCCATCATCATGCAGGAATCCAAGGGCTGTGTCCGCGTCCACACCACCAACTATGGCGTTCGCAACCCGGGCCTCATGCAGGACCATGACGGCACCGGCACTTGCAACGACAACGGCGTGGTCCAGAACCCCTGCCCGAAGAACGAGATCCTCCAGATGGTCCGCGATGGAGGTGAGTGCCAGCCCTATCGAGAGTATAGAAACCCATAGCACTAACCCAACTCGTCCCCACAGCTATCGGCACCGCCGCCGGTGACGGTCTCGCCAGCCTGATCAACCAGCAGGGCAAGACCGACGTCTCCGCCTTCTACCGCGCCGCCCGCATGTACAACTCGGGCTCCATCTCCAACCAGGCCAACCTGAACGTCGGCGTCGGCACCGCCTGCTACGCCACCGACGTCGCCAACCGTCTCACCGGCTGGGTCAGCGCTGCCTCCCAGTGCACGCTGAGCGCCTAAACGTGCTGTGCTTGTTCGCAGTGTCGAAGATGTCCCGCTTTCCGGCGTGGTTAGGATGATATAATGTTCGATTCCCTGTGCTTTTTGCTGGTCTTTGGCTTCTTGCTTTGCTTTACTTCTTGTGGTCATCAAGTCCGGCTACACTTCGCTGGTCTGGTTGGTTTTGGTGACATGTCTCGATGTCTGGATGTATCATATACTGCGACTAGAATCTACCTATGATTTGCTTGCTTGATGAATATTGCCCGGATTGTGTAATGACTCGCTGAGATGGTCGGAAGTAGAGATGCGCTAGCTGAGACAACTCGTTGAGAGAAGCGTACACTCCCGTCGTTGGTACTTGTGTGTAGAGTTCCGAATTGCACTGGCATGCTGAAGGAAACGATGATATCACCTGTTTCACATCCGTCAAAGGTCACTTGACAAGCGCAACTACAATAGAGTACACGTGGAGGCATTACTCACTTTCGTGTTATTTTGATAGTGTTGACTCGATTGTCACCGAGGTATACCCCATTCGAATGGATTAATCCACATATAGAATGCCTTGCCCGGTGATTGAGCGGCTTTGTTTCGGCAGAAATCGGCTCTGTAGTCACGTGATCTCTAGTAATGACACCATGCATTGTGCCCTTGTGTTTTTTTGTTCGAAATTGAAGTTATCAGTAACGAGTATCAGTCCTTTCTCTGAAGCAATATATGAGAGAAATGTAGGTTCTGTGTCAACATTTACTAATAGTGGGATCCTCAATTCGCGAATGCCAGACCGAAAGATATATAATCGGCTCGACCCAGGAAACAAGTGGATTAGATGACCGAACTGCGCAAAAGCCCCTGGAAAATAAGGCTCATTGATAAACTTGCAGTCCCTAGACGGCAATAGTGGCAAATAACCTTAAAAGGCTACATCGAAGCCAGAGCAATAAGTGTTGTGGAAAAAGTGACTAGAAACAAAAAGATATTAAGAATATCTCCCCGACTGGGAGTCGAACCCAGGTCTCCCGCGCTTGTTCCTTTACAGGATTGACAAGCGGAAATCATGACCGTTAGACCATCGAGGAAGAGGATGAGATTTTCTGCCTTATTTGTTTACATATTGCATTACTAAAGCTACAATATTCTTTAAAAGAGACAGATGCGCGGAACCACCGATCTCTTGACCACCGCAAGTGTTATGGTTCAAGATTGGCATGACTGGTTAACCATGTTTGTCACCACGGATCATACCTTACAATCTTCGGTTTAAGCCAAATGCTTTATCTTGCTGTCCTTACTGGGTGAATGGTTCGATGGAAGGGAAACCAGCTACAATCTACATGAGAGTACTGTTTGCAGTTGGACCATGCTGAAGAACGTATTGAATTAACTATTAACAAACATTATCGTAAGGAATGACACTCAGTGCTCAACAGAAGGCGCAATTTGTCAACAAAGTTCAAGCATCCCCTCAATCATCCAGCTCAAGAAGGAGAAAAAGCACAAAGCAAGCAGTCGAAAAGCTCGAAAACAGTCGCTATGCTAGAATTCGGATCACAAATTGTTGTTCGTCTCGTCGAAAGCCCATAGGCGCAGTCACCTCAATCCATCTACTCGATGTTGATCTTCTTGGCGGTGGGAGCAGCAGCCTTGGGCACGAAGATGGAGAGGATGCCGTTCTTGAGGCTGGCCTTGACGCTGTCCTGGTCGACGCGAGTGGGGAAGCTGAAGGTGCGGTGGAACTCGCCGATGGAGCGCTCGCTGACCCAGAAGTGAGGCTTGTTCTTGTGCTTGCTGACCTGCTTGTCGCCGGTCTTGGACACCTCGCTGCCCGCAGCCTTGTTGTCCTTGTTCTCCTGGGTCTGGGCTTCAGCCTTCTTGTCCTCGGCGTCCTCATTCTCGTTGAAGTTGCTGTACTCGCGCTCGGTGCGGCCCTTGATCACCAGGGTCTGGGGGTCGGAGAACTCGATGTCGACGTCCTTCTGGGCAATGCCGGGCAGCTCACCATCCAGGTGGTAGCCCTCGGCGGTCTCGCGGACGTCGAAGCGAGGAGCGAAGGAGCGAGTGGCAGTGGTGGAGCTGGCGCTCGCGCTCTGGCCGGAGCGGTGGAGGTCATAGTCGTCCAGAAGACGGAAGAGAGGGCCAAATTCACCAGCGGAAGGGATGCTGCGGAAGAGAGACATGGTGATTGGATTGATTGGATTGATAGTGGTAGTAGATAGAGTAGAAAGAGTTGTAGTAGAAGAGTGCGTTGTGGTTGGAAGGCTTAGAGAAGTTGTTGTTCTTGTTGATTGCTTGATTGATTCTGAGTTGATGAAGTCCAGCTTGACCGGACCTCGAGGGTCTCTTTATACCTTGGGAGGGGGTATGGATGAGGTTCATGATGATGCAACGAGCCATGTTGTGGTGTAACACTCGAACCGTGATGGATGGCTCTAGAAGCTGCCTGAGGCAACGAGAATGGCCCGGATCGGCCGAGTTCGTCCGCGATGATTCTGGGCGCTTCGACACGGACCACGTGACCCCGCTTCTTCCCTCCAAAGAACGAATCCAAAACCACTTTGGAACCTCAACTTAATTGACCGAACTATACAAAGTGATGTAATCACCCCACGGTTTCGAAGTACGAGTTCGGAATTCCACTTCCTTCCTTGTCTCCAGCATCACGCCATCTTCGGTTCTGGCCCGTTCTACACCCCGCCGACACTGCGAACGATACCTTGTTTCTACTTAGTACAACACATACATGGGTTTGCTGCTAGAGTGATCGACGCTGTCACTACGAGCGGAGGACCGGATAGACAGCTCTAGAATGAACCCACCGGCGCTCATCCTTGGCTGCGCCAGCCTTAAACCAAGGAAATGCACCAAACTGTGCCATTCGATGTCTTACTTTAGTCAACTATCACTGCGGAATCCTGGTTCGACTTCATTCTAATCCAGCGAAGCGCATGATTCTCTCGTTGCTTGATACCTCGGTGGCAAATTTATCGCCTGGCTCTGGGGAGCTCCGAGAGAAAGTACCAATGCCAGAAGGTTAGCTTGCGACATGATACGACGTGGGTGGAAGGATCCCTGGTCAATCCGGGATACAAAATCAAGGCATCGGGATTTGCTTTCGGTCTGGCATGGACTATTGGAGAATGGTGGTCGCTGTGGGTGTTGATGGAAACATGTTCTTTGTGCACGCTGAACGACAGGTTTGCTGTATAGACGCTGGAAGAAGCTTCGATGAGGGGTCGGCTCCAAGCCTGGCTTATCCGCGCAAAGGAACCTGTTGCCAATTCCCAGAATGTCTATGAGTCTCACCAAGTACAGATCCAGGTAAATCGAATTCTACCATCATCTATGATGCTTGAATTGCGACCTGCGAGAATACTTGCAGCTGAGTTTACAACTCTGCTGGTAGACTTCGAGATAGTAAACGGGCATGATTGGAGTGTGCGATAGCTCCACAGGAATGACTCTGAACACTAGGCGAGCATCATAGCATCACAGAAGACAGAGCAACCTTCCTAGTTGCGCTGTTGTTTGTTTGATCCTTACAATCAACCAACTGTCATCAAGAGACTCGTTTTCGAAGATATCCTGAGGCATTCACCTGTCATGGCCCGAGCTTCCACGTCCATCTCAAACAGGACTAGTCCAGGACTCTAAGTACTGTATCAACATAGCAGTTCCCTTTCCTTTCCATTTTACATGACAAGTCTAATCTCCCTACAACTGAGGAGAGCAGAAGTCACACTGACCACAACAGGTGCTCGACAGATCAGCCAGAAAGGCGTGGCTCTTAGCATCTTACTCAAGAACGTCGGAAAGGTGCTCTGCCGTTCCTGCATGGCGAACTGAGCGCACGTGAGTGGCACATACGTGACTTCCGATTGTCTTCGAGTCCACGATCCAGTCAAATAAGCTAGAGCTGTCCTGACGACAGACAGACTAAAGACAGCAGACTGCTTCAAGCTCGTCCTCACGGAATACTCACAGCGATACCTTCGCGCCTGCAAGTCTTTCTCGATGCCGACGATCGAGTATCTGGCCTATTACAGCTGCCCGAATGTGACACAGCCTACCCATGATGAACACCTCTCACAAATGGGAGTATCTGTAAAGATCCGCGAAGCAGGCTGTGCAGTTCTAGTGACCCTGTTCCCGTGCTGTATCAACCTCCAGAGATATTGACGAATCTCGCCCGCATAGATATGCAAGAGCTCGAATGATGTGTGAGCAGGATCTCCAACTCCGATACGCGAAGTTCAAGGTTCAGTCCTTCCTTATCGCCAAGCACGCCGTGGCTATGCTGCTATATTACGGGCTTTTAACCCCGCTGCCTGACTGACGATGCCACCAACATCAGCCACATCAGTCAGCAATCTCAATTGGATAACTTCCTTCCGCCAATTTACTGATTGAGTTTTTGCCACGCGTTGATGCCTGCGGATTTCCCCATATTCCCTCCGAGCATGCTTGTCGCCGTCTGCTGCATGCTTCATGCATCGGATCATGCTCATGACTTGACTTGTCTTCAAGCGAACGACAACAATAATAATCTGGATGCCTACCGTATATCGTATTCGAGCATCACGAAGATGTCTGCGCCTGCATGAATCGGTATCAAATGGCTTGTGCATGACGCGGGCCGTCAGAATCAAGGCGAATCTCTATGGGAGTCTCGACGCTATATAGGAGCTGGAGATGACGTTTAGGCGCCCTGCAGAGAGTTTTTCTTGCATTGCGGACATTATCGATTCCATAGATTCGCCTTCGTGTTAAGCATCGATCTCCATCCGATCCACAATGTCAAAACCACAGCAGATATTTTTGATCGCTCTTATCCTCTTCTCTCTATCAACATCTGCCTCTGCTGAACTGCAGCGTTTCAGCTCCTGGTATCCGAGGTATCAGACCGCATTCCACACCATCGAGCACACCAATTGCTCCGCACAATATAACGCGTACCTGAGCAGAAAGACGGACAACCTGACCCAAAATGACCCACAACTTGCAGTATGGGATGTCGACAGTACAGTCACACCATTGATCAACTGCCTGCTGGCATCGACTCCCGAACTCTACAAGTCCATGATGTCCAGCGCGCAGGTAGTGTTGGGTCTAATGCCCACGCTCCTCCTCAGCATCAGCCCGAGCGCCCACGAGACCGCCATGCTCTTTGTCTTCGGCGACCGGCAGTTTCTATCGTTCCTCCTGACGATCGCATCCCCCGCAAGCCCGGTCGACCCGTCAGGGAACTTCTACCAGCACGTCCAAGACCTAAAGACATCCTACGAGTGGCTTTCGGCAGACTTTCTGCTACACCACAACTTCGCCATCGTCCTCCTCGAAATCGCCCTCGCAGCAGCCGCAGCAGCCAACGTGCTGGTCTTGAGCTACGAGATCGGCATGCGCGCGGTCTTCTCCTTCGCGCAGAGCGTGCAGTACCTCCCGGGCCTCTGGGTCGCGCTGGGCGTCACCACCCATCTGCTGATGACCATCGTCCTTCGTACGCGTGTGCACATTTCGGACCCCCATGCGGACCGATTCGGTTTCGGCACCGTTCTGAGCTGGATCAAGGCCCAGTTCACGGCCTCGGACAGGAGCAAATCGATCGACATTCAGCTTCGCGAACGCACGGTCGCGAATGTGCTGATCTCCTGGTTCACCAGCATGCTCGCGGCAGCGAATACGCTGTTCGGGATCCTCCTGTTCTCGAGTCTGCTGTTTATCTCCGTGGCCGATGCGCTGTTTATCGTCGTGCGCTACGTGGCCTCGGCGGTTGTGTGTCGGATCCTGGTCAAGTATGAGCTGTGGCTCGTTCGTGAACAGGTGAAGCTTAATGCTTTGATGGGATAGAGGTTTGGCAGTTGCATTTTGTATAATTCCCATATGTTTGATTTGATTTGTTGCTTGCAGGAGTTTTGGGAGGTGTTCGGTTATAAAGCATTCGCCACCTCGTATTTCTCATTTAGGGTGCATTTCACGTGACTGTCAGCAAGGCTGTGAGTGGCGTGCGATGCAGCGGAATCGGCTTGAGCCTTGCTTGAGCCTTGCTATGCTAATGCCAGGGGTCGGGGTGCATAGCGTAGAGACTTGATCAATTATTCATTAGAATTAAGCGTAGAAGTAATCAAAAATCCACAAGTCTATATACGCGATCTATCCAAGCACCCAGTCTATAAAGTAAACATTATCATTATCGGCCTCTGCTATGAGCCTCCCACACTGCTCGTGTAGCATCATCTTAAATTATTGCTCATTCTCTGCAGGCTTCTCACGCACATCATCCCCCGAAGCGGCAGCAGCCCTCGGCTCCTCCTGCTTCTGCTTCATCATTGCGCCCATCATGCGCTCCACGAAGGCGTCGGCCTCGGCCGCATAATGGCACTTCTTCCGGATCCGCGCGCCATACTTGTAGAACAAGAACGGCATGGGCACACAGGCCAGGGCCAGGAAGGCCGGAATGCAGGTGGCCCAGTGGATGCCCAGGTTGCGATACATGTAGGTGGTGAAGAGGGGGAAGACGGCACCGAAAACCGAGCGCATGGCCGAGTTGGCGGCCAACACCGAGGCGGCGTAGATGGTATACGAGTCGATCAGATAGTTGAACGCAGGCAGGAACACCATGACCATGCCGAAGCCGAAGGGGACGCCCGAGGCGATGGGCGCCATCCAGTGGACGGAGGGGTAATTGGTCCATGCAAACCAAAATAACCCGACGGGGAGGGCGACGGCGCCCAGGAAGCTGTCGGGCAGGCGAGCCTCGGGCGGCACGCGGCCCTTGGTCGACAGGGTCTTCTTCTTGTAGCGGAAGTACATGGGGAAGGAGTAGGCGACGGACAGCAGGATACCGACGAGGATGCCCAGGAAGGCCAGGCCGCTGATGGCTTCGGTCCAGCCGCGCACCTCCATGAACACGATCGGATACGCCATGAACAGCATGTACAGCGTGCCGTAGATGATCGACATGTACAGCGAGAGCAGGAAGACGATCGGCTCGCGGAACAGCAGCGCCCAGGGCCGCGACAGCGCCACGCCCAGCGTCTTCGACACCGGCGTCGTGCCCTGCTCGATCTGGTTCTTGCTCCGGTACACCTTGCCCGTAATCTTGGACAGTTTGGCCGCCCGCTTGTGCAGGAGCACCGGTGCGTACGTCTCCGGCAACAGGAACACCAGACACAGCCACAGCGCCCCGGAGAACGCCGCCAGGAACCCCTGCACCCAGCGCCAGCCGCCGGCCTGCGCAATGAACCCGCCGATGATCGGGCCCAGCGTCGGCCCTAGGAAGGGCGCTGCGGCGAACAGACTGCTCGCCAGCCCGCGGCTGATCGTCGGGAAGGTGTCGAAAATCACGCCCCCGGACACTGCCATGGGCGCCGATCCGAAGCTACCGGCGAAGAAGCGCAGAATGATGAGGGTCTGGATGTTCTGCGCGCCGGCGGTGCCGGCCGTAAAAGCCGTCAGGCCCATCGCGCTGAGGACCATGACGGGCCGACGTCCGTAGATCTCCGACAGGGGCGCCCAGAACAGCGGGCCGACGGCGAAACCGATCACGAACAGGGAGATTCCTAGCAGCGACACTTCCTCGCTGATGCGGAAGTACAGCACGATCTCGACCAGACCGCCGGAATACGCGGACGACACCAAGGCCACGGCGAGGGTGGCCACGGCCACGAGGAAGGTGAGCGACCATTTGGTCACCGCACTGAAGGCCATCGGGTCGCGCGGGTCGTTCGGAATCCAGGACACGACATAGGGATCCTCTTCGGTGCCGGCGCCGGGGTACGGGTGGTTGATGATTTCCTGCGTGACGGCGTCCGGCTGCGCCACCATGCGCCAGAAGGGGATCTTGGAGGAGCCGGGCGTTTCGCCTGCGGCTGGAGACGAGGCCATGGCTGCAGGTATGGTCGAGGTCTAGCTGGGGTGCCCGAGTTTGCAGGGAAGACGACTTGAATCGAGCAGGATGGGCCCCGGGTGGTTCTTAAGTGAATCCACAATGATCGCGCTTGCAGATTTTGCTACGGTGGGGTGGGCTAGGAACTTTCCATGAACAAATTCTGCCTTAGACTACGTACGGTGGACCTCATATGGGGATGGCTGGCTAAACGAAATCTCGCGATAGCATGTCCCCACAGGATAATTCCAGGAGCTTGGTTTTGGTGGTTTTAGGAAGGCAGTTCTGGCTTGGCTCACTGTTACGAGTCAATTTTTGTTGCGGTCTGGCCGCCATATCCACTGGTCGAGTTAGGGTTGGCCGCCGTCAGGGGAAAGTAAAGGGGAGCAAAGGAAAAGCATTCCTCGAGTGGTAAAAGGTCCGGCGTTGATCCATGAGTCTATCAATCGTGTGAGATCATACGCCCCACTATTCGGTTCAATTCTGCACAGGAGAGAGAACTGAGTTTGTTCTGATTGCATTCTTTCCAGTATATTGGAAAATAGTCTCCGTCGAGAGTTTCGAATGCTGTCTCAAGTAAAAGCGGGGAGGTGTCAGCTTATCGACGGGAAAGTATCAGGAGAAAGAATGTTCTTCCCGTGATAATTTGCGCTGAATAACTCATACAAAGATTCCTACAATGACGTCATAGGGTCTCGATATCTGAAGGGGACTTCTGAATTGCTTTCACTGTAGCTTTGGCAATACTGCTGGTCGCATGCGCCTCTGCCTCGCATACCTTCTCACACGAGTCATTTCAGCCTCAGTGGGTGATCTGATAGGGGTTTCACTGCTAGCCAATAGACGCAAATGTATGCCCAGGACTCACAACTCCGCATCTGACGCGACATTCCGGATCGGCACCTTCTTGGTCGACAAGTGACGGTTGATGTCCCCTCCCAAGTATCGAGCGAACAAATTCCAGGTCTCCCTCGATGCTCGCTGGAAATTGTAGAATGCGGACATCGAGATTCTCAAAGCCTCACCGTCGTGAATCGCAGTCAAAATGCGCCCGATGTGTTCCGCGAATGTAAAAACCATCACCTAGGCAGAACAGTCAGTGTTAGCAGTTACTCTAGTTAAAACATGCTTAACCAAATAGCGAAGACACACAAGGAAAGAGACAACTTGCAAAAGAAGAAAGGAGATAAGAGCTTACAGGAGCCATCAAGTGTTCTGAGAGTCTCCGCGCACAGACGGGAATGCATCGTGGCCGTTATGGCTAGGACTTCAGCTTTCAGCAGCTGTTCCGGGTCCACGATATCACTATGCTGTAGAACCAACTTGATGTGGGGGAAGGTAGGCTCGTTCGAGCATCCGTAAAAGTGATGTATATTACTTGTGAATCCGTCTCGGGATTTAACAGTTCTGGTGGTAAAGGCAGGATCGGGAAAGAAGTCGCTAGTTTCCAAAAGCAATGAGTTCTACTCTTCTTCTGTATGGGGGTAGAGGAATTTTGTCCGAAGACTCACATGTTGCGTCGCCATCTTGTGATCATGCTCAGATTGGACGATCCATCCTTCATTGCGAGCCTTCTAGTCGACATCTCCATATGCAGACGACTACAAAGATCTCCAGCTTTGCTATAAGCATCGAGAGATTCGTACTCAATGAGGCTCATGCTGAATCTGGGCATTAGATGCCTTTCCAAGTTATCCAGCCGTTTCTGGGTTCTTGCGTCCGAAACGTCCATCGCATGCTGTTCGATAAACTGTTGCCTGAGGGGAACGAAGTACGCCGCTGAGGTTGTGTCTGGAGCTACGTCGATCGCGCGGCTAGCAGTGAGGTCGAGAGGTATTATAACAATCGATAGCCCCTCTAATTCGTCTGGTCCAAGTGACCAGCCTTCCAAGTCCCGTGCGCTTTTATGCGTCTCCCAGAGAGTTTCGAAAATCGCCTCACGTTGTAACTCCAGATCCTCGTAGTCGCGCGAAAACTTATCATGTGAGTGGAAAAAATTGCGAATTGTCCTGTGGATGAAAGAGGACATGTCGACGACCTAAGGGAGATATGTTCGGGACGAGGAAGAGATGTGTGATCTGATACTGCTAAGGAGGATAGAAAATAGAGTGGTAATTTGCAAAGAGGGCGAAAACAACGATCCGAGAATGACGAGACAATGATTGTGGTCATAGAAGAATGAATGGAAAAAGGAAGTTGCCGTGCTGAGCAATCTTGATGTCATCCAGCCTGTATAGTCCCTACCATATTTCTTGTGCCCACAAGTGGCAGTAAATGAGACCTTCCACAATGGCTTGCTCAAGGCAAACTTCGGCTGGTGAATGACCCTAGATAGAATCTGAGAAAGTTAACACGGATGGATTTCATTGTCTATAGCTAAATCACTCCAACTGACATCTCGATCTATGTCTGCCTCCTATTCCTGCTGCTTCTGCCTCTCCTTCCATTCCCGTTCCACCATCCCAAAGATTACATCGTCATGCCAGGCCCCATTGTGCCAGATCGCCTCTCTTCTCCGACCCTCCAGCCTGAAGCCCAATCGCTCATACAACCGCACCGCGCCCGCATTGTACGACAGGGCCTGGATCTCCACGCGATGTAATCCCGCCCGGCGAAACGCCCAATCCAACACCCAAATGATTGCCTCGCTCCCGTAGCCTTGCCCGCGGTACAGCCTGGCAATGTCGATGGTGATCGAGGTACCGCGATGGTGGGCAAAGTCACCCCCCTCTCTCCGCAGCGAGATGATTCCGATTGGCGTCCCCGGACCGGTTTTCTGGCTGTCTTCCTCGGAACTCGGCTCATGGGGCAACACGATAATAGCTGACAACAGGGCCCGTTCGGTCAGAGATTTCTTGTAGCCATTGATGGTGTCGCGCTTGGCTTGAGGTTTGGGTAAGGCCGGGGTGGAGTTGGCGTAGGCCTCGGGATCGGACTGGATAGAGTGAATGAAGTCCTCGTCTTCGGGCGTGTCTTCGACGGCGCGGTAGAGTAGCCGTTGAGATTGAAAGGATAATGGGTGCCACATCTTGAGGGATTTGCTTTATGGGGATCGGTGATTGAGTCAAATTCTGGAGTAGATGAAGGGATTTATCTTTATATTGTCCTGAAGAAATTTGAAACTAAACTGGATTGGGTGCCCGCCGCCGGAGTCCGGGCTTATCAATTTTTGATACGATGTAGTAGATTTTGTCTTGATGGTGACTCAAGATGGAGCTATTTTGACTCATTGATCCTGGCTGACTTTGAAGTTATACAAGTCTTATGATGGTGTATTGACACAATACATCAGTACATTGTTGATCAAGAGATCGGCTTCAATTTCCCTTCAGGGCAGTAATTCGGGGCTGACGCGTTCGGAAAATGATCGACCGAAACCGACTCAGGGGTCGTTTTGCCCACCGAATTTTCCTGATTCAAATGTGGTCAAATAATCAAAGTATCAAAGCATGTTTGTGATGCAGACAACATGGCTGAGATAGAGACTGACAAAGGCTCTCGCCATAATGATCAAGCAGTCAAGGCAGGGATTGTCTTGGTGCCCCGGCCCAGTGACAGCCCCCATGATCCACTGGTAAGTGAGGCATTGCCCCTTATCGTGTCTTAGACTCTTCGCTGACAGCCCTGTCCCCATCTTGTCTTACCCCAGAATTGGCCGCATTGCCGCAAAGTACCTGATTCTGGCTGTGCTCTGTCTGGCTTCATTCTCTGGCGCCATTGCCCCCCTCTCCGGCCAGCTCAACCTCGTCCAGCAGGCCAAGATCTATGGCAAGACCAAGGTTCAAGAGTCGTATGCTGTATGTTCCCTTCTTGCCGTGATTGTAACGGATAGTTAACCTTGCAGAATTCGGCAGCTTTGGCCGGAATGGCCTTTGGGCCCTTCTTCGTCGCCCCCGTCGCCCACCGACTGGGCCGCAGTTCGGTCATCTTCTGGTGTATCTTGTGTACCCTAATCTGCCAGATCTGGGCAGCTGTGATGACGCACTCGGATGACTATATCGCATATGTGATGTCCCGACTGTTCGCAGGCTTCTTCGGCGCCGTGCCCACCGTGATCGGCCCCCGAGTGATCACCGATCTACTATTCCTGCACCAGCGCGGCCGCGCCTTCACAGCGCTGCACATGTCATTCCTATTTGGCACCATCGCCGGTCCAACCTTCTCAGCCTTCATCTCCGCAGGCACTTTCTTCCCTGTCGAATTCTGGTGGTCAGTCGGCCTGCTCGGCGCCACCGCCATCCTCATCCTGCTCTTCCTCGAAGAGACCGCATTCGACCGCACCAACCCTGAATCTAACATCATCCCCCCCTCCACCTGGCTCGCCAACCGCCGCGCGACTTTCTTCTTCGGCCAGAGCATCATCCGACCGACCTCATGGTCCACGACCGCAAGAATCGCCATTGTGCCCGTCCTCATCGGCCTCTGCCCGGTGACCCTGATAATGGGCACCTTCACCCTAATCTCCTTCGGCTTCTACGTAGGCATGAACGCCCTAGTTCCCGTCTGGCTGCAACGCTCACCCAGCGAAGGCGGATACGGCTTCAGCCTGCGCCAAAACGCGGCCTTCACCTTCTGTCACTGGATCGGGCTCATCCTCGTTCAGCTAGCGGGCCACCAATACAACGACCGACTACCCCTTCTCCTCGCGCGGCGCCTCTCCCACGGGGCTTGGAAACCCGAGTACAGACTGCACGTGCTGTGGATCCCATCCCTGATCCTCAACCCAATCGGCCTGGGCCTCTTCGGCGCCACCCTCCAGTACCATCTGCACTACATGGTGCTCGCGCTAGCCGTGTTCATCGTCACCGTTGGCTCGCTGGCGAGCGTGCCCGTCACGGTTAACTATGTCGTCGAGTGCTTCACGCGGTATCCTGCTGAAGCGGGGATCGTGGTCGGCGCGTATCGCATCGTGTATGGATTGACGATCAGCTTCTATATCGATCCGTGGGTTGAGGCTGTGGATGTGGGCTGGGTGTATGGCATGATGGCGTTTTTTGCGGTCTTCTCGTTCTTGTTTGTTGGGTTGTTGATGTGGAAGGGCGATGTCATTAGAGGGTGGCAGGTTGCTAGTGTGGCTAGTAGTGAAGAGGGAGTGCAGGTCGAGGGTGAGGCTGGGGAGTGTGGAAAGGAGAGCGCATGAGTGGTGGTTGAGCTGGATATACGTGTCTTGTCTATAGGGCACGTTTGATTTGCGAACTAGTATTACAGGGGGCCTATGTAGCACAGAGCCCGGCACGGCCATCAGACAACCTCTAAAGCTTCTGAAAGCGTTTAGTTAGACAGCACGCGGTTGGCGGAACGAAGCAGTTCTCATATGCATTGCCGCTCGTAGGTCAGATGGTCGGTCACCGGTTCAAGCATAGGGTGGGCAGGCATTGGTAGAGGCAGGGGGCAATCAAATCACCAATTTGAGTATGGTGCAATGCAAGGAAGCTGGACCCCGCTTGGAACGGTGTGTCTCTTGGAACCCCATCCCCCCCTTCTGCATCTCTCAGTTTTCCCTGCCATTTGAGCAGACTCTGACACTGACAAATCCACAGCTCCGTGCTGTTCAAGAGTTTTCAGGATTTAGGAATCAGTTCTACCCGACATAGACTCAGTTCGGCCACCACTTACAGTCACTATCAAATCATCCTCGATCGACGAGATGAAGGTCCTCATAGTGGGCGCCGGAATCGGTGGCCTCGCCGCAGGAATCGGTCTTCGTCGAGCCGGTCACGACGTAACAGTAAGCAAACCAGAGCCAAGTCTTCCTCAGTCGACTACTGAAGAATGTCTAGATACACGAACGCTCCAGCCTTCTCCGCGAGGTCGGTGCTGCGATCAACGTCTGCCCCAACGCCTCACAAGTCCTCAACCAGTGGGGATTCGATCATAAGCGAGCACGCATGGTAACAGCACGCAAACATATCATGGCACGGGGATCGAATCTCCAGGTTGACCGGGAAGCCACGTTCCCCGACTTCACTGCGCTCTACGGCGGGCCTTGGTTTCTTGCGCATCGGGTAGATCTCCATTCAGAGCTCCGGCGGGTGGCTACGGACCCAGATGGTGTCGGAAAGCCCGTCGAGATTGTCTTGCGCAGTTCAGTCGTCGACTACGGCCCTGAAAACGGAGCTATCACACTCGCAGACGGGACCATGCACCACGCCGATCTCGTTATAGCAGCAGACGGTGTCCACACCTCGACAATCCGGCACGTTATTGGCCATCCCACCGCCGTCAAAGCTACCGGTTGGGCGGTGTTTAGGTTCTTGATACCAAGCGACGAGCTGCGTCAGGATCCTGAAATCAGGCCCCTCGTTGGGAGTGGACCTACCAGGCTTGAAGATGGTTTGATGAAGATCTTCACAGCGGAGGAAAGTATGAGGCGGCTTGTTTGGTATCCATGCGCTGAGTATGGCACTCGCGGGTCTTGATAGATCGCTCGCTAATGATGGATAATGAACAGCAACGAGATGCAGAACTTTGTGGCTGTTCACCAGGACTCTCATGCCGAGGACCATGAGAGAGAGGGTTAGTGTCTCGACTCTATACTTGATTCAGCTAACCTTTCGGGGATAGACTGGGATAGATCGGCCACCATTGAGGACTTCATGTCCCACTTCAAGGATTTCCATCCAAGTCTTTTGAAAATCACCGGGTGCGTAAAATTTCCTTTATTCTCGTTCGCTACCGTTGACACGCCGATCCAACAGAAAAGCAACAAGTATCAAGCGCTGGCCACTGCTATACCGCGACCCCATTCCAACCTTCAGCAAAGGACGCCTAGTGCTTATTGGCGACGCCGCACACCCGATGCTCCCGCGTTAGTCTATGAATCCCCTTCGTCGAATTTCAGCTAAGCGTAAATCTAGACCAAGGCCAAGGCGGCGCCCAAGCTATTGAAGATGCCGGCGCCCTGAGCGAGATCTTCGCGGAGATAAGCGGCACTCCAGACCTGAGAGAAATCCGCAGGCGGCTCGAGCTGTTCGAGAGTATACGGCTCAAGCGAGTTTCGGCGATGCAGGTCCTCTCCGATGCCGGGCAGGACCAGGCTTGGAGAATCAAAGAGCGCGCTCAGCGGTATATGCCGGAGGGGGTGCAGGTACCGACCAATCCTCAAGAGTTCTGGGATCACAACTTTGGGTATGACGTGTTGGGTGACAGTCGGAGGCAGGTGAAGTTGTGTTTGGAGGGCGGGAACCAGTCGAAGCTTTAGCATCTATGTGGTGCGAAAGAATTTTAACAGGGTGTAACTTGGAGCACCATGTGTATCTTGTTCAGCGATTCAGAACGGTACCTTCCAACTTCCCACCGCAACGCCCAGCATTAGACGAGAGTTCAAAGCAGTCACGGCAGAAGCCCAAGTGACTGATAACCACATGTACTAGCCATAGTGTATCAGAGAGGTACAGTCTACATGATGCTTTTCATTTCATATGTGGTCAAGCAGAACCGGGGTTGACAGGGTGCACCGTTCCAGTAGAAGGAATTTGCGAATACGCATATAAGCATGAGCAACACAACAATTCTCCGCCACAATATTTTCCTAACAAAGAGCAAATCTAGTTGAGGCTGCGGGGAATTACCAAGACCCCTTCAGCCAAAAGATCAGGGACGGGTATAATTTTAACCGCCCTATGCCAAGTGCAACACTGACAAAAACTTTCACAGATATTATACTAAGTTCGAAGTGGGCCAGTGAGAGAGAAACGTCTAATAGATTATAAGAGGCTATGCTACAGAAGAACCACGGCTCCATACGAATCATTGACCATGAAGATGTCAACCTCAAGTCCCATTCAGGGGCTGTTTGTATACTACTCCATCCACGGTAGTGACGAGAGTACCGTTGGCCACGAAAACATTAAGCATGGCACCATCGACGACATGGAACCCCCTCCCTCCCACCCCCGGACTGGTGACCTTGGTACTATGCGAGGCTCCAGGGGCAGTGAGATTGGAATACTAATCCAACCGAGCTGATGTCACAGATAGGGGGTGGAGGTCACCGACTCGTGTCCGTGGATATAATGCAGACCATCATCGGAGTAATTATGGTACGTGACTGCGACGAAGTCAAGGACAGAAGCGGTCTTGGTGTTGCGAAGAACCACATGCATAATCAAGTGAACTCCGGCGTAGATACTGGCTGGATCGGGGGCAGCTGGTGCGCCCATGAAGTTCAAGCTGGCTAAGACGTAATCCCATCGGGCGAGAAGCTGCCGCCATTCAGGAGGGAAGATTTACCCATACATCCGGTCCGGTGGGGTTCACTTGACGAGTACAAGCCCCCAAATCGTCGGTAGACACGACCGGTGGCAGTGGTAGTGAAACCACTTCAATAGACTCGGGTTTAGGAACGGTGTCAGCGCCCGCGATCAATGCGACAGACGAGACAATGCCCAGCGAGAGAGGGATAAACCCTCCGACGGCCGGGAAATGCATGCTGCTGGCTGACTTGATACAATGAGAACGATGGGAAAAGAATCAAACATGGCGGGCTCTGCCAGTGGCTGATATGTATTTGTCTTATATTGACAATATCCAGAAACGTCATCTCTTTTCTCCCAGGGCTTTTCGCCAGTTCGGGTGATGTTTGCGATATGCGTATGCACAGACCTCGTCTATGTCGATCGTTCGCCAGGCTGGGCCCATCGGATCTCAATCAAGTACTCTGCACGAGTACGAGGATAGCATTCGTCCCTGAATCAGCAGGGCGCGCGAGGATCATCAACTCTCGAAAGCTGAATTCTGTCAATCCTGGCAGTCACTGTAATCTTGATAGACCTAAAATTACTGCCACTCATGCTAGGCTGCGCGGGGAATTGGTTGGCAAACTTAGGGCTTGGCTATACGCCCCAGTTTCGGCTTCACGGGCTATTTCAACTTTCAAGATTGTCACCTTTCGGCAAACGTGATGAACCCCACTCAACCTTTGAACTTCCGCTTCGTTCTTGAATCGGGTCCAATCGTACTCGAGGAGGCAAAGTTCTGGGTCATCACACTTAGGCTCCCACCCAAAATCTGCCTGCAAAATCTCCATATTTTCGCTCATATCTCATCACTACTTGGATGTCCTTGACCCTACTACTGTTCCTTACCATCTTCCCCCTCTTCGAATCCATCGTAACCGATCCTATCTATAGCATTCTCTTCCGGAAAACTACAAGGCCCGCACAAGCGCACGCGACAAGTATTGTGCATAGATTGCAGGCAGCCCGGCGAATGTTACACATATCTCGTCATCATCTATTGAAATAAACATCTGAATTCATAACAATGTTAGTAAGATAAAACGCAGGTATTGGAATTCGAATGAGTTACTGGCCATGCAACAAAGAATCTCACAGCTTGAAATGTCGCAGACACCCGATTATATCGGCTGGTTCAGGCATAAGTCTTAAATATAGATTATCCTGTCTCATCCCTCCGTAATATGCATTATAGTATATACATCTTCCTTCTTTTATAAATTGCTAACATTTTGTATATAAGTCTTTCTATACTATAACCCAGCTTCAAGTTCCAGGTCATCCTAAAGCCCTCCAGAATAGTTAGAGAAAATCCCGCATTTCCAACTTCTAAGTACCTCTGTCATGAATAGCAATCAACAAGCCCATCGGATGGCTCAGGATGATTATTCGCCATTGCATTGCTGGCCGCAAAGAGATTCACCATTTGCAGGATTATTGCTGCAACAATGACACATAGCTCTCTAATATGCTCTTCGTGAGATAACTCAAAGGTCCATACGTGCTTAGGTCGACAAAGGCATTGGCATCGACTATCCCTTCGGCGAGATATGACTTATAAGTTTCTGTCGGTTGGTCGAAAATGAACCAAGCCTGGTCTCCGTCCTCAGATATCATGGCTCTGCTAGATGTTGTTAGAAGCAGACCTTAATCAAACAGTAACTGACTTACTGGCCATAAAAGCATCCCTCGTATTCATTCCTCACCCAGGACACGACTTCTGCTGACTCTTGCAAACGAATATTATCTAAGTCCTTGTCCCGACGGTTCTTCTTCACTTCGATTATTGCACGAATATACTTGCCGTGCTTCGCCCACAGTACTCCGTCCGTTAACGCTATGAATGAAGCTTGCCCGAACCCCGCTTGAAAAGCGGCATGGAGTATATTGAATTCGCAGGGAGGACAAAGCACGAGACCGGCGATTGCTTCAACTAGGGCAAGAGTGCAGTATTTGAAATCAATCCGTCGAGAGGTAATTTCGTGTCGTTGGTAGGCTCTAGTAGACGCGAAGTGTTCATTAGACAACCTGGTCAATGAATATAGAGTTATCTTACCTTCGGGATGACTTTCGGGGGCTTCGCCCAAGCTTCGTCTACGCTTCGTCGCCATCTTGGGAATTTATAATTTTGCTGGAATTGGTCAGTGGCGTACCTTTCATCACACGGTTATTGACTCACTGCTGGTTGAAGCACCACACATGGGTAGACTTGAGCCATCCCACTATCTCAGCTGTCTTCGGAGGCGGATTTTGTCCGAGATTTCGCTCCGCCTCCCTTTTTTCACTTCTAGAATGGCTCGTATGTCGCTTCTACCTTCAACCCAGAGGAACCCATCTGTTAGCGCTTTGAAAGAAGCAAGAGCGCGAACTTTGCTTCGAAGCCTGCATGCGAAAAATTGAATTCGTATGCCGTATGCGGATCTGAGATCATACCGCATTTGAAAGTAGAAAGTCCACAAATGCCGAACTTGTGAGATTCTGGGAAGATTACTTCTTGATGGTCGATCGGTGGTAAATAGCAGATACCAGATACCGAGCAAACAAGTTCTACCATGAGGCCCGTGAGAATATTCAGGTAACTCTGCAAATGCGACTCATAGATGCCGACATCATGAAGAGCGATCAATCAAATGCGCGCGACAGCCGGCGAGTGTCAAGAGCATTACCTAAGGGGGCAGCGCGTAAGCATGGCACACATCACGTAAAGAAAGATTCTCAGATCAGAAAGGGGCAATGTAACTTACTGGTACGAGGAGCTTAGCCAGTAAAGTCTCCGTGCAGAAGCTATGATACCGGCTTCCAAAGGAAGCTCTGTTTCTTCGCCTTAGGACCGTTATATGTGGGATGGTCGGTCGACTAGAGCAAGCGTACAAACTGTTGACTCCTCATCCATACGCACAGAAAATGGGATTAAGATTATCTTGGATGCTACTGAGGATGAAAGACATTTCTCTGGGTTAAAGGCAAAAGATATGTTCTAAGACAGGGTGGCAGAGGAGGCTGGGGAGGGTTTTTGAGAGTGTGAGGAAGAAAGAGAGTGTGAGGAAGAAAGAGAAGTTGAGAGTGGAGAAGAGAAACGAACTCCAATGTATTGTGGCATCTTGTGGACATTCAACAGTGGAATATACCTTATCTGAGTGACTTGACCGACATAATTCTTCACCAAGAAGGCATGAGGCAATCTCCAGTATTACTAACGAGCAGCACGGAATGTTCCTCCCTCCCAGGTGAATTCTTCTATCTTCCTTCAAGGTGAACTTCCCGATCCATTGTATTAACTTTTTCAACATACAGGAGTTTTCCGACAAGCTATGGTTCGACATCCCATCTACTCAGGCTATAAAACATTCACCAGGTGCCTCTGCCTCGTCCCTTGACGCACTCAAGGGGAATCACACTCAGACTCTCCAAGATGTCAGCCACTCGGTGCAGCCAGCCCATGGACGAGGCCCACGACCCTTGCGCCTACTGGGTCGAGACAGGGCTAACGGACTGTCGGTTGAAAATCATTCGCGTGATGGCCGCTGAAACCGACATGGATGACGCCGCACTCTACGCAAAGGATCTTCTCTTCATGTGGATGCAATACGCGCGAGAAGAGTCCGGGCAAACCATCCGCAAATACGGCGTCATCCTATGGGGCGATTCGGTGCGTCTGTACACGGAACTCCCTAAGTCTCACTACAACTATCAAGACGGCATCCTGTGCTACCAGCACGACAATCGGGAGGTGTTCTGCTCGCGGCGCGACGAGGCAATCTTCGCCGAATTTCTTGAGATTGTGCGGATCTTGCAGGAGCGGGATAACTCAATGAGGGCTGCCGGTCCAAGTAATAACTGCATAGTTGAGACTACTGAGGTCGTACCTCGACAGTTCTTCCCGGTTCCTGACATGAGTGAGAATCGAACTATGCCATCTCCACCTCCATTTCCGTTACCCGGTGTTGCCGAAGACGACGAGGCCAATGATCCGGACTATGTGGGCAATGATGATGATGATGATGATGATGATGATGATGATGATGAGACGAGCGTGTCGTCTTCGGAGGAGGACCAGTGCATCGTACTGGATCCGACCACCGAGGTGACTATGAAGGATTGCCAGACCGGTGAGGAGCTGGTGGAGTGGGTTGTGTACGTCTCTGGTGATCAGGTCGTATGGCATATGAGGCCCGTTCAGTTTAGTTTGCCCATTCGGTAATGATTCTATTCTTTTGAGGCTCTGCGAACATTCGGCTTGCTCAAGTCCAATGGAATTGCTTCGATTACCCCGAACCACATTTTCTGGCAAAACTTAGAACAAATGTGAGAATAAATATTATGAAGAGATTCTCTCTTCATTCTTTGCTCCTTGATAAATTCAATATCACTAACTTCAGATCTCTTTAGTGAAAATCGTAATAAAAATGATCATGCATATGCGCAATTATCTGGCACTATTAGCAAACCTTGCGTGGGTGCCTAATAGACGGAACTACACCGCAATAATCATCATGCACCAGAACTCTGAAAGAAAAAGGATCAAGTTTGTAGTATATACACAAATTTAGAACACTTATAAACCTCTACTCGAGATACTCGTTAGGCATGTACAGAGGCATGGAATCCTCCCAGATGGTATCGGTGACCAGCGTCTTGTTGGAACCGTCATAGTTCATGACCATGATCTGGCCGTAGGGCTGGAAGGTGTTGTCGAACAGGGCGCTCTCGTCCTTGAAGCCGTACATACCCGTGCTCCACATGATGCGACCATCCTGGGACCACACCGCACTGTCGAGAGGGGTTAACATCTGTTGAGAGGGCTCATGAGAGAGGATGAGAGGGAAAGAAACTTACTGGGCATCGTTGGACAGACTGTCAGTCACGCGGGTGAGCTCGGATCCGTCAGGTCGGATGGTGTAAATATCGAAGCGATCTTCATACCAGCGAGCGCCGTAAGAGCTGGTCCAGTTGTTGTTGCGGGTGAAGACGATGCGCTCGCCGTCCGGGGACCAGCCGGGGGTGTTGTCCCAGCCCAGTGTCAATTGGCGAGTCTCGCCCGTAGTGAAGTTGAAGATGTGCAGACCCTCGGGGGCGCCGGTGGAGAGGCTCCATTTGCGGTAGACCATGCCTGTTCCATCTGGGGACCACGAGGGGAAGCCCGCGTTGTGGCTGCCGTCGGTCAGGTTGGTGTGGAAGGTGCCGTTGGCGAAGGCACGGTAGAGAGTCGCGGCGTTGGTGGCACGAGAGGTGAACCATGCGCCAAAACCGACGACGAGCTCGTCGCCGTCCGGGTTCCAAGAGGGCTGGAATGCACCCGCCTGACCTTCCGCCAAGTACTCAGCCTGGGTGGCGTTGCTGATGTTGTAGATGTCGTACGAGTCTAGGGCTTCGTGCACGTCGGTGTACATAGGGGTGGAGGTCACCAGGGAGCCGTTGGCGCTGCCAAGCACCTTTTGCGTGGAAGCCAGACGGTTGGTGGGTGGGTGGTGCAGGGGGAAGACGTCCATGTACCGGTACTCCCAGTCGTTGTCATAGCTCCAGAGCTTGAGGCCGGCCGCCTGCTGCGTCCAGTCCCAAACCTGATAGACCAGCTTGGATCCGTCGTGGGACCACCAGGGATCGCGGATGTTGGTCTGGTTGAACGCCTTGTGGGTTCTGTCGGGGCTTGTGTAGTTGATGCCCTCGTAGGGCCCGGCCTTCACCAGGTACCCAATGTTGGACGAATTGCCAATATAGTGCTGGCCCACCTTGGGGTAACTACCAGACGTGTGAGCCTGCACATCGGTGCCAGTGGCAAAGTCCACACTATAGATCTGAGCGGACACGGCGGCCTGCTGCTGAGAGACACCATGCGAGCCATAAGTGTTCTCACGGGTCATGTTATTGTAGGTGATACGCTTTCCGTCGTGCGACCACTGAGGAGTGCCAAAGGAGTAGCCATCCTGACGCACCAGAGTCCGAAGATCGGTGCCGTTGGGTCGGATCACGTAGAGGCCAAGGGTCTGGGTGTGCTCCCAGCCGACACCCTCACTGTGGCCCGTCCAGTCGGTATTACGGTCCGAGCTAAAGACCAACCATTCGCCGTTGGGCGACCATGATGGTCGGAAGTGACCGGTGGGGTAGATGTTGCTCGACCGCGTCAGGGAAGTATCCGTCAGATTGTGGGCTTTGCCCGTCTTCAGGTCCTTGACCCAGACGTTCATGGTATAGTTACCCTGGGTGGATACGTAGGCAAGCTGATTTCCATTCGGCGATAGGACGCCAATGTCTTCGGCACTCTCCGTCGTCACTAAGGCTTCGAGTCCAGTTCCGTCAGGGCGGACCCGATACAGGTCAGACTGACCAGCACCGCGTCGCTCGCTGGTGAAAACAATCCACTGGCCATCCTGAGACCAGGACGGATGGTAGTCAAAGGCATGGGTCTGATTGCCCATTAGCTTTGTCGCGTTGCTACCATCCGCATTGGCAATCCAAAGCTGCGATCCAGAGGGCCCGATACGGTTTACTGATGAGTTAGTTAGCACGCAGATCGCTCAGATGGGGTCTCGAGCGTACTTACGGTAGAAAATACCCTTCTTGCCCTCGATAGCCCCGCTGGGTGTCTTAACAGGAAGCTCCCTGACATGAGCAGCTGCAGCAGCGGCGCGTCTGGCATAGGGACATCCAGCAGGACCAGCAGCTGCAGCGACATTGTTCGCCCGTTCAGCATACGGGCAGCCGGCGGCAGCGGCCGACCCGGCCACCAGGGCAGTCAAGGCAACGGCACTGGGAAGGCGCATCCTGTCCTTGCAGTTGGAAGAGAAAGAAGAAGGTGACTTGCAGAGATCGTCAGGAGTGTTAAGATGAAAGATGACCCGCCTTTATATATGGACGGACAGACGCGGAGGTGTCTCGGAGCAGCGTCAATGGGATTTTCGTTCAGACCCGATAACTTGGCCCATATCGCTGAATGAGCAACCCATCAGAGTCCTCGAATTCGAATTGCAGACTCCATCCGTGCACGAGGATGATGCTTAAATTGCATCTTGGCAAGATTTCTTCCCTCCGACCACCGACATCATCTCCACTGCGAATGATCAAGATCGACGCCAGCCGGGGCTGGATTTCTTGCTTTGTGTATAGCGGATGACGATCGTCCTTGTATCTCCGACTTGGCAGGGCATCGACCTTCTTGGCCAGCACTTGGCGGTCTCGATAGCGTCTCGTATTAATGTGGAAGGGAATTGATATCGCCGTCCTGATGTCGCTTACTGGCAACCCATTCCCAATGAGTCGATAGTAATATGTAGGCGCTGAAAGCGGGGCTTGGCAAGCATAGCACTTGGATAATCCATCCGAAGACGAGTTGTGTAGCGTGTGAAGGCAGTGGCAAGCACACAGTTATGTCCTCGCTTTCTCTTTTTTGCTTCTCCCTTCTCAACGATGCGGCCCACTTTAAAGGCTGGGCAGACCGGGGCAAGATCAGATAACGAGACATGACCGAGATAGAGAGCAGAATAATAATGGTCTCGAAGACCCAATCCACTAGAAGGGAAGGGATTTGCAGTCGGACCCGCCGGAACAGGAGGGCGATTGTGAATTGCGGAGTCCCGTCGGCGTTCAGGGTCAACCGTCGGTGATGAATGAGGAATTCAAGTCCGACCTCCGACGTTTACTATCATTTTTTACCTTTTACTACGTCGGGGCCCGCGCAGCCAAGCCTGGGAAAGACTCCGACCCCGGCCCGTCCACTATAACTTTCTTCTCCCAATCCCAGGGTTCTGATTAGTGTTGCCTAGAGGTCTTTTACCACATGGTGATGACATTCTGTTCCTGTCCACGCACCCCTCCATCTCATGATACTCGGTCTGTCCACCAGAGACGCAAACTCCTACAAATCTGGGGGATCAACATCGGCTTTGAATCTTACGCCCTAGTGCGGTTCAAGCAACCTTCAAGAGTGCCGATGATATTACTATCGACGTTCCCGGGAATTTCTTAATCCGTCGGAGGCGAGTCTGCCTGTCAGCATCGGCTGTCGGGATTGGAAAAGACACGTTAACGAGGATGCATGAATCATACCTAACCTAACAGAGTCCACCTATTGGGAGCTGTTCATGTGCATGTGCCGTGGAAAATAATCCTGCCATGCCTCAAATGACATTCTGATTGGGTGCTCTAACGTGGCTGACGCTGCAGAACTGAGCCTTTGTCAGAACCAGGGTTGAATTTCTCCCGATGCAGATGGCCCTGCTCATATCCCTGCAAACCTAATCTACGGGGTCCTTTGCTGAAGAAGCAAATTGAAATACTACTTCAGAGCCTTCACCGCTCACTCTCCTGTTTAGTGAGCAACTCCGTCCGGATTAAAGTCACAGTGAATGAATTACCAGTGCATAAGGTGATTTTATTCGTGGTCTTTCTTCAACGTCCAGCGTGCTGTGCGGGTTGTAGATTTGCGCATAGCGCTGGCAAGCGGTGGCGGCGAGCCCTGATCTCTCTTGCGGGCTGTCGAAGGCGTCGATCTGCTGGCAGTCTGTGTCGTCGTTGAGGACCTTGGCTGGGCTTGTCTCGGTGGTCCGGTTTATGTGACGCTGCTGATGAGCGGCGTGGTGGGGAATCGCGCGATCAAGGGCTTTCCGATGATGAGCCGTTCTGGGAGACGGCGATGGCCGTGCAGCTGGGGATCACGGCAGCAGCAATGATCTCCGCCACGGTCGGAGGGATTTATAAAATATTTTTCGTCGTGGCGAGGATGTAGAAGGGGGGTGTGGTGCCACTTAAATGGTTGAAAAGTTCGTGGATAAGTTGAACGAACACTGTATTCAGTCCGCCGTGGCATTGATCTAGAATCCTACCTATCCTTATACTACCTCAGTGGTACAAACTGAATGCTGAATGAACATAAAAAGCAAAAACATACAACAGAAGGGATTCGCTGGTGGTCACCCACCCAACTACTAACCTCCCGGCGTGTGGCTTGAGTACGGCTGAGCGGACGGGAAGCCCTATTTTCCACACCCTGTGGTCGTATGTGCTTAAGTATTACCAAGCAGGTCTGATGTGGGACGGTCTTTTTGATGGCTGTTGGCCTCCAGCCCTTGGCCTGGCCCATTTCACGGAGTGGATGTCGATTCCGTTTTGCACGGCGGCATTATAGTTCGATCGCATTACAGCTGTTACTTCGGCCAGGCTACTAGTACCTTGTTCCACCGCATGGAGCAACATGGTGCCAACACCCCCTGTGCCTACGACTAATACTCTACTTTTTATCATGGTGAGG